GGAAGGGACAACCCCAATGTGGACTTTCTATCCCGCCTCGGGAAGGGTGAGGACGCCGGCTTCGATGGTCGGGAGCTGGATTTGAGCGGTGGAGTATGTAGGGAGTCAGGGTGACTTCCCTCTGAACTAGAGGGTAAAGAGCGACCCTGAGTGGGCGGGGCAAGACCAAGCTTACTCCAACCCCCAGAAGGGGAGGGGTGGAACAGGAAGTACAAAGGCCCTTAGCCCAGTCAGGGCAGCACCAGGGAGGGAGACAGTGACAGACTGCTGGCTGTTCCCTTCAGACCTTGCTGCCGAGCCAGGGGAGGCCCTGGACCAGGAGAAACCTGACCTGGAGGAAGGACTGGGGCTACCAGGACTGCCAGCTGCCGAGTACCCGGAGGAACTAGAGGAGCCAGGCAGTAACCCAGGCTAGCGTGAGCCTGACGTGGAGGGGGAGCTGGAGCTGCCAGCAGCTGAATACCCGGACGAGCTGGATAGGCCAGAGGGACCCGCTCGAGAGACCAGGTAGGAAGTAGACCAGGGGCAGAACTGCACAGTGCGGTGGGTCTGTTTGGTCAGCGTGTTGCAGATGGCTCCTCGCTGACCCAGTGGCGGGACCCTGGGCTGGAACACAGTGGAGTTGGGTGGGCCTGAGTTTCCCTACCCTGGCCAACTCGCCTTGGGTAGCAGAATCCCGACAACGCCACTGACTCTTGCCAGCACTCCCCTGCCTAAGGGGTGCGCTATAGACTCTTGCCAGTGCTCCCCCTGCCTGAGGGGCACGCCACTGACTCTGGCTGGTGCACATCCCTCTGCTAATTCCCTAGTGACAGAAAAGTGTGACCAAGGCATGCCAGTGCGGCAGTAGCTCCCCATCGCCCCCCAGTGGCTTGGTGGACCAATTGAAACCTGTCACAATGTGCTCTCACCATGTCCTTATGCTGTGAGACAATATTACGACTGTCTTCCACATCAAGAAGGAGGAAGGAGCAAGATCCATCTCCCTGTGTGCAGAAACGGTCAGCTTGTGGAACTGGTGCATCAGCAACCAAATCTCCCCATCAGCAGCCTACCTTCCCGGAAATCAAAATATGCTCACAGATTCCCTCAGCAGAAATTTTGCAGTTGACCACAAGTGGGAACCTCATGACTCAGTACTGTGCAGTATCTTTGATCTATGGGGAATCCCAACCAGGGATCTGTACATCTTCATAACAAATAGCAAATGCATCACATACTGCTCAAGAGCCTTGGGTGCAACTTCCAAGGTGACGCTCTACTTCTCCCTTAGTCAGATCACCTGAACTACACATTTCCTCTGCTACTGCGCCTGCCACAACTTCTACACAAAATCCGGCAGGACAGGGCTCGGATTATCCTGATCACCCTACTGGCCCAGACAGTTTTGGTTCCCAGATCTCCAGCGCTTGTCATCCACAGTTCTGATCATTCTCCCAGCGTTTCCCAAGCTCCCGACCCAGCAGAATGGCAAGATCAAGCACCCCAGTCTGCATTTGCTTCACATCAAGGCTTGGATTTTGGATGAGCATTGACCTTAAAATGCTCATGTTCTGCAGCCATATGAGACATACTTTTAATAGTAGGAAGGATTCTACTAGACGAGGTTACCTGGCTAAGTGGAGTTGTTTTTCTTCTGTGGCACAGAAAAAGCAGAAATCCCTCTCATTTTAGATTATATCCTTTCTCTAAAGGCCTGTCCAGCTGGCAGAGATTAGTGTGTACCATCCTTCTTCTCAGGGTTACTCGGTCTTCACTCACCTACTGACCACCAGAGTTTGGAAGGGCCTGATCAGAACCTTTCCGCCTATTCATAAGCCTGCACCTCTATGCGGTTTGCATCTTGCTCTCTCAGCACTCACATGGCCACCCTTTGAAACCCTAGCTTCCTGTTCCGTATCCCTTCTCTCTGTGAAGGTCGCATTCCTTGTACCCATCACCTAAGCCAGAAGGGCTGGCGAGCTTGGAGTAATGATGTTGGATCTTCCTTACATTGTATTCCATAACAGTAAAGTTTTGTTACATTTACACTCCAAACTCACCCCCACAGTTGTTTCAGAATTTCACTTGAACCAGTTGATCCACTTACCTGTGTTCTTCCATAAACCACATACTTCCTCAGAGGATCAGAGACTCCACATCCTTGATGTCCAACAGGCCCTGGCGGTCTTTAATTTGTAATGAAAGAGGTGCCAGGGCTCAAGCAATTTTTTTACATTCATAACTGATGCAGCAAGCCTAGAGGTGCGGTTCTATAAACTGCCAAGCTTAGAGGTGCCAGTGTTAACCCTGGCAAAAATTAAGCACTGGGCCTTGCTTGGCTTTTTACCTATACAGAACAAGACCAATCAGGAACTCCCCGAGACTATTTGTCACTATAACAGAAAGACTCGGGACAAGCAGTCTCCACCCAGAGGAGCGCCAAATGGCTCTCTGGCTGCATTCTACTTTATTCTCAACTATTGAACCTTCCCTTCCATCCCATGAGGTAACACCTCGTTCCACGGGAGCGCAAGCAGGGACCATGGTGTCACTTCAGGAGGTATCCTGCTTGATATCTGCAAAGTAGACATGTAGGGCTCCACTCATGCCTTTGCGAGACATTGTGGCCTAGTCCAGGACTCCTCTGCTAATGCCTTCTTTGGAACAGCTGTCCTTCTCTCAGCCCTACCGTCTTCATGCTCACACCCTCCTCCTACTTAAGTCACCTACAGAGGAATACAATAGGGACCATCACTCGAAGAAGAAGTTGTTACTTACTTACCTGTAAAAACTGTAGATTCTTCAAGATGTGTGGTCCCTATCTTTATTCTACTACCTGCCCTCCTCCCCCATTGCTTTGAATCTCTGATTCATGGTGGAGAAGGAACTGGAGAGATGGTCAGTCTGCTCTGCCCTTTATCCCCTTGGTTGGAGGCACAGAGATGAGCCAGGGTGCTCGTTGGACCAAAAAGACAATACTTCCAAATTCTCCAGTTCTGTGCACATAGTGTGCATGCATAACCCATAGTGGAATACAAATAGGGGCCACGCATCTCGAAGAAAGTACAGTTACAGGTAAATAACCTCCTCTTCTTTTTTTTTTTTTGGTTGGAAAATGTGCTCACTACAACTGAATGCAGTGGGTCAGCTGAAAGAAAAGAGGTTACTGCTTCTTTAAGGGCCCCCTCTGCAATTGGGGTGGGGTGGAAATGTACCTGGACAGAGCTGGGAGGAACCGGGAGAGGCAGGACCAGATCAGGGACACTACCCCTCCAGGTACCTGAGGGAGTTAGGGGTATTTATACCCGAGGCAATTCCAGAGAAGCCTGCTCACGCTGTCTCTCTCTCTCCCCCTTCCTCCCCAAACATGAGCTAGCAACACCTCTGGGACTAGAGTAGGACCACATTTTTCATGATCTGCTGAGGATGTTATGCTAGTAGCCATTTTGCTTTCAGGTCTAGGAAGGAACTTTTCCCACACTGCCAAATTTGCTGAGACGGGATAGTTTTATTATTATCTTTTTGTCTTCCCCACAGTAGGTCAGGGACCCAGTGGGGTAAGGAGTTTCAGACAACGTGTTGCCACTTACTCAGTAACGTGTGGCAGGTGTCCAGTGCAAGTACTTAGTAGAGAGGGGATGTAGTTCTCTGATGAAGTAGATTTAATGGAAAGCATCCTCTGAGGAAGCTAGGAAAGGGAGGGTTAGGTTTCCTAAAGTCTGGTACAGTGAGAAGACAACCCTCTTGCTTTTTCCAGCCCTCCGTTAAACCTCATATGAGGGGTGGGTGCTGAGGCCTCAGCAACAAGCTGGTTGGGACCAAATTGGGAAAGGGGAGGTCAGATGGCAGCCTCCTAAGTAGGTGGAAACAATTAAGGAAATAATGGTAACCTTCACTGTACAATTTATTGCCAGGTATTCCCAGATATGTTAAGTGAATAACATTGCGGCTTAATTAAACCATATCCGTTGCCTCTTGTCTGTCTTCCAGCATGGTCAGGACAATGACAATGCATCAAAATCAACACATTCCTGTGGAATAAGGCAGTTTTCTGAAGGAAACTTGCCTAGTTTTCTGCCAGCTCGCTTGGCAGCCTGCCTGGAGGGCTGCAGTAGAGCTGGGGTTCCCAGGGCTTCCAGTGTTTCGACCCACAGGGAGTCAGGAGCCTGGAAACTATGACAGACCCACTTCCCAAGCTCCTCCAGCTCCCAGGCTTCTATCTCCTCAGCAGCCACCATGTGAGTTGCCATGGAGCTGGGATTCTCAGGGCTTCTGGAGCACTGACTCCTTTATTTTTTGAGAAATGTGAAATTTTCCATGAGTGGGAAATTCCAGTCCCCATGCAGCGCTAGTATTATTGACCTCTCAAACTGGAAAATTCCTTGTAAAAGAGTTTCTGTAGAGGCAAGTGTCACTGGGAAATTTCTTTGATTTAGAAAACAATCAAACAGAAAAATGTTTTGATTCAGAAAGTAAAAGCCACATCATAGACCCTTTTGACAGGTTAAGTGAGGGGGTAGAAAAACAATAATTCTCCCACCCAGCCTTTGATGACGAGAAATGAGTTGAGAAATATCCATGTCCTTCTAGCCTTAGAAAATGCCTGCCTTATACAAAATTCCTGTCAATTAATTATCCAAATGTTGTAGAGCAGCAGCAGACAGGTTTCAGAGTAGCAGCCGTGTTAGTCTGTATTCGCAAAAAGAAAAGGAGTACTTGTGGCACCTTAGAGACTAACCAATTTATTTGAGCATAAGCTTAATCCGATGACGTGAGCTGTAGCTCACGAGAGCTTATGCTCAAATAAATTGGTTAGTCTCTAAGGTGCCACAAGTACTCCTTTTCTTTTTCCAAATGTTGTAGAATGTTTTTTGCTAGTAGAACTAAGTAGCAAAAAATATTTCAACAATGAAAGTTTGAGCAGAACTGAGCTCTGATTAGTTTATTTACTGGCATGTATTTCCATAAGCTATAAAAGTTTTGAACACAATAGTAGTAGTATTTTATTGATTTTATAGAATTTACTGGATGCACTTCAGCTGGGTACGGATGAAACCAAAAAACTGCTTGCAGAAAACAGTAGAAAAATGACAGTCTTGAGAGTGAATGAACGGTCACTGACAAGGCAGTATACAACTTTACTTGAAATGGAGCGGCACCTTAGAAAAGAAAACGAGAAACAAAAGGCTGAACTAACAGCAGTGGAAACTGCAGTTGGAGAAAAGATTGGACACTTGCAGCGATTCAAGGTATGGCTTGTGTGGTATACCTTTTGTCTTAAAATTTCATTCATTTTGCATTGTACGGCATTCTGAAAGGTGAACACCAAGTTGGAAACATTTGTGAATTTTATTTATTTATTTAAGTTAAAATTGGCATTTTGGAGTCTCCTATTGCTAGTTTGATTGGAAAAAAGACATGATTGTGATTTTGGAAGAATAGAAGCACAATATCAGAGATTATTAAAGAGATTACACCTTTCCGTAATACTGGTTGACCAGTCAGAAGAACTTTGCTATTTAGATGTTAAATATTTTAACATGTAAATAGCATGTTAATATGTATACAAGAAGATCTGTAATACAGCTTTCTCAGTATTCAAATTGGTATCAAAAAGGAAAACAGGTTTACAATGTCTAAGATTGAATATCCTGCTCTGTTTCAGCCTGTGTTACTGTTCAGGCTCAGAAGTGCTTATTTCAGCTAATTATTTTAATTTTAAATACAATTTAAACATCATAAACTGTAAGAAGTGATTCTCAGTATTAAATCTTTAAAGATATGTTTGAGAGTACCAAAAATGATAAACTGGAGCTGACAAATGCAACTGAACCAGGAATAAGCAATCATGTGGTTATAAGAAAAATAAACACAGCACTGGGTATTGATATGTTACACCAACAGGTGATATATAAAATTAAGAATCAATGCTGGGATTTTAAAAAGGGAGAGATATAACATAACCCCTGTTCTGTCAGGAATAGTATTCAGCATCCTAGGCAAACTGCTAGATTTGCAATGGCATAACTGATATTGTTATAGTTCCATATTTAATTTATGTCTGTTCTCTGTGAGACAGTTTTCTGTTCTCTTTCGTTACAATAAATTGTTACTGAATTATTTTGAAATTTATCTCTTAAATAGAAAAAAAAGGGTGGGGACAGACCAGGTTCTAAAAGTAATAGTGAAATAATTGTCCTTACAAAACTATTTTTATATTAGTATTGGATGTATTTGGAAAAGAAGCAAGCATTGCTTTAGCTTGTGTGTGTGTGTGTGTGTGTGTGTAAGTGTTTTAGGAGAATGGTAGCAATTTAAAAGCTTCAAGTATACAGTAAACCAATATAATATAATTATTTTCATAGGAACTGGCAAGCTTTAAGATTGCAGCTCTGCAAAAAGCTTTGGATGACAGTGTGCCTCTGTCTGAGCTAGAACTGGCTAATAAGCAGTATAATGAGTTAACTGCTAAATACAGGGATATGCTACAAAACGATAACTTGCTTGTCCAGAGAACAACTAACTTGGAGCACATGGAGGTAATGTTACTTGATACTCTTGACCCTTATGGAAATAACTGCATTTTGTTATGTTGAAGAAAGATATAAATATATAGGGCCAGATTGTCCCTTAGGTCCACTTAGGGTATGTCTGCAACTGCACCGCTGTAGCGCTTTTGTGTAGACACTCATTACAGCAATGGGAGGGGTTTTTCTGTTGCTGTAGTAAATCCACCTCCCCAGAATTCTTCCTTCAACCTAACACTGTCTAAATCGGGGCTTAGGTCAGCATAGCTACGTCACTAAGAGGTGTGGATTTTTCGTGCCCCTGAGAGATATAGCTATGCTGATGTAAGTTGCCACTGTAGACCTGCCCTAAGAAGAGGAGGGCACTGTAGCAGCTGTAACACCATGCCTTCTTCCCTTATCTCACTCCTATGGAAGTCCCATTGCTGGAGCTCCTCACAGTAAGAGATTCATATACATGGAAATATGTAATACAGCTTTTCTCAGTATTCAAATTGGTATCCAAGAAGAAAACAGGTTTATAATATTTGACATTGAATCTCCTGCTCTGTTACAGCCTGTGTCACTGTTCAAGCTCAGAAGTGCTGATTTCAGCTAACAATTTTAATTTTAAGTACACTTTAAACTTCATAAACTGTAAGAAGTGATTCTCAGCATTAAACCTTTAAAAATTGGAAGGAATTTAGTTATGCATTTTTATAAGATATGTTTGTGAGTACCAAAAATGATAAACTGGAGGTGACAAATGAAATTGCAACAGCAATAAGCAATCATGTGGCTATGAGAAAAGTATATGAGCTGGAGGGAGTGAAGTAAAAGAGCTGTCATATTCTGCTTAAGCACCAAAGTGATAAGCAATTTTAGAAAGACCTGAGAGAGACAGTGAGTGAGTGAGTTAGGGCAGCGGTGGCCAGTCTGTGGCTCCGGAGCCACATGCTGCTCTTCAGAAGTTAATATGCGGCTCCTTGTATAGGCACCGACTCCGGGGCTGGAGCTACAGGCGCCCACTTTCCAATATGCAGGGGGTGCTCACTGCTCAACCGCTGGCTCTGCCACAGCCCCTGCCCCACTCCACTTCTTCCTGTGCCCTCCCCTGAGCCTGCCATGCCCTCACTCTTCTCCCTCCCTCCCCAGAGCCTCCTGCACACCGCAAAACAGCTGATCGGGAGGTGCAGGGAGGGAGGGGGAGTCGCTGATTGGCGGGGCTGCCGATGGGTGGGAGGCACTGGGAGCGGGGTTTGGGAGCTGATGGGGGACTGATGATGTATTACTGTGGCTCTCTGGCAATGTACATTGGTAAATTCTGGCTCCTTCTCAGGCTCAGGTTGGCCACCCCTGGTTCAGGGACTCAGAGCAAAATCTAGGCAGGAAAGCAAGAAATTGTAAAGGTTTCCTTTCTGTAATTGTTATTGAGCAATCAAAGGGAACCCAGCCACTGTCTGTCTTGTTGGTAAAGAGATGATTTTAACGGGTATAGTCCCTGTTTTTCAAATGAAGCTCCTGGTGTCCTTCAAACTTTTTTTTTTGAAAAACACCTGAAATGTCCTGTTTTTTCATTTTACCAATCAAAACATTTGGGTTTTTAGTAACTGTAAATTGTTTTAAATCATGCTGGTATACAAAATATAACTAAATCTTTGTTTACCAGGAACGCTCCAGTGGTAATATAGTTTAGTGTGATCAGTAGTGTTTGGGGACATGAGAAAAGTGGAATGTGTATAGGCAACCAAAGCTATGCTTTTTCCCAAAGGATGTTAATGACTCTTATCCAATGTTTCATGATAAATTCAAACACTGAGTTATTGGAAACAATCTCCTCCTGCTCCATGGAACAAGAACAACAACACATGCCTGAATCAGAAGCTGGCAGTAGTGATACCAGCATATATATTTTTCAAATGTACTTTTGAGAAATAACCATTCAAAACGATAACGCTGTAAAAATGTTACAGCAAAAATGACCTACGTTTTGATTTAGAAAATATGGTCACAGTGGGATATAGGGATCAATGAAACTGCCCCTATTCCTGCAGTGGGGGCTCTCTTCAAAAATCCATGCTCTCTCCTTCCATTTAATCCCACCAGAGGGGCTAGTTCAAGGAGATCCTCATGAGGTAAAACTCTTTGTAATGACCCTGTCCACAGATTTTTCTGAGGGTGATGACAATTTAGCCCACAAGTGCTAGGTAGCCAGTTACTCCAGACATTGTTTTCAAGCTGTTGAATGTATAATTGGTAACTGCCAAATGTGTGTTTCCCTAAGATGTGTTGGGGGGTTTTTTATTGAGAGAAAAGTTTACTTATTTTGCTTATCCCAGTAATTTGAAAGGTCTGAAACTAAGAAGCAGTTCTCAGCATGAACAGATTGTGTGAAATGTGTTTGAAAACTAAGCCAATTAAAATAAGAGTATTTTAAAACAAAACAGTTGACAATCCTTTCCTCCTTTTTTGTTTCTTTTGGAATTAATTATGAACATTTAAAGCAACATAAAGATCCTGTTTGTTGTACTGGTTTAAAGTATTCGTTTCAGCCTTCATTTGGTCTGGGGGAGAGGGAACATTTTAAAATACCAATAAAGGGTTTTGATTTTGGTTTTTAAGTCTTGGGTATCGTGTACCTAGTATTCTATAACAAAAAAGGTTAATCTTTGAGTTTAACGTTTTATTGATAAAAATGCATGGTAAATAGAAGCATATAACATACATGGGCCAAAGACAAACATTTTGATTATTGTATAAGAACTGGATACCATAGGCTGTTCTATTATGGGTTAATAGTTTATGCCAAACCATAATATTTTAACCATCAACCACATTACTCTTGTATTGCTCTTTTATTTTGTCTCTGCCATATAGAGTGAGAATACATCCTTGAAGGAACAGATAAATTCATTAAATAAAGAACTTGAAATCACAAAAGAAAAACTTCACACTGTAGAACAAGCTTGGGACCAAACAACTAAGTTGGGCAAGTATAAAAGCTATTTCATATCAGTAAAAACATACAGTATGTCCTTTGAAAAACTAATTTTTTATAAAGGTTGAAAACAAAATACCTTTAGGAAACTTTATATTAAATTATAATGTATTTCCCTCATTTTCTCTTCATTCAGAGGTTAAGAAAATTTTAATGCAAAAACCTTACTCAGGTTTAGGATATTTTCGTCTTTTAGAGAACCTCTTGGTTGGTGTTTACCAAATAGAATAGACTTTTACTGTTTAGTTAGGTTAGCTATACTATTATTTTGTTAAAGCTTGAAACCCAGAAAACATTTTTAACAATGCTTTTTCACTGCCTTGATGGCAAATGGACTTGGTGAGGTGGCCAGTTCTGGCTTTTCTTCCCCTTTGATAGTATGCTTCCAGGGCAGATACATTCTGACCCAGCAGCTGCTGAACCACCTGGTTCTCTCACAGTGGAATTGCTGGCCTTCAGTGGTGTCAACAGCTTTCAGTCACCCTCCCTTCAAGTGGGATTAAGGATTGGGACTTTTTAGATGACCTCTGTTGAATCTGATTCAGAGGCCCTGGGTCCTGATTGGAACATCAGTCAAGTAACCAGACAAGTGGTTTGCAGGACAGTGGTTTCTTCTGCCTGGATTTATAAATTACAACATTCTACTTTCATGTTCTCAATAACTGTAACATTGTGTGAGTCAAACTTACTTCCCAGATTTCTCTCTTATATAGTCATCTTTTCTACCCTTGTTTGTTCACTTAGCATTTTGTTCATTTTCTGCCAGTTATTTGCTAGTTGAGTAACTAAAAATGATGCATCCGATGAAGTGAGCTGTAGCTCACGAAAGCTTATGCTCAAATAAATTGATTAGTCTCTAAGGTGCCACAAGTACTCCTTTTCTTTTTGTGAATACAGACTAACACGGCTGTTACTCTGAAACCTGTAAAAATGAGAGGTTACATTGAAAATGATTATACAGTCTAATTGATGATGGTTGCTGTTGTGACTGTTATGTTAATTACAAAGTGAAATCCCATGCTTTCATATGGATGTAATTCATAATGTGTAAAAATGCTGAAAATGGCTGAGAACTTAAAAATTGGACAGTAGCAGACAGCAAATCCCAGTGATGATTGAACCTGTGGTACGCCTACACCTTGAATACTGCGTAAAGTTCCAGTCACCCTATCTCAAAAAAGATATATTAGAATTGGAAAAGGTACAGAGAAGGGCAACAAAATGACTGAGGGTATGGAACAGCTTCCAGATGAGGAGAAATTAAAAAGAATGGGACTGGTCATCTTGGAAAAGAGATGACTAAAGGGGAATATGACAGAGGTCTATAAAATCATAAATGGTGTGGAGAAAGTAAATAAGGAAGTGTCATTTACACCTTCACATAACACAAGAAACACAGGTTACCCAATGAAATTAATAGCAATTTAAAATAAACAAAAGGAAGTACTTCTTCACACATGTAGAACTCGTTGCCAGGGGATGTTGTGAAGGCCAAAAGTATAATTGGGTTCAGTAAAGAATTAGAAAAGTTCCTGAAGGATAGGTCCATCAATGGCTATTAGGCAAGATGGTTAGGGATGCAATCCTGTGATCTGGGTGTCCCTAGCCTCTGACTGTCAGAAGTTGGGACCTGATGGGTCTCTCAATAATTACCCTGTTCTATTCATTCCCTCTGAGGCACCTGGCATTGGCAGCTGTTAGAAGACAGGATACTGGGCTAGATGGACCATTGGTCTGACCCAGTATGGCTATTTTTAGATTCTTTTGTTCTAGTCTAAACAAAAAGAGCTCTCAACCATGCTTGTAGCTCTTTCCATCATTTTACACGGACTCAACAAATATTCTAGACTTCAGAGTGACACAGACTGTGTGATAATCCTGGAATCTTCTTACATAGCTAATGTTTTCTTAAAAATGGATAAGATTTTTTTAGATTTCTGATGTGTGATGAGGGAGGACTAGTTAAATGCCTAGCTCTTCCAATTCCAAAAATTGTTTAGGTGTTCTGGTTCCTTATAGAGATAAATCAAAAGTACCTGTGCTACTTTAAGAAGTTGCATTGTTGTTTTTCTAATTTGAAAACCTTGTTAAGCCTAATTAAAATATTATTGAACATAGGGGGTGACAATGCCATGGACAAGGCCACAAAAGCAATTACCAACAGTGAGATTGTTTCTATTTCTAAGAAAATCACTGTGCTGGAAATGAAGGAACTAAACGAAAGACAGAGAGCTGAACACTCGCAACGAATGTATGAACACTTAAGAAATACTTTAAAGCAAGTGGAAGAACGTAACTTTGAACTGGAAACAAAGTTTGCTGAGGTATAAAGAGATGTAATTATATAATTTGTCAATTACATCCTAGAAATGCACTTTGAGCTTTTTGTGTGTTGCTCTATTAGATACCTACCTTTGGTGCCATTTTTGATAGATAGGTTTACTTATCGAAATGTAGCTGCTTGTGAATAGATTTTTGCTTGAAGAGATATATTTAATATGTAATATATTAATTTGTCAGTAATTTATTTCGGAACTTAGTTATTCACTATAAAATTAATGCTGGTATACTATGACTCGCACAGAGTGGGCATATTGCAAAACCTTGTTAGTTCCTTGGCAACCAGATTTTTGCAAAGATTACAGTTCTTGATCTTTCTGTTCCCAAGTTCTAACTGATTATAAACTGTTTTCTGCTATTTTTTCCATGATCATCAGTGACTGTCATGGTCTTGCATACATTTCGGACCTTGTTGGCTTTTGCATCCTCCTCCACCCTTTCTTCCCCACAAAATAATGCTATCTTGACTCTCTCACAAGCCTTCTGTGTCCTTTTCTACGTTGTGTCTTATGCTTGAAATGTTGTCTGCAGGGCTGTCTGCTGTGCTGCTTCAGGCCCTGCAGAAATCTGTCTTGGCCCAAAGCTTATTTGATTTCCAAAAGTGACTAGTGACCTTGGGTGCTTCAGTTTTTGGTGCCCAATTTGAGACTTCTTCAAGGGGCCTGATTTTCAGAAAACGTTGAGCACTAACTCTCCTAAGTTCTGGCCCTTTTGAGAAGGGGGGTTCCAAAGAGAATGGAGCTCGGCTGTTCTCAGTGGTGGCAGATGACAGAACAAGGAGCAATGGTCTCAAGTTGCAGTGCGGGAGGTCTAGGTTGGATATTAGAAAAAAATACTTCACTAGGAGAGTGGTGAAGCTCTGGAATGGGTTACCTAGGGAGGTGGTGGAATCTCCATCCTTAGAGGTTTTTAAGGCCTGGCTTGACAAAGCCCTGGCTGAGATGATTTAGTTGGGGTTGGTCCTGCTTTGAGCAGAGGGTTGGACTAGAGTATCTCCTGAGGTCTCTTCCAACCCTATTATTTTATGATTTTATGTCTCGAATTGAGCGACAAAAATGACTAGTCACATTATTGTGAAAATGCTGGCTAGTAATGGTAATATAAATACACTGCTCAGTGAGTCTTATTATTTGTAGTACCAGCCCCTTTGTCCTAGGGATTGTGCAAACATATAACAAAGCTAATCCCTGTCTTGAAGAGTTTATAGTCCAAGTATTGTTCCATTTTTCTACCCCATTTTATAGTTAGTTTTTTGCTTTCACTGTTTCAAGAAACTGAAAATATTGGTTTTCATTTAGAATACTTTGTTGTATGGATGCTTACAGAGCTACTCTGACGTGCATGCAATGTTGTAAGGAAGAAGTTGGATGTTTCAGAGTAGAACAAAAGAAAACCAAAGGAAGAAACTGAGAGGAAACAGTTTCACTAAATACAACTTCATAACATTTTGTGCTGACTAAAAATATATTGTATGCCTATTCCAAATACGTTTAGCAAATATACTGGTTTTTTTTTTTAGCTTACTAAAATCAACCTCGAGGCACAAAAAGTGGAACAGACATTAAGAGATGAACTGACAAACAGTGTGAGTAAAGCAATAAGTGGTGCGGATAGACGAAAAATCATGGAGCTAGAGAAGAGTGAAATGGAGCTGAAGATTGAGGTATCAAAGTAAGTGCAGAAGTACCAAATTTAGTATTACAGTATGTTTGGAAGTATTCCATAATTTGACTTATACAGATATATGTTACTTCTACATTAACAGTAAAACAATTTTCATCTGTCTTTATATATTCTATACCTGGAATTTCAGATGAAGCATTACATAAAGGATCTGATTTAGAAGAACACTGATTCTGATGGCACTTAAGCAAATGCTTATGTGCTGTCCTGAATAGGTATGAATGTGAGCAGGTGCTTAAATGCTTTCGTGCATAAGGTTCTTAATTAGATACAACTTTTTGTGTTTATTAAAATATTTCAGACAAATTAGCAAAACAATATTTTGTTCCATTTGTTGAATCCTTATCAAGTGTATAGAAAACTGGTGAAAATACTGCGGGAAAACAAAAATATTAATTTTTGGAAGATCCATTGATATTTCATTGAGAAATTTTTTTAAAAAGTATTTTGAAAGAATCCTGCTTATACAAAGTATTTAAAATATCATTACCTAAGTGTTGTTATATTTGCCCCAAAACAAGATCTTTGAATTGATCTTCTGCCATATGTGCCCTTCTGAAAGTTGTCATCTGACATAACAAATAGCCTTTTTTCATAAGAATGTCTGCAGTAGAAAATAGCAGAGGAAGTGACATGAAAACAAATATGATATACTCTGTAAAATGAATAGTTTCTAAATATATTTTTCTTACGTAATATTAGGCTTTTGTTTTTGCAGGAAAAGAAAATTATTGTTTTTGTTGTGGAAGATACACTTAAGACTTTTGTGTAGCAAAATCTCCAAAAGTTAAAAGCAAATCTGCAATGCCATATAATTGCAGAGATTATAAAGATGCTACAAGATATTTATAGTTCATCTTTCTGACTTCACAAGATTATGAATTGAAATACTAACCTTTGTGGCCTAGAAATATAAATGTGACTGTGAACAGTGGTCTCTCTGTGTAAACTGTCTATACCCCTTCCAGTACACCTCTCTACTGGGCTTTTTTTTTTTTTTCTGTTCTGTATAGAGCAACTATAAACTTTTGTAAAGACATTTTTAATAAGATGCTTGTAACGGGTCTGCTCCTGTACTCTTGAAGTCAATTGGGATGTTTGCCATTGACATAAATAGTGAAACTGAAGAATCAGATCAATAAACCTCTTATTTCCAAAATAGGCATGAGAAGAGATTAGCAGGAGCTTTAATAACGGGGACAGTATCCAAATTACTGATCCATACTTGTATATGAGAGGGGAAAAGATCTGGAAATGCTGAAAAATATGTTAACTTTAAATCTCCTAATATGAGGTAGAGGTGCCTTTAACACCTCTCTTCAGGATCTTTTGTGTAGTAGAGCTTAACATTTTATTGGTAAAGGAACTTGGACACCATTTTAGCTTGAAGGATTATTTAATATTTTAAATTGGGATAGTATTCTTGTTTCCCTCCACTAGGTTAAGGGAGCTTTCTGATATTGCCAAAATGCAAGTTGCAGCTCTGGAGGCACGGCAGCAATCCAGAGAGAAGGAAGTGGAATCCCTTCGAATGCAAGTTTTAGACTATCAGGTATGGTCAGTACTGCCTTGCTTTGTTAAGACTTTTTATAGTTAACTGATGTGTTTTGGGAGGGAGGGTTAGGGATAGAATATTTTAATATTAGGTTATGAAAGTACTTGCATGATATTTTGGAGAAATATTATTTTTAAAATCTGTATTTGAAAAGACAATTTTTTTTATTATTATTTTGGCTATAGAAGTAATACTGAACAAAACATGAATTTATATGAGGCCAGATGCTGCTCCCATTTATGCCCAAAGGAGTTTTGCCATTAACTTCATTGGGAGTATGATAGGTGTTGTAATGTGGTAATAACTTACAGTTCATGTAAATATGTTTAATTTTCAACAAATGATTTTATATTTTAAAAAATGTCTGTGTTATATATTTTGGTGCTTAGGCACAGTCAGATGAAAAGGCACTTATTGCAAAATTACACCAGCATATCGTAGCTCTTCAGATTAGTGAGACCACTGCTGTGGGCAAGCTAGAAGCACTTACAATGAAACTGCAAAAGATGGAGATTTATAATCTACGCCTAGAACAGAAGCTTGATGACAAAGAGCAGGGATTATACTACGCCCGACTAGAAGGGAGAAATAGAGCCAAACATCTACGCCAGACTGTGCAATCTCTGCGACGACAGTTTAGTGGTGCTCTGCCATTGACACAACAGGAGAAATTCTCTAAAACCATGATTCAGCTACAGAACGACAAACTAAAAGTCATGGAAGAAGTCCAGCATGCCCAGGAAGAGCGTCGAAACATAGAGAACAGAGCAATGGAGATGGAATTAAAAGTAAAAGGTTTAGAAGAGTTAATAGGCACATTGAAAGATACAAGAGGAGCCCAAAAGGTTTGACATTTTATAGCTTTTAGTAATCATTAATTTTACATATGTTTAATTTAAAACTTTAATCTACTGTATACTCAAAATTTCTGCTTTAATATGTGCCTTCAGGATTTCAGAATATGCAGTATTGTAACATCAATTTGTTTTGTTTTTTAAAGAAAGGATAATGGCCAGCTTTACTACTTGATATATAAGACCCTGTCTACACTTACTGGTAGATTGGCACTGTTGCGATCGATGCAGCGGTGTCAATTTAGCAGGTCTGGGGAATACCTGCTAAATCGATTGCAGAGCACTCTCTGGTTGACTCCCGTACTCCATCTCTCCAAGAAGAGTAAGGGAAGTCAGTGGCAGAGCGTCTCCTGTAGACCCAACGTGGTGTAGACACCTCAGTAAGTTTACCTAAGCTACGTCGACCTCAGTTACGTTATTCTTGTAATTTAAGTAGCATAACTTGAGTCAACTTGACGTGGTAGTGTAGAGCAGCCCATAATCTAAGCAGAGTCAGACTTGGTTTTTCTTTTGATTGAAGGCCTCTAAAGCAAATTTAAATGCTGTAGGAAGTGGTATTAGAGATTCAATACAGTATGAAATAGGAAGCACTGTGCTACCCGCTTTTGGCACAAGTCCCAGCTACTTTTGGCCATTAAAAAGCCCATGTCACTTTTTTTTTTTTTTTTGGTAAGAGTAGGGATGTTAAGTCAGGCATCCTGGACAAATCGTTATTTGGGTAATTATATTTTTCCTTTTCTAGATAGTTACTTTTGAACTGAATAAGACAGTCTCATTTTCTGTCCTAACTATTGTATAGTATTGCATTCTCTATTTAAAGACATTTGTATTACAATGGTGGGTAAAGTGCCCTTGGTATATTTAGTTTTCAATCAGTCTGTAAAGTTTTTTGAGCATTTTGGGATCTATGTTGTTATACCAATAAAATAAACCAGCAGGATCTTGTTAAAGGGGATAAGACAAAATGTCACATTTATTGTGAATACAAAAAGAATCATAGTAGGCAGTCAGTTATAGCTGTTATATTTCATTCAGTTTCACATTCATTCACACGTTCGTTCATACACACACACAGGTTCTGCAGATGCTGTATAAAGAAAAGGAGTACTTGTGGCACCTTAGAGATTAACCAATTTATTTGAGCATGAGCTTTCGTGAGCTACAGCTCACTTCATCGAGTGAGCTGTAGCTCACGAAAGCTCATGCTCAAATAAATTGGTTAATCTCTAAGGTGCCACAAGTACTCCTTTTCTTTTTGCGAATACAGACTAACATGGCTGTTACTCTGAAACCTGTCAAGATGCTGTATAGTTATCAGTCCTGAATGTAGCTTGAGTTCATGGCTTGGGTTCATAGCTTGTGGCGGCTAACTGGCCAGGAAAGCCAGGCACAAGGAAGAGCTGGGTCTCTGTTGGGCATGCACCGATGCCCTTCCATGTTGGCAGCAGAATGTTACCCTTCAAAGTCTTCCATCTCACCCATCCTTTTTGTAGGCTTTAGTTTAAATCCAGAGTCTATAGGTCTTGCTGTGTCACGCTGGCTCTGGGTTTGGCATCATTGATCACCCATCAATTGCAGACATGACTTTCAGCCTAGGACCTGGCTTTGAGGTTTCTTCAATTGTACTTTTATTCTTTTCTTTTGAGGGTGGACTCCTCTTACTTTGTCAGGGCTGTTGTCTGCATCTTCAACCGTTGGGTGTTTACACTTTATTTCATCAGGACAGGCTGGGGCTGGAGGTTGATTCCATCATTCATACATACCTCATTCACACATCTAAACTAAACTAATAAGATTACAGCAGGGTTTTGCAAAAATGAAGGTTGCAGCAAGCTTTTACAAAATGAAGCGAGCATTTTAAAATGGAGTTTGGGACAAGTTAAAATGGAATTAGAGTTACAATATGGACAAGTGTAAGGAATGGCAAACAGTGAACAGAAGTTACAATGTTGAAACAGGGGTAAGTTTCAGCAATTTAAGCAGCAGTTGGATTGACAGTGAAACTCAATTAGCCAGTTATTGGGGTAACTGGTTTTATAAATGAATGTTGTTTCATTCATAAACTTTGCTCATGAAGTTATATTAATCAAGTGAAAAATTAAAAACAATTTAATTGATCAGTTCTACAATGCAAGTGATAGATATTGCTACTATTAGTATATATATATAGTTGAATGTTATAGTTCGTTATATGCAACTTTTCTGGGTGGTTTTGCAAACTTAGTTTCACTTTGGAAAAGACATCCAAATTCCCTAAATGCTATTTTTATCTGATTAAGATGATATTGATAATGAACTGTACGAAATGTTGTTATTTATCAGGTAATTGAGTGGCATATGAAAATGGAAGAACTTCGTCTCCAGGACCTTAAACTGAATCGAGAGTTAGTCAAACAAAAAGAAGAGATGAAATATTTGAATAATATCATTTCTGAATATGAGCGTACAATCAGCAGTCTGGAAGAAGAAATTGTACAGCAGAGCAAGGTATAAAATTCTACGTGATGTAAAAATAACAATATATTTTCTGTTTTATTTAATGATTTTTAAAATTCTTTTGTTACATTTAAAAAACGCATAACTTACATGTACAAGATGTATGATACTTAAATGTCTGTTTTCCCAGGCTGTTACAGTTAAAGATGTATTGCCGTCACTGGCACATTGGAATTGCTTTCAAATTCTCTAAAGTAGGGGTGAAATCCTTGCCCTGTTGAAGTGAATATTAATGTTCTCATTGACATCAGTGGGTCAGGATTTCAATGTAGATCTCTTTAATCAAACTTTTTTTTATAGTTTTTTGAAGAGCGGCAGATGGCTTGGGATCAGAGAGAAGTAGAGTTAGAACGTCAACTAGACATATATGACCGTCAGCAAAATGAAATACTTAGTACTGCTCGAAAGGTACCTATACTGATTTATTTTAAATAAATTAATAAGTGTGCTGATTAGACTTGTCAGAGAAATAATGTTCATATCTGTCTTTTCTGTGCAGCTTGAAGAGGCTACAGGTTCAGTTCCAGATCCTAGTTTGCCCCTTGCACAGCAGCTTGAGCTAGCTTTGAGGAAAATTAGGGAGCACATTCGAACAATCCTAGAAACTCGGGCAACCTGCAACTTATTAGAAGAGGTAATTGGATGTATATACACTGTATTAATAAATTTGGTATGTAAATACATTGTGCTGTGAAAATTCCACACAGTGAAATACAAATTATAATTGTATTGGTGTGTAGTGTGTCTAATAATCCCAAGTAGGGAAAATAGAATACAAAACCATTTTTTGATTTATAATTCGATTTAGACATATTCTGACACATTTCTTTTTTTAAGCATAATATTTCTATAAGATTAGTAATAATTTCCTTTGTTGTAGAAACTCAAAGAGAAAGAAACTGCACTGTGGAAAGCAGAACAAAATGTTCTAACAAGGGACAGAGTTATAAATGAACTAAGGCTTCGATTACCTGTAACCGCAGAAAGAGAGAAGATAATAGCTGAGCTAGGTCGAAAAGAAGATGATCCAGAATACCACCATGCCCTGAAAGTTGCCCACCAAACCATTACAAATATGCAAGCAAGACTAAATCAAAAGGAGGAAGTGTTGAAGAAGTATCAGCATCTCCTTGCAAAAGCTAGAGAGGTATATACACTTTTTGTGTTATCTTGTATTATATATATATTTTTTAAGAGTTTGAGTTAATTTTTTGCCTAGTCTTTCTTTCAGTGAAGGCATGGCAAAATTCCCATTGACTTCAGTAGGAGCAGAACAGGACCTTCATTATGAATTTCTCATTGCACAAAGTTCAGATTTTCTTAACCTCTTGAATTTAAAAATTTATTTATGTAAAAAATTTCTGATTGTTCTCCTTTGGAATTTCTTTAATATGAGAGGCCTAGGAAGCAAAGTCTGCAGTGATAGATGCATGAAATTAACCAATAGTATAATTCTACATTTTGGTTGTTTTTCATGCACTTTCCTTGAAAAAAATACAGAATTCTGTGCTGTAGGGGATCATTATGGCCCGGATCATGCAGCAAGCTTGGCATGGGTAGACTGTTGCACAGGTCTCATTGTAGGATTGTGACCTGTGGCTGCAGTCATGAAAACATTTTATTCATTAGCTATATAAGAACTTAAAAAAAATTATTTAAGATGAATTTAAAGTTTGTTAAAGATGCCAGTTTGATGAGGAAATGAGGTGAATAAATAGAGGAGGGAAAAGACCAGAAATGGTGAAGAGAATGACAGTATTAAAGGAGATGGTAGAGAGAACAATCAGGAAAAGCAGGAATAGATTCTTTGGGGAGTATAATAGCATTGAAAACAGTATAAAAAGAAGGCAGAGAGGCAAACATGCTCAAAGCCTTCCTTGAGATTCCATGAGTCTTGTTGAAACAATGATCTCTGTGTGTATATAAAGTCTGCTGCAGTATCCACGGTATGCATCCGATGAAGTGAGCTGTAGCTCACGAAAGCTCATGCTCAAATAAATTGGTTAGTCTCTAAGGTGCCACAAGTACTCCTTTTCTTTTTGCGAATACCGACTAACACGGCTGTTACTCTGAAACCTGACTGAATAAGGAGTGTCCTATGTTTGATGTGCTGCCTATGTACACAACACTAGTGAAAGTACAGAATGTTACAAACTCCAAGCTTTGTCTTGCCGTTTGAGAATTAAAGAAGGGAAAATTGTCTCTTTCTGGGTATTTGCACACTTCCAGAAAAATGTAATACTATGACTTAAATCTGAACATACTGAGAGGCTTAATTTAACATTGCATTCATGTAGTTTTGGTCAGTTACTTTTTTTTTTCTCTCCTAGAAAAATTTGCCAGGATAATGAAATTACTTTAACTCCTTAGTGCTTATATTTGCTTGCCAGTGATGGGATTTCCTCAACTCAGATTCTATTTCAAATACTCAAGTAATTAGCATGGAAAGTACAGGAGTTCCATGGATTTCTGGAGTATCATGCATGTATACATGAAATAAGAAAATATGTTCATTTTGTGCTAATAGGAGCAAGAGGAAATCGCAAAGAAACATGAAGACCACCTCCAGGTTCTACATCAGAAGCTAGATTTGCAAGCTGATAATTCACTTAATAAATTCAAACAAACTGCTTTGGTAGGTTTGTTTGGGATGGGGGATTGTTTTGTTCAGTATTGTATATTTGTTTGTATGTTTTGTTTTTTGTAAATTTTGAAAATTATGTTAATCCTCCATACCAGAGGAGCAGTTTTTCAGTTCAAGATAGTATAAACAGGAAGATAAATGAGTAAGACTATCATTACACTATTATTGTATGAAGATGAAATTGAAAGAATTTGAGAAAGATGAGTGAGGAAATAAGGGGCAATCAACACATTTGGTACTTGTGTATATAAGTGCATAATTCAACGTGTCCTATTCTATAGAGAGCCCATGGGGAGGTTGATGTCTTCCATTTTCTCTCTCCTTTTTTAATATTCTACAGGAGCGTTTCTGAAGTTGGGGTCCACGGACCCCTGGGGGTCCACAAGGGTATTCCAGGGCATCTGCGGGCCTCACTGCTCAACTCCTCCCCCTTCCTTCCTCCCTCCCTCCCTCCCTCCCTCAACTGCTCCTCTCCTCTCCCCTCCCCCCCCCCAGCAGCTCCTGCACGCCGGGGAACAGCTATTCAGCGACATGCAGGAGGCTCTGGAAAGGAGGAGTGGGGATGGAGCACACTTGGGGGAGGGGAAAGAAAGAGGCAGGGAAGAGGAGGGGCAAGGATGGAGCTGGGAGAGCGAAGAGGTGGGGTGGGGCATTGGGGGAAGGGGTGGAGTGGGGGCGGAGCCTAGGGTGGGGAGCTTGGGGGCCTGTGAAAAGTTTTAAATCAAAATGGGGGCCCTTGGGTTGCTAAAGTTTGAGAACCGCTGTCCTACAGTAAATAAAATAAGCTCCATCCTAATTGAAGGTTTGCTTTTGACACTGTTTCTCAAAGACTGACCACCTATATTTAACCAGTTATATAACTACTCTTCAGATACAGAGACCATTTACCAACGTTCAGTGTGACTAACATATGGGTACAGTGTTGAGTCACATCACTGGTTATAAAATATAGTGTAAATGTTGCTGCTTGGTTATGTTTGGGATCAAATTTAACATAATGAAATAATTGCAGCACTTTGCTGTATAAGATGTAGAATATTTAATATGAATGATTTTTCTGTTTTTATAGGAGTTAATGAAAAAACCTTCTTTATCAGTTCCCACCAACAAACATTTCATTCGTCTGGCTGAGATGGAACAAACAGTAGCAGAACAGGACAACTCTATTGCTTTACTTCTAGGCAGATTAAAGAAAACATCATTAGATTTGGAGAAACAAAAACAACTTACTTTATTAAAAATCAGAGAGTTTGAAAGCATCAAGGCTCAGTAAGTGTTTAGATATACAATTATTACAATTCAGATAATAATTAGATTAGACCAATCAGCTACAAGTCTAAAATTTATTCCTGTGTCATTAAGACCATTTATTGAATTAGAATCACAGAAGATTAGAGTAGGAAGAGACCTCAGGAGATCATCTAGTCCAGCGCTTCTCAACCAGGGATCCATGAGCCCTTTCAGGGGGACTGCGGAGCCCCGGGGCTGAAGCTGGCAGCCCCCCAGCCCCAGCTGGGAGCAGCATGGGGTTGAAGCCAGCAAACCTCTTCCCCCACACCCACAAGCCAGGAGCAGCGGGGGACTGAAGCTGGGAGCCCCAGTGCCCCCACCCCACCCCCCACAAGTGTAACTTGAAAATATTTATTTTGTGGGTTGTCATCAAGGCTATCATATGAAAATTGTTGTTTAGAATATGTCGTGGTCAATTATAAATGTTGCATTTGTCCCCTTATTGAACACTTCCTTTTTAAATGAATTTTTTGGTGCACTGAACATAGTTTTTTGAACTGTCAAAAATATTTTCTTATATATCTTAAACAACGTATTGAGCTTGCTATGCAACAGAGATGAAAGTCATGAAAATTTAGCCCAAATGATACGTTTAAGAAAAGGAAATTATCTAATCTTGCGTGCTTTACTCATGTGAGTTAGTCCCACTGGTGCTGTGCATTCGATCACTGTTTGGTATTAATTCAGGAAGTGGAACCACAATAATTCTCTAATTTCACTTTTAGTTGATTTTTTTTATTGGATTATGTAGACACACTTTGTAGAAGGTTTTTGTGATTTCCAGATTTCTGTGTGCTTTTGCCTTTGTAGGCCATTGTATAAGAAAAACTTAGCTGAAATGATCAAAAACATGTAATATTTTTCAGCCTTTTCTATTCCACCTTGAGCTTACTAAATAAAGTACTTCTTGACACTGCTATTTATTACTTTGTTGTACTAGGCTTGAAGAAAAGCATATAGCTGAAGTGAAAAAAATGAAAGATGAAGCAAATGAATTGAGGAACCTGTTATCTGAGATAGAGAAGGAATTGCTGCAAGTAAAAACTGAATTAGAGGCCCAAAAAGAAGCAAATAATAGAGCGCCAACAACTACAATGAAAAACCTAGTGGAAAGGTTGAAGAACCAGTTAGCCTTAAAAGAGAAACAACAGAAAGTAAGTAATTTTAAAATTATTTTATTAATTAGCGTCTATCATGAAGACAAGAAGTTGATGTAAAACCAAATAACTATGAAAATTATGTATAGCAAACATTTCCACAGCTTTTTTTCAGAAGTGCCACTGTTGGGTTTAACAGATGGACAAAGAATACCTGAAAGATGCCCTTTTATGGAGATTCATTAGGGCTGTGTAGCCTGCTGTAGAAAAAGGACCAGAAAATGACTGAAATTTGGTATAGAATTTAACTGCTCTGTAATTTGTGGAGCCAGATTCACTGATATACTTAAGCTGCTTTGTGCTACTCTGGCGATGCAAAACAGCCTTAAACTTAGTTTAACTAGCCAACTAAGCTGCATTTATAGTGATTTTTGTGTTGCCAGAGTATTGTAAAGCAGTCAGAGCATACCAGTGAATCTGGCTTATCATTGTAAATCATATGGAAACAGACCAAAAGATGATATGAATTGTGCTGTTAGTATGGAATACAGATGGGTAATTTAACATAAAATGTAGTAAAATTTAATTCCCTTTAGCAATTTTTTAACATTCATTTTCAGCAACTTGCTTACTTACCAAACGAATTTGTTGATATTTTCAGGCTTTGAGTAAAGCGCTTTTGGAGCTCCGAGCAGAAATGACTGCTAATGCTGAACAGCAGATTATTTCTGTAGCATCACAAAAAGAGGCATACATGAATGTTCAGCAGATTGTTGACAAACAAACAAAGGAGCTCACGGTAAGCACTAATTAACCTCCTTATACTGTGTTCTACATTGTATTCTTATTTAAAAAGAGAACACAATGTTTATAATTTCATTTTGAGCATTATAATAATGAATGTTGTACTGTTATGAGGTTTGACACAACTCGCAGTGAAGTCAATGACAGTCTTTCTGTTGACTTTTTTGGGAGTTGGGTTGGGCCCACTGTGTACATTTGTTTTTAAATATTAAAACAAATAATCAAATGAAATGTATAAGTACATGCAGTACTGCTATTTAGCCTACATTTTTTCTTCAGAATTTTAGAATTTACGCACAGAACACTTGCACCAGGCTTAAACATGATATATAAAGGTTCAATCTAAGGCAGCTTTTTTTTTTAACACAGAAAATAAATTTGGTTTTGCCGTTTTAAAAAAAAAAAACACCCCAAAAGTTGATTATTTTGGTTTTGTTTTACTTATTTAAATTTAAACTTAAAAATATTTTTCAGACTGACTTTTTGCTACTTAAACATATCAACAGATTTATAGGAATTTACAAATTATCTTCTAAGTGATTATTTAAACATATTTTACTTTACTTTACAGATTACTTAAATATAGTTGACAATATATGAAATAACTGATTTGAGAAATGTCTGTGGAATCCAGGAAATATACCTGCTTAACCTCAATATGTTTTAATTAGTTGGCAACCCTGAATAACACTTTTTTAAATTTATTTTTATAGATTCATATAGAGGAATTAAATGAGCAACTTACAAAATTCAAAGATGCCCTTAAAGTAAGTAAAACTAGAGAGCGCTCTTTATTAGATGAGATGGATGATTTAAATCAAGAACTTCAAAAAAAGCAAAAAGCCATTACTAAAGGGCTAAGAGAAAAAGAAGAAATGGAAAATGAAAATGAAGAACTGAAAAAGCGGATAAAAAGACTAACAAACAGCATTCAGGTGAGCTTAGTTTTTATTAGTGTAAAAATCTAGGGATTCAGTCAAATATTCTCTAATGGCTGTAATGTTTTTGGAAGACTGAATATGATTATCAAGCAGAGGGACCAATACATGGTGAGGAGAATTTTGAGATTGGAGGCAGCAGATACCAGACAGTGTAGTGGGGGTGCCACCAAGCTATTGGCTGGCATCCTCTGTTGCAGATGTCAAATGTGGGTAAGAGGCTGAAAGAGACCAGCTCCCTGAGGTAAAGATGAATGAAAGACCCAGGAGATGGCTTGTAGAACTCACAGCCTGAGGGGACTCTCCTTTCGTCTCGCTGTAGGAGGTCAAGAAGATTCAAAGGTGAGCTAAAAACGAGGTGTATAGGCTGAAAAGGTCCAACCCTAGATATTAGTTATATGGTAATGAGATCATTTAATACCATACTAGACCCAAGTAAATGCTTTGTGGTTTTCTGAGAGGGTTTAGCTTCAACCTCCAGTTACAGTTAATTAAAAATTAACAAAGTTGCAGTCTGCTTTAAGTATTTCCCTTTGTCTTTGTTTTGTTTTTGTACGTGCCCTGGTCAATCCACAACTTCAATTACGTATTCCCTCCATGGACATACTGTTTTTCTAGGACCTGACATTTTATTTACTCTCTTCTATTCTGCTCTTCTCAATACAAGCTATATGTAGTAGATCATTTTTTGCTACTGGTAATGCAGTTCCCAGCAGTCTCCAGTTGGATTCCTCTCATAAATTTAAGCAGAAAGTACTAGTACTAGTTTATTTTTGTCAAATGACCATGGTCTTAAAATGTTTAAAAAGTCTGTATATTGTCTGTGCTCTGTAGAAAAATAGTTCTAAGTAACAGTTTTTCTGTCTAAGTATCCATTCTTTTTTCATTTCTAAATTTGCAAGTAGAGATTTCACATACTATTAAATTCTCAGGTATGTGTCCTTTAATCCAGTGGTTCTCAAAGCCTGTCTACCACTTGTTAAGGAAAGCCCCTGGTGCGCCGCACCGGTTTGTTTACCTGCCACGTCCGCAGGTTCAGCCGATCGCGGCTCCCACTGGCCGCGGTTCGCAGCTCCAGGCCAATCGGGGCTGCAGGAAGGGTGGCCAGCACATCCCTTGGCCCACGCCGCTTGCCACAGCCCCCATTGGCCTGTAGCAGCGAACCGTGGCCAGCGGGAGCCGTGATCGGCCGAACCTGCGGACACGGCAGGTAAACAAACCAGTATGGCGCGCCAGGGGCTTTTCCTGAGCAAGCGGCGGACCAGCTTTGAGAACCACTGCTTTAAACCAAGTTGTGTGAACTTATCTGTTTCAAAAGAGTCATAGTAATTTACAGCAATTTAATACCTAACCCTTATTAAATTTAAAACAGCAATAGTTAAACATTTTTTGAGTCCATTACTCATGACAGAATACGAAGTAACAATCTAACACTTAAATAGTAGTTGTAATCTTTAAAGAGACACTTTATAACCTAAATTGTACCATTTGTTCGAAGCACTTCTGTTAAAATGAATAAATTAGTCAATATTTAGTTTCTATATTTATCCCAGTGGGGAAAAAAGTAGGAAAGTATCTAAATGGTGATCATTAAGCTGTAAAGATAATCATAATTTTTCAGAGCAAAGCTGATGAACAAAAATGTATTGATGAACTTCAGAAAAAGATTAAAAAGCTTGAAAGTGAAGTTGAAAAGAGTGAGGAGGTAGAAAAGAAAAGTTTAAAAGAAGACAAGGTATGTGACGAAGCATCATTTAATTTGTGGTATTGAAAGGGACACCATCAACTTGAAATCTACCCAGTTTAAGAAAAACAACAAATCAGAAGTGGCTTAGAAATTTCACCTGCTCCTGATTCCCCTTACCAATTTTTCTGATGTTATAATCACATATTCCTATATTTTATTAATATTTTCCCTTCCCTTCTTGCTGAATACAAAATCTGTACAAAAAATTTAGGAAACTGACTCGACTGTACAAGATAACAGTAACTAACTACATATAAAGTGTTGTCGAATTCATAAAGTAAAGAAACTGAAAAACAATTTCTTTCAATGGTAGCAGCTATGGTGTTGCTTGTAACTATAGCAGTTTAAAAGCATTTTGAGACAAAAAATTGATTTTTTTTTTTTAAATGGATGGTGTCCCTTCAAAAAGATACATTTCCTAATGGATATCTCTGCAGATGATAGATTCTGACTGGCGAAGGATGAGTTTGTTCAGTCTCTTGTTTGTTTTCTGCTGTTATGGTAGCAGATTAGTGTCTTGTCTTGGTACCTAGTAAAGCAGACTGGAGCAAAATACATGTTTTGTTCTCAAACTGCATTCAGTGTCATTTTAAATATTCAAGATGATTTTAAGCAAGAGCTTACAATTCCCATTAGATAAGTTTGAGGCACTGTACGTAAATTGCTAGTGTTTGAGATGTATTTTTGTCTTGTACTATGGGTGTGTGTGTGTGTGTGTGTGTATAAAATAAAACAAATGTGTGTATATATATATATATATATATATATAAAAATTTGTTTTATTTTCATTTCCATAGCATTAATGTATTTGTAAATTTTCTACATATGTATGTATGGAATTAAAAATAACAAATACACTTAGACCCTGGTCCTGCAACTAAGTCCATGCAGCTAGATCCCTACTCTCAAATGGAATTCCATTGAATTCAGCGAGACTGTCTGTATATAAGTTTCAGGGTGGTAACCTTGTTAGTCTGTATCAGCAAAAACAAGTACTCCTCATTGTTTTTTGTCTGTATGTAGTTCCTTGTATCCATGCCGTGGCCCATTGACTTGAGTGGGAGTTTCTTAAGGAGTAAGGGTGTGCCTATGCAGAGCAGATATTTATGTATGTTACGTATTGGTTCTGCAGACTGAATCTTGGGTATAAAACCACTTTGAGTTCTTACAATTATTTCTCTTTTGCCAGCCTCATGGTAAAGAATGTTTTTAGTTCTTGAAATTACTTATACATGTTTTTAGCGAGAGGATTATTAATCAGTGGAAGAATAAATTTCCAACAAGTAATTGAAGTGGTTGATCCAAACTAATGCAAATTATACCTAACTTTTCTAGACATTTTATGCTGTTTGATATTATTCAACATCACTTTCCGATTCAGTCTTGGTGGCCAATTCTGCAATGACATATGCACATCACATGCACACGTTTCCGCAGGATTGGAACGTTGGTCATAACTTTGAATTTTGCAGGGGGTAGGGGCTTTATCATAGGGGATCACTGTTTCAGTTGCTAAATAACCACTTACACTCCTGACTCCACAGTTAAGGTTTCAGGATTTTGTTTCTCACTATGAAATCTGATTCACTGAATCCAGTTCACTGATTTTCAAAAGACATGCTCCAGGTAATCACTTTGATCTTTTTTGTGCTAGGACAGCTATCCACCAACTCTCAACATTGCACAGCTGGGATCTCATGACCCAAATAAAATACTAAATCCTATTAAATGCTAGGAAAAATAATCAACCCCCACCCCCCTGTTTTCTTCTGAATCAGATCCCAATTTGTTTTTGTAGGTAACAGTAAAAGTTTAAAGTGGATGTGGAAAAGAAAGGAGAGAGGATCACCTAAGGGAGGTGAGGGACTCCAGGACAAAAAACTTCATTGCCACCTGTAAAAAAAAACTTTAGCTTAGCTTTTTCAATAACCATTTGTCATAAAATCTTACCTCATTTTCTGTTATAAAAACTGAATTGGGACTATTAAATAGAAATTCATTTTTCTATGACAGAAAGTGAGTTTAAAATCACCACTGGACCAGCAACTATGTTACTGCAGGGGTGTCGAAGCTCTTGGTGAGTTGGAGGAGGAAAGAGAGGTCTGCTGTAGATATTATAATTAGAACAGAATAACATCATGATCTTTTCTCCTGTCTTCCATTAACTTGTTTCAAAGTGGGAGAATATATTGTGTAAGCATCCCTAACTTTGGATTTCATAAAAATGTTTCAGTCCTTCCTTGTAAAGTGAATGTTTAATTTTACAGAACGATTCTCTGGTAGCATTCAGATGTACCAGGTTGTGCATCAGATTTCATAACACGCTGTATATGCACCAATCACCTCCTAATAATTGCTATATTTAAACATCTATTTTTGTTTAAAATTTTGAAACAGGAACTTTTAATCAAATAGTGCTAGTCTAACTTGTTTCTTGTTCTGTGGTGTTAAACTAGACCAAAAGGAAATGTTACTTCTTTTTGAATGTTTTACAGAGCTCTAGAGAAGAAATAGCTAGGTGGGAAGAGGGTAAAAAATGGCAAGCCAGAATGGAAGGGATGCGGAACAAACTAAAAGAAAAGGAGAAGGAAATGGACGCTTTAACAAAACAGTTCAGTACATTAAAGGAACTTTATTCCAAGTGAGTTGATTTTAATTAGACATATTTCTAAACTGATGATAAAAATAAAGAAAACTTGGTTTGTTGGTGACAAAAATATTGCAACAGTTTTATTATATTAAAAAAATATAATTTACAATTTACATTCCTGTTGAGACTACAAGGGTTAGCTTATTTTCAAGCAGCAAGCTGCCTTTATGTTTCTAGCTATTCTAGTATCCTGTTTTCTGTAGGAGCTGACATTATTTTACTAATTAAATTAGTTTTGCTCAAAGACTGTTTCTAAGTTCTCTATTAATAATTAGGGCTGTCAAGCAATTTAAAAAATTCATCACAATTAATTGCACTGTTAATAGAATACCATTTTTAAATATTTTTGGATGTTTTCCACTTTTTCAAATATATTGATTTCAATTACAATACGGAATACTAAGTGTACAGTGCTCACTTTATATTTATTTTTGTTTACAAGTATTTGCACTGTATAAAAACAAAAGAAATAGTATTCTTTAGTTCACCTAATACAAGTACTGTAGTGCAGTCTCTTTATCGTGAAATTTGAACTTACAAATGTAGAATTATGTTAAAAAAAACAACCTGCATTCAAAACTAAAACAATGTAAAATTTTAGAGCTTGCAAGTTCTTGTTCAGTCAATCGCTCAGACAAACAAGTTTGTTTACATTTGCAGGACATAATGCTGCCCGCTTCTTGTTTACGATGTCACCTGAAAGTGAGAACAGGCATTTTCATGGCACTGTTGTAGCCGGCGTCGCAAGATATTTACATGGCAGATGCACTAAAGATTCATATGTCCCTCATGCTTCAACCGCCATTCCAGGGGACATGTATCCATGCTGGGTGACTGGTTCTGCTTGATAACAATCCAAAGCAGTTGTCATAAATATAAAGGGAAGGGTAAACACCTTACTTTTAATTGAAGAAAAAGTAAAAGAATCACCTCTGAAAAATCAGGATGGTAAATACCTTACAGGGTAATCAGATTCAAAACATAGAGAATCCCTCTAGGCAAAACCTTAAGTTACAAAAAGACACAAAAACAGTAATATACATTCTATTCAGCACAACTTATTTTATCAGCCATTTAAACAAAACAGAATCTAACACATATCTAACTAGATTACTTACTAAGTTCTAAGACTCCATTTCTTTTCTGTTCCTGGCAAAAAACAACACAGAGAGAGAGAGAGAGAACCTTTGTTTCCCTCCCCACCCCCAACTTTGAAAGTATCTTGTCTCCTCATTCGTCATTTTGGTCAGGTGCCAGCGAGGTTATCCTGTCTTCTTAACCTTTTACAGGTGAAAGGTTTTTCCTCTGGCCAGGAGGGATTTTAAAGGTGTTTACCCTTCCCTTTATATTTATGACAGCAGTGCAGACAGATACCTGTTCATTTTCATTATCTGAGTCAGATGCCACCAGCAGAATGTTGATTTTCTTTTTTGGTGGTTTGGGTTCTGTAGTTTCCTCATCGGAGTGTTGCTCTTTTAAGACGTCTGAAAGCATGCTCCACGCCTTGTCCCTCTCAGATTTTGGAAGTCACTTCAGATTCTTAAACCTTGGGTCAAGTGCTGTAGCTATCTTTAGAAATATCACATTGGTAACTTCTTTGCATTTTGTGAAATCTGCAGTGAAAGTGTCCTTAAAATAAACAACATGTGCTGGGTCGTCATCCGAGACTGCTATAATATGAAATATATGGCAGAATGCAGGTAAAACAAAGCAGGGAACATACAATTCTCCCCCAAGGAGTTCAGTCACAAATGCAGTATTTTTTTAATGAGTGTCATTAGCATGGAAGCATGTCCTCCAGAATGGTGGCCGAAGCATGAAGGGGCACACGAATGTTCAGCGTATCTGGCACGTAAATACCTTGCAGTGTTGGATACAGCAGTGCCATGCAAATGCCTGTTCTCACTTTCTGGTGACATTGTAATAAGAAGAGGACAGCATTATCTCCTATGTTTGTCTTAGTGATTGGTGGAACAAGAAGTAGGACTGAGTGGACTTGTAGGCCCTGAAGTTTTACATTGTTTTGTTTTTGCATGCAGTTATGTAACAAAAAAAATCTACATTTGTAAGTTGCACTTTCACAACAAAGAGATTGCACTACAGTACTTGTATGAGGTGAAATGAGAAATACTATTTCTTTTATCATTTTTACAGTGAAAATATTTGTAATAAAAATAGTATACACTTTGATTTCAATTACAACACAGAATACAATATATATGAAAATGTAGAAAAACATCCAAGATATTTAATAAATTTCAGTTGATATTCTATTGTTTAATAGCGCAATTAAAACTGTGATTAATCACTATTATTTTTTTTAATTGTGATGAATGTTTTTGAGTTAATCGTGTGAGTTAACTGTGATTAATCGACAGCCCTATTAATAATTTGTTTTTAGCACAGTCAAAGAAGCACCAGCTGCAGGTGAGGACAGACTTTTCTTACGTTTAGTTTCATCAGACTGCTAGAATTAGCAGCTGTGTTAATCTGCAGTGTTCTGACACCTCCAGCATTGTGATGACCAAGACTTTTTCAGCAAAACTCCAGAAAAGATGTGTTTATTTCATTTAACCATGTTTTCAATGTAGTCACAGAAAAATTTTCACTGACCTAGAATTCAAGAGATTAAAAGTAACAAAAGAATAACAAGAATTATATAAATTTGTACATTTCTTTCACTAGCTGTGCTTTACTTAGGCTTTCTGTTTTTGTAAAGGGTTACATAAATATAAAATATTAATGAATGCTTAAGCAAAACCTGCAAGTGATTTGTGAAATGTACAATATTCACTCAATATTCTTTTATGAGAAACTAGAAAAATGTCCATTTTTAAGGTAATTTATATCAAGAAACGTTCAATGAGCAATTGGATTGCAGGTCTAGAATCTTTCGAATGAAATACTGTTCACTTTCAGATGAAGCAGATTGGTAAACAAATGTACCAAGATTTTAGTAAAAACAAATTGAATGTTGCAGAGCTGATAAAGAGAAAATTGCTTTACAAAAGAAGCTCAAGACCAGCAGTATTACTGTTGACCATGTTGTGGGAGTGCGGGCGTCAGAGTCAGAGAAAGAGCTGGAAGAACTAAGAAAACGGAATATAGACTTAGAAAATGAAATTGCTCATATGAGGTAAGAGTTGTTTCAAAAGGAGAGACCCCATTTGGAAAGCTTACAATTTTTCCCCTTAAATACATTTTGGGTTTATTCTTCAAGGAATTAATTCACAGAAGCTGGCTCCCTGTGCATAAAAGTGAAAACACAGTTGTCGTTAGTTCAACTATAACACCTTAGCTCTAGTTTTTTTTCTCTCAAGTTTTGGAAACCTGTTACATTTTCAGTGTATATGCATAATGCACCATTATTGGTAACAGAAATTTCACATAAACATCAAGAGAAAATAGACTCTTAGGACTTCTTAAGGCTGAAACTATGCCAAATTCCTGGATTATGGTGTTTATTTAATTCAGTTTATATAAATAAAATTGATTTAGTATAGCTACATTTATCTAACACAAGATAGTAAAATCTTCAGTCTAGGAAAGCATAAGTCCATACTTGATTTACATTAAAGGATGCTTTCCTGCATTAATAACAAACGTTCACTTCTTTATTTTTGATACAGAACACAACAAGCTCTCCCACGAGATTCTGTGGTAGAAGAGTTACATTTAAAAAATCAATATTTGCAGGAAAAGCTTCATGCATTGGAGAGGCAGTTTTCAAGAGACACATTTTCAAGACCTTCGGTAAGCAACCAACTTTGTTATTACCCAAATTGAAAATTGAATGCATCTCCTGCTCAAGGACATATTTATCATCCATCTATTATTCTGTAGTATTTGGTCCATTTTATTTTAGGTTGCAATCATCCAATACAGCATCTAAAAAAATTAACTTTTTTCTCCTTTATTAACCTTATGGCAATAATGTTTAGCATTTTTTTTTTTTAAATTCTAAGAACTAAAATGTGTTACTGTTTTTCATAAACGTTATGTGGTTAGAAGGAAGAAAGATGTGCTTAGTGCTCTAAACAGAGAGGACAGACACTCTCTACCTCAGAGGTCTTACAGTCTAAAAGACATATAAAGGCAAGACACACTGGGAGACTCAGAAGAAGGTCTTGGCTTAGTGTAGGGGTGGTTTTTTTTTTCCCCTTTCATTATTTATTACCTAGCATTGGCTAGTGTTTGGAACCTCACAGAAATGCTTGTTTAGGAGGGATTTCCTTTTGAATAGAACAGGGAACTGGCACAATAAGATGGAGGACAGTTTAGGGCACAGCATGGAAGAAGATACAAAGCTGGCTGTGGCTGTTGGAAATAAATGATTCTTCTTTGAATGTGTATCAGTGTGGATCCCACTGTTCGTGTGCGTGCACCTCATGCGCAAGATCAGATTTTTTTTTTTAATAGCAATGTCTGCCAGGGCTGTACATGTGCCCTGTGCTTCCTTGTAAGGGCATAAAGGGCGGAGTGGCTGCAGCCCTCCCTCTGTTGGGCTTGCACCTGAAGAGGAGCACCCCTACGGACACGTCTTGAAGAATTCCAGCTATTGCACAAGATGAGTAACCTCTCCTTACAGGTAAAATTAAAAACAAAAAACACAATCTGTAGTCTATACTTATTAACAAGTTACTTTCCTGTCTAAATAAGGTATTTCGCATCCAATGGTCAGTCTTTCAGTCTTGTCCAGCCCATAAAGCTGGGATTCACCGTTCATAAGACCTCTGCTTCCTGATGTCAGTTTTCTCCTATAATGGATAACCGCTAGGGCCGTTTCTCCCGTTCTTTTACAGTAGGCGGTTGTCTCTTAACCAAGAGGGCCCCCTCTTCTCAGAACTCTCTCGGGGTTCATTTGTCTTTGCAAATCTCCAGCCTTCATCTAGTCCTGACAGTAACCATAGGCTGTCTCCATGAATGTTCATTTTTCTTATATTGCTTGAGTCTGCTGTCAGACTCCCACTCCTCAGGTGATAGGTTTCACTCACAACAGATTTGGAACACAATATCCTACAGGTTATATCACTCTAAAATTGTTTACCATACAAACATCTTGTAATAAACACGACAGTCAGGTAGTTCTTTGCTTTCGGCAGAGACCACACAAGACCCCTGTCTGTGTAATATCAAGAAAATGGTTGGACACAGATGTAATGCACCTGACAGCGCATGCTTGGGCATGTCTGTGACACACTGACCACACATAAACAAGAGTATTTTTAGTATTTAGGATAGAGAAGAAGCTCCAGCTCTTTTAAATGTTCTGCAAATAGAAACAGCACTATTGTTAACACCCTAAATGTGTAGGGAGAAGACAAGGAGTCAACGATTATCCAGCTTTGTGAGACTGAGAGACTGGGAGGATGCTGTGTTGTCCACAGCATGGAAAATTGGAGAGGAGATAATGAGCTTGGTTTTGGCTACACGGTCTCTTATACACACGGTTCTCTGTATTCCTAATGTCAAATTATCTGATTCTTATTAAACCTGCCACAAGTGGACATGATGTTATATATAGGTGTGCTGTCTTATTGCTTTTACTGTCTACCTCTTTTCTTTTCATGCTTTATTACTCTTTTCTTCTGCTTCAAACAGAGTGCTGCATGTGACACAGCTGCATTGATTAATTCCTCTTTTGCTAACAATGTCAGTAAATACAAGCATTTGAAATATCCATGGAAGAAAACTGCTTCAACTAAGGGCAAAGTAAAACACCAACCCACTATTAGTATTACAGGTGGCAATGGAATAGATGAGGGTGCAAACATTACTGATCAATGCCATCAGGCTGCTGGAGATGCAATTACTGAATTAACTCCAGAACAGGAACCTGAACATTATGAAAAACATGCGAATTCAAATAATTCTAGGGTAGGATCAAAAGGCAAAAGGAGTAGCTCTCTGAAAACTGAAGCGGATGACGAGGGTATCAGTGATGACCAAGAAAATGTAACAGGCCCTGAAGAGGGTGAAGTTAATGAAGAACATGATGGAGAGAAAGAAGGGAAGCAAAAAGTATGCAAGCAATCAACTAATAACAATGAAGGAAGTAGAGCAGAATCTTGTGCTGATGCAATGAGCTGCAATCAGTCTGATTCAGGGGAGCCTTCTAATCAACCTAATGGTTATGAGCCAGAAAATTTAAAAATTAATAATGGAGTGGATAAACACACTGAAGAAGATACAAGTGGAAATCACCAACCTGATACAGAGGGGACTGAACAAACCCCAGGACTTTGTGAAATGCCCCAGGTTTGGCACTATAGCAGTTCTTTAATCCTTCAATTCCCTATTAGCTACATTGTTTGTATGTATACAGTATATAGACTAAAATGTTTATTGTAGAATAGTTTGTTTCCTGATACGTATTTAGTTTTTTTATTATCTTCCTGCTTTGTGCTTCTTTAGCAGTGTGTGTTGTGACAATATCTTTTATATTTATTAGAGAGAATATATTTTACTAGTGAGGCAGTTACTTTATTCCCCCATGTTTTTATTGGTGATACTTAATTCTAATTATTTGTGAAATTATCAGAGTTTCTTTATTTTATTTTTGCAGGTTTCTATTTTTATTTTATATTTATTTCAAGGGAGACCATCCTTAGTTTTTACTGCCTTATCTCTACTCATGTTGTAATCTTGTGAGAGTAAGATCCTTGCACATATTTGCATAATGGGGCCAAATGTGGAGTTTTTTGTTTCCTTGTTCAGATTTTTTTTAGGTTTTTTTTTTGTTTTTTTTAATCCAAGCAGTTTGATCCTGTTGAAAAAGAGAAAAGGTTCTTGGGATTTTTCTTTTTCTTCTGAGACTAACTTCGCATAAATTATACTAACAGAGTCTCTTGGCTAGTGACAATTTATAGCTGTTTCAAAGTTGAGTCTCTGTAAAAGTATACAAGAAATAATTACATGTATCTTTTATTAATTATTGCATTTGTTCATCTTACTCAGTGCTCAAATTCTGTGGTAATGAATTTGATACAAAATATCTAGATGAATAGTTACAGTACGGTCTAGTAGTCACAGCAGTGGACTGGTACTCAAAGGACCTGGCTTCTATTCCTGGCTCTGCCACTGATGCTCTGGGTGACCTTGGGCAAATCACTTCACCTCTGTGTCTGTTTCCCCTTTGTGAAAATACGGATAATAATGCTTGCCTCCTTTATTAAGATCTATAGATGAAAAGTGATGTATAAAAGCTAGGTATTACTAGGGACCAGATTCAGATACCCTTTTCCTGTTGAGATACACTTGAGTCTGAATGATCTGACTTCAGTGGGGGACTGATTATAGTGTGAAGTGCTATCAGTGTGACTAAATGTATCAGAAGGTGGCTCTAAAATAGATGCTATTCACAAGTACAGTAACCCTGTTTAGAACCCTGGAATTTTTTCACTTACTAGATTTTGAGATTTCAAAAATCAGTGTTTATTTTTGCCGAACAGAAGTTTATACTGTTTTATACCTTCACTTCACTTAATTAAAGCAAATTTTTAAAATGTTCATAAAGGAATTAAAGGAAGAAGTTGAGTCAAAGGTCCACATTAGCTTTCTCTATCTGCTTTTTTAACTTTAATGTGGTAAAAAAATACTGAAGGGTGAACTCTATAAGAAGGTGTCTTGCTGTATAAACACTTTGTTTCAATATGGAATGTAATGTTATTGCCCAGATTATTGATCTTTATCCAGTGTAACTAATGTAAGGATTAATACCTCAACATTTAATAATATTTTATTCTGTTCCTTCCCTTTCTTAAGACGTCAGGAATAGGATCAGATGATCAGTGTCAAAGACAACAGGAGCTTCAGAAAGAAAATTTGAGATTATCATCTGAAAATGTTGAACTAAGATTCCAGCTAGAGCAGGCTAATAAAGATCTGCCAAGATTAAAGGTATTTTTTTAGCATATAACACATTTTAAAGGCTCATTGAGAATGTAAATGTACATTTAAAAAAAACCAAACTTCTGTGAACTCTGTTGTACTAATACATATTCCATACATACTATATACATTTGATGTAAATATATAGAAAACCAAATACACTGGGGGCAGATTTCAGAAGCCACCTGTAAGGCCTAGTCTTTCAAGTAAACATATCTACTTATAGCTGTGGACTCTAAAGCCCCTGTCCTGCAATAAGTACCATAAGGGTAGAACCCTGCAGCCTCAGAGAGGCACTTGAAAGTCAATGGAGTTGTGCATGTGCAGAGTCCTGCCCATTGTAGGGACCTAAATATGTGCCTGCAGTTTATCATACGTAAATGTTTGAAAATTTTAAAAATTAATAATTAAATGTGCCTGGGTAAGAGGTCCCTTTTAAATTTGTCCCTTTATGTTATAAATTATGGAGTGGTATAGTCGCTGTTCCATAGTGTAGTTGAAGCCAGCTTCCCATTACAGTCCCTGTTTTCAAACTGGCCCTTTCCCAACTTCTGACCCACCCTCTGTCGCCCAAAAAAACCAATCCAATTTCAGACTGACAGCTCTCCTACTAGGGTAGAGTTTTCCTGGGAAATTTGGGAAAAAATCAACAAAGGTGTGTGTATTGTTTGTTTTTTTTTAATTATTCCTAGGTTATAAAATATGAGTTGAAGCTAGATTGTGCTGTACCCTAAGAATTTAGATTATGAGAAAACATGCAGAACTCTCACATACTCTCTAATAATTTTTTTGTTTGGGTTTTTTTTAAGATCTTTACAATGCACTTAATATGGAAGATCAGCAGCATACCAACATTATTTAATGTTTCCATTAAAGAATAAAATATGGGGGCAAATTTAGAGGGCATGGGTTTTGTAACCTGGGTGGTTAGTAGCAAGTGATGAATTATATGGCAAGGGGGAACTTATTTTTTGGTTTTGTTTAATGTTTTTCAAAGTAAACTAACTGAAGATGAAAATTTTTGTAATTTAAAAAAGTTTAAATTCACCTGTTAATTGAGTAAAGCTTAAATAAAATGGTTATTATTTGTATTCTTTAGGACCAAGTAGGTGACTTGAAAGAAATGTGTGAGCTTCTCAAAAAAGAGAAAGCAGAAGTTGAGCGCAAGCTAGGCAGTGTTAGAGGGGTGAGTAATGCTACTGTGTTTTTCAGAATAATTAAATGATTGAAATACACAAGATTACTAGTAAGGTTTAATTACAACTGAAATGTTTATCATCAAGCAAAAGAAGATGGGAAATGTTAGTTTTTACACTTAGTTACCTCTCCTTATTTTATTATCTTGGTACTTTAATCAAAGAACCAAGATACTAGTCAATTGGCTATTACTGTTAGTAAAGTTTCTCACCTACTTAAATCTTTGCAGGATCAGGTCCTTAGTCTGCCACCTGGATTAGCAACAGTTACCTGCAAAACTGTCTCTTCACCAATATGAGAATATAGCCATAAGTGTATGCAAAATGATATTTCGTTCTATATTTGAAAATCTTTTGGTAGAGCTAACCAAATGGGATTAGGTTGTTAGAAAGTGGAACCTGTAATTAGAGAAATATTTTGTTTTTTAATATACAAGAGGATTATATAAGTGGACCTTCAGTTTACCTCAAGCCTATGTTAGTGATTGATGTAGTCTTCAATTCCGTTCACACCAGTACAAGTACACTGCAAGTGTAATGGTGTGAAGTAAACCCTTCTTCATTCCTCAGAAGACCAGAAAGCAAATGCTGCAGCAGAAACACTGCTCCTCCATTGCCAACATCTCATGAAACCACAAGTGAGACGCTTACAAGATGCAAACACTGTAAGAGCCACACTTGTGCCTCCTACACTGTACAGGGAGTGAAGTGTGCTGCCTCCACAATTGTTGCTCCCTGGGCTTCCCAAGAAGTAAAGAGGAGTCAGCATAGTGCTGCAGGGAGCCATAACTGGATTCCCCACATTCCTTTAACCTCCTACACTATGCCACTGTTTCTTCACTTCTTGACTTCAGCAGCAACAAGGTCTGCCTCCTCCTTTACTGGATAAGGTAGCAGTGAAATTCTCTTAATTTACTGAAGTGATTGTACATTGGAGTTTACTGTATGTAGAGTCTTTTCCCCTTCCCTCTTTTTTCCTGCATTAATAAAATATTAATAAAGTAGGAAGGGGAGTAGATAATCCACTGAAATGCAGTACTTCATATTTGCTTGGCCAAGTGTTGCATTCCAAAGGAATTAGCATAGTGGAACCGTGCTAATATGTATGTATAAATGCAGAATTTTCATAGCACAATGTATTTACATACCAAATGTATAAATGTTGTGTCAGTTCTTTTAATAACACAAAAATTTAGATCCCCAATCCTGCAATTTGTTGTGCATGGACAGACTTCATGTGTGCCTGTTGACTTCAGTGGGGCTCCTTTGTGTCCTCCACCTGCAGGTAACAAATTTCAGATTCAGAACTATAATCCCAAACTATAGTTACCATATTTTGTGTGTTTACAACAAAGCTATTAAAAAAAAAACAAGACTTCAGACACATTTGATATCTCACTTAAAATTTCAAGCATTTACTTCATTATGCTTTTTTTTTTTCTTTTCTTTTTTTCCCCTGTCTTTTCTGTGTAGTCTGGTAGAAGTGGAAAGACCATTCCAGAATTAGAAAAAACCATTGGTTTGATGAAAAAGGTTGTAGAGAAAGTGCAGAGAGAAAACGAAGATCTGAAAAAATCCCCAGGAGTTGTCTCTAATGAGAAACTAGTTAGCCTTGAACTTGAAAATGAGAGGCTAAAGGTACTGATTTATCATTCGTTATTATTTTTTGTAGCAACTTATATATAAATTAATTAGGAAAACTGATGAATAATAGTGTTTCACCTAAAACATAAATATCTTCAGTAGTATGTATAATCAAACCTATTGACATTATTTGGCACAAAAATTTGCTTCAGTTAAAAAAAAATCACAAATGTGAACTTTGTACCACACAGAAGCAAAGCTTTATATATGCACTTCCTCCACAAAGTACTAAACCCACCAAACAAAATCGATGTTTTGTATTCTTTCATAATAATAACTGAATATAGTAACTTCTAAAGCAAAATGTGAATTTTAATGTAATGCAAGTTATTGTGACAGAGATAAATTTCTAAGGGAAATTTTGATATTCAAAATATCTTTTAATGTATTTGAGATATAGACATAAACGTGCTAAAGTGCTTTGCTGAATTGGGACCTGCATGTGCTAGATAACTGTAACATTCAAAATGAGAACTCGAAAGAGTCTAAGTTGTGTAAATACATATTTTTGTTTTGTTTTTTGTTTAATATTTAGTCTGAAATGGAAAAAATGAAACTTCATCTGGGTGGCCAGCTGAGTATGCGTTATGAATCAAAAACCAGAGGCATGGAAAAAATCATTGCTGAAAATGAGAGACTACGTAAAGAGCTGAAAAAAGTACGGTTATAGGATAGCATCCAGCCATTTGAGGAAATTGTTGGATATATTAAGCATCTTTTCTTTTAATTTGGCTGGAAGTATACATATTGAATATTGAATTTACAGTTCTGTACGCGCTCAGATACTATTTTGATGGGTTTCCTAAATACATAACAGATAGTATTTATGATATTCTTGATACCATACCAATTTGTGCTGTAGTCCTATTAGATCACAAAGGCTAAGCAGAATTGACTAAGGTCAGTGTCTTGGATGGGAGACCTCCAAGAAATACCCAGATGCTATTGGAAATAGTGTTTATGATCTAATATGTGGCACTCTTCCTTCTGAATCAGTACAGATCCAATTTCTGAGTGTAATTTTATAGAGTTCCGTGCTGCGTGAGGTTCTGTATTTTGGATAAAAGAAGCATGAAGGCACTTCGCCACAATGTATATAATTTTGTGCCTCATTGGACAACAGGAGGCTGACACTGCAGAGAAGCTACGAATAGCAAAGAATAACATAGAGATAATAAATGAGAAGTTGACTGTGGAACTGGAGGACACTGTTAAGAGGTTAAACTTTGCTGAAAGCAGAGGTCCACAACTCGAAGGAGCTGACAGCAAAAGCTGGAAATCAATTGTTGTAACAAGGTAGGAACTGAGAATGAAACAGGCAAAATGATTTGTTTTCTTTAAGTATTTTTAAATGAATGATATTTTCATGATCATAGTTCTCAGTTCCTTTTCTAAAGCATTTCTTACTGACCTCATAGCAATCATTGATGAATTTACTATATTACATATGTTCAATATACAAACTTCTGACCCAGATCCAGCAGACATGTAGCGTCCTCAGTCATGTGTCCATAAACCCTGTTAGTCTCTGCTGCTCCAGAAACTCTTTCTCCTGTTCTGAGAATGAACCCTCCCTTGCAGCTTGAAAATGCTGGATTGTTAAACTGAGGGGACTACCTTCCAGATTCTGCCCTGTACTATTACAGAATATCGTAACTGGGCTTTGAAGAATAATTTTGTGGTATTTACTAAGCATGATAAGCAAGCTCCTTAGCATCCTACCATGAAGGCAAATTCCTCCATAATTGATCAAACAGCAGTCACCCAGAGAAGTGTTGAAAGGTCTATGACCTGAATTTCTCAGACTTTGACTTGTTAATAGCACTCTGGTGGTGATGGTGAATGGGAAGAGGTATAAAGAGAGGGGTTATGCTGCTTCAAAATTACACCATCACAAAATAACAAAACAATAGTCTGAGAGGAGGGAGGAGCCCCTTCCCCACACCAGGAGTATGATGGTAGATGAACCCCATGCATCCTACAAAGGATTGGAGTGGATAGAAGGTAATTTACACAGACCCTTCTGCCTACCTTTCCCAGATAATGTTTTCAGTAAACAGTTGGGCCTGGAGCCAGTCAATTCTTTTACCTTTTACCTGTAGTGGATGGGAAAGTGAAATTGCGGTGGCACAGACAGGGTGATGGGTACACCCTAAGTACCTGTTGGAGACCATACGTACATACTCAGTGTGACTAGCCTGTCCTGCTGCTTAGCTACATTCTCTTTTTAGCGCACACACGCACGCTTCTACTAGGGTCACCATCTTTGTTTTACAAAGGGTTCGTTTTTGGACTGTGTGTCGGGTTTGCAGGATGGGGAAAAAATATTTTCTGGACTAGGCATAGTATTTGCAGAATGGCCTTAATTTTCTTTCCTGTTTTCAGGATGTATGAAACTAAAATGAAAGAACTGGAAACTGATGTTGCCAAAAAAAATCAAAGCATTACTGATCTTAAACAGCTACTGCAAAAGGCAACAGAACGTGAACACAACATTGAAAAACACACACAAGACTTGAAGGAACAGGTGAGTAAAACGTAGCCTATCTATAATAATAAAAGGCAGATTTTTCTTCCCTTGTACACGTCCATAGGTTTGTTGTTATAGTGTGTTTCATTATTTGCGTACCCTAACTATACATTTCCATGCTTAAGCATGTTTGGATTTCTTTTAAATTTAACCTTAATGGTGAATTTCCTTGGTTAATAAAGCTTAATATTGGGATAATCCCTATAATGTAATTTACCCTAAATTTCTGATATGAACTCTCAACTTTGTTTCCGATTTACTTATGTTAAAATGGAGTTAATCAGAGGTAGATTTTCCTCCACTATACACATCTAAACATTTATCACTGTAGTATTGTTCATAAGCGCTGAGCTGTAGGTATGGTTGTTTTAATATGCCTTAAAATTTCCTTCTAACTCATTCAATAGAAGCTATTTGTTGACTTTGACTTTCTGAGCATAGTGCAAGAACTGTCTCCTTATTCAGACTTTTGCTTTCATGGGTTGGTTCAGAGGGTGGACTCCCACACAGTATATGAGGAAGGCTTTCAGTTTGACATTTTATCATTTTCCCTGTAACTGTTTAATGTTATATTCTGTATATGAAGCACCTAAAGATGCTTATAAGTGTATTTAATACATTGTCAAGTTTTTATTAATTTATATTTTTCAATCATATCTTTAAAAAAAAAAAGTTGGGTCAAATTTTTGGCCCACGAGTCTTGACACAGAGTTCTTTTAAATATCCCAGCGTAATTAGCCCCAGGACTGTATTTGCCAAGATTAGTCCCAGGCTTGTCTTGGTTTTAATGTGTATATGCCATTTCTCCAGCACTATGTGAGGAATCAAAAGTTTGTCAGAATGCATAGAGCTGTGACTTATTTTGAGTAATTTTTAAAGTTTAAGTGCTATTTTCTTCTTTGCTATAGTTTTTGAATACGTGTCAGTAATCTGAACACTGGGCTGGGGCAAAATCAGCAGAGATCTGTATGTAAACTTTGCAATTTTTTATCAACAATCTGGAGCAAGACACTTTGCAATTTATTTGTGTGTCTCAAATAACGTTTGCAGCTGTCCTTCATCAAACATAACTCTAAATCAGCAGAACAGAAATTGTGGACGAGATTAAGAATAAACACTTTGGCAAGGCAACAATAGATTAAAATACCCAGTACAAAAAGCAAAAGTATATGAGATCATTGACTATTACAATTCATTTGAGGAGCATGTTCATTAAAATGTCCTAACTGGAATAAAACTATTCTAATTGAAATATAAACCACTGTATTCATAACATATCTAGCACAGAAAGATAAAGGCTTTATTTAGGAAATACTGATTTGAAAGTTTTGCTTAATTAAAATACTACCTCTAAACTCTCTCCCTGTTGACGATTTCATCCTTGAAAGATACCATCTGCGCAGAATTCTCGTTCTTGGGCCTTAGTTCATTGGGGAGAAACTGGCAAAATTCCCAAGCTCTGCGTTGTTTTAACCTGATAGTAAGGTAGTGTGAGAGCTAGGCCCCACAGTGTACTAACTCACCACCTATTCCCATGTATAAATGCTTCCCTTTGAACATTCCATTCATATCCTGCTCCTGACAAAATGTTCCAGTGACTTCGGTCAAGAATACACTGTGATGCAAAGGATAGAACACAAGACGGAGGCTATGCCTACACTTACAGAAATATATAGTACAGGTACTATACATGTAGCTGTACATCTGTGACATACCCTCAGGGTAAAATCTGGAACTGTGGGACCCTGTACCCCCTTAACTCTTCAGAGAGGACTGTCTCTTCCAATGCTATGCTAGTGACAAGCAGCAAACCCATCCAGGTGCTATCACTCAGCCAAAAACATGCAGAGACACACCCAGCTAAACTGCATGAGTGCTCACCAAGCCACTCATGAACTGTACACAGGGAAACATCAGCAAATTCCCCCCCAGACGCAGCCTTGCACCCCAGAAATGTTACACTGCTCAAGACCCTCTTGAACAATGCAAGCTTATTAATTAGTTTGCCATTTTATCAAAGGATAGTGGACATGCTCTAGCCTTTATAATCTCAGCAGACACCCCCAAGCGCTTAGGACAAACTCACTGGTTAAGATTAAACATTAAAATAGTTTGATTCACTACAGAAAGATAGATTTTTAAATGATTGTAAGTGTTACGTAACCATCTCTGACCTTTATACTTAAGAAATAAAAAGTAAACACGCATTCTAAATCCTAAACTTTATCAGACTAAGCAAGGGTTGGTTGAATCAATCCGTTTCATCTCACCCACTAGGCACTATAAGCAGTTCACAGTTCTTAATACTGCTCAGCCTAGGACCAGTCTCCCCAGTTCAGTCTTTTTTTTCCCCCAACATTCTTGTTGCCTTCAGAGGTCGGGGAGGAGAGAGAGGTGATCTTATGATACCACTGTCCCTTATTTTATATCCTCAGTTCATGGGCCGGATATATACTGTAGGAGTTCAAGCATGTAGGGTACTCTACTCACCTAATCCATACCTCCCCATCAATACTGCTATTTGTACCCATGCTAGTTGCATGTGCAGTGTCTGTACTCTACATGATGCTGTAAATGTAGACTTATCTTGAATCCAGAGAACTGAGTTCACGTCCTGTCTTTACCACTTACCTGCTGTGAGATTTTGAGCAAGTCACTTTCTATCTCCAAACTTCAGTTTGCCCCTCTGTAAAATTCAGATAATACAACTTGCCTTGCTTTGTAAAGCACCTTGAGATCTACAGACGAACAGCACTTTGAGAGTAAAGAATTGTTATTTATCCTGTCTGAAGGATCTCAAGAAAAGGAGAAACTCTTTGATGTATCTGTCTCTTTGGATCAGTGAGTGTATCCAGCACTCCTATTCTCTTGCAGGCTTCCCATGCCAAGAGAATCTTAGGGCTCACTCAAATAGTATAGTAGTCACCTCAATGAGCCTACTTCTCTCTGACCTGCCACCACTAGCGAGCCATGCCACACAGTCAGAGCTCTTGCTAGGGCCATATTGTGCAAGCCCCACGCTGCCACAGGAAGGTTCCATTCAGCTGCATCTAGCCTATCCAGGATCAAAGCTTGAAGGGAGTGCGTCCACTTTGTCCCAGCATTCTTGACTTCTCTGTATAGTCCCCTATTGGACTGATCATATTTGAACTGATAATTTCCCATTTATCTTCCATTGTTTTCAACTGACTACCATATTTTCAACTAATTAATTATTTGACTGCATTTATCTAGGTGATTTGCCAATTGTGCTGTTTGATATGACTGATTCTTTGAATGCCTTGTTTTAACTGATTGCTGCCCATATCCACTGCCAGCTCTACTTTGCTTTCTTCCATATTTGATAATGCTCAAAACTCCTTCTGACTCCTGACCACTTCCCTTCTCCCAAAACCTCTCAGAGAGAATAGTATGTGAGGATAAAGGACACTAATTCCTCAACTACTGACTATGGGCCTGATCCTACAACCTTTACTCATGAGTAATTTTTTCTAACAAAAATACGGATCACATGATCAGGTCCTCTGCTTTTATTGCTTAAAAGATGTTAGTTATGATCACCTTCAAACAATACAAAAGTTAATACTTTAAAATAGTGGAATTCATAGAGATTAAAATATTTTACCTTAATTTAATTTTTAAATTTTTTTTTTTTTTACATAATCAGGTCCTTAGGGCCAAACTTCAAGGTATTTAGGCATCTAGAGATGCAGACAGACACCTAGTGGGACTTTCAAAAAGCACCTAAGGAGGTTAGGCCTAACTCACTTTGACACTTTTGTAAATCCCACTAGGTGTCCATCTGCATCTTTATGCATATAAATACCTTAGTATATCTTTATCTAGATTACTATGTATTTTCTGTTCCTTCCTACAAGGCAGCTGAAGCACTAATTCATATTTACTATAGTAGGCTTATAGATAAAACTTCAGATGCTTTATAGGAATTACCAGCATCTACAAAGGCGCATCTGAAAGTTTTTATATTGCAATTTATTTGTTTGTCCAATTAAAAGTTCAGTTTACCTTTTCTCTAAGATTAATACTACAGTTCTCTCTGCTACTAGGCTTCTGTTTTTCCTTTCTCTGTATTACTTTAGCTATGGTATTCTCAAGTTGAGTTGCTTTGAGTTAGTAAATGTAACTATAGGTATTGTTTTCAAATGTAAAATGTCCTCATTTTCCTTATACTTCTTTTAAACCTAAGATTGAGCTTCTCAAACACTTTCCTGAAGGTGTTAGCACGGAGCAAGGCCTTGCCAGAGAGCTTCAGCTTCTCAGGTAAAGTACCAAGAATTATCCCTAAAATATGAACCCCCACTCCACTATGTACAGAAATGAGAATAAGACGTTCTTAGATATGAATACCCAGAGCAATTTTTACTCTTCACAATATTTCAAATTAATTGTCTTACAGATTAACCAGTAATCAACTGGAGAAGGAAAAAGCAAAACTAGCTCACCAGGTGGAGGCTTACCGACATCAAACAGGCACCAATGCAAGCGAAGGCTCTGCAGCCGGTAGCCATTTTCAGTATCCAAAGTATAAGGATTTTTCAGTAATTTGGGCTGGAGCTGCTCTCATTTACTACACTAGTGAGAGTTGGGAGTAATTCCGTAACAGTAAATTAGATTACACCAGTGTAAAACTAGTGTAAGTAAGAACACAATAAGGCCTTCAATTTTTGAGCACCTATGTAAAGCTGCAGGTACTCTGTTGTAAAAGAAATACTTGTGAAAAGCTAGATCCTTTACAAATATATTTTTATCTTCAGAAAAGGATATTTTATGGTAATTTTGTGATTATGTTAACAGCAGTTGCTGAAGAGAATACCTTTTCTTTTTGAAAACATGTACATAGTTTCCTGATGCACACATCAGGATTCTGTGCACACTAGAAGCAGATAACTGTTGGACAACTATTGCAACACTGGTTTTGCATGTTTTCAGTGGTATATGTATTATACAACTGCTACCAGAAATCCTGTTTTAGGCTATCCACTAGCAAGTTTACAGCTACTTAGTACTACTTGTAACCACTAACAAGTGTCAGGACAGAGACTAAGAATGGGTGCGTAACAGTGGAACTATGGTATTAAATTAATTTTAAAAAGCACCTTTCATCTAAAGAACATTTACCATAGCTCCCCCTTCCTTACAGCTGCTGCCCTTCCTTCGTGATTCACTCTGAGCCCTGTGGTATAATTAGAAATAGCTGGATTAAATTTTAAAACAATTAGGTATAGAAACTCAATAATGGTAAAATCTATTTAGTTTTGGAATAGTCTCAAGAGAAGTGGTAGGAGCACTGTGGATTGAAAATGCAGTGGAGTAAATGACATAATTGCTTTTCTTCTGTCTAGCACTGCCAGCCACACTGGATTAAAAAAAAAAAAAAAACTTTCAGCAGAAACATTCAGCTGTCAGAGTGAAATTAACAACGTTGGTCTTTAAACTTACCAGGAACGAAGGTTAATAAGACCTAATTTTTAAAAAATGGGGCATATCAAACCTCTCAGAGCTATGTTTCAGGCAGACTCATTAGGATAGCAGTGCACTCAGTCAATCAAAACATTTACTTCACAACAAAGACTAGCCACTTAATATTTTTCATTGAGAGCTTATGTTGTGAAGTAGATGGAGCTACCAGAATAGTGTTGGGGATGACTTTTTGACATTGCAAGATTGGGTAACTGGGTTTAATGTTCTCCACTATGTATTGCCTATTAAATATAATAGTTATGAATAGGTTAAACATTTTAATTGATTTGCAGTATCTTGAATTTAGTAATCTAGTTTGTGCTTTTCATAACATATGATTATTTTTTTTAGAGAAAGGCAGAATTGACAAGTTAATGGTAGATATAGTAGATCTCCAGACACAGCTGCAAGCCTCAGATCTGGAAAAACAGCAACTTACAGTGAGTAGTGTATGGATACCACCACGGTGATATTGTTCACTTATCTTATGAACTAATGGGTAGCTAGGAAACAAGATTACATCCACCCATGAGTTGAGGTCTTATATAACGGCCAGACTTATGACTTTTAAAGTACAAACTCTCCAAAAACAAGTTTATAGTACATCCCTACTTTATGGATTCATGCATGTAGTGCACGACAGATGGAAATTGGCATTGTTAAAAATACTGAACCACTCTACCAGCTTGTTGCACCCCGCCTCTCCCACACACTCCCCAAATGTTTCAGTAGCCAGTAACTGCCACTCCTTTGCCCCATCCACTTTTACAAAATGACTCAAACTGCAACCAGAATCTTCTTACATCTGCATGTTTAGTTCACAGCTTTGATGGGGCCATCAAGAGAATCAAATAAAAAAGGGAGGAAGGGAAGTTCTGCTCTTTAAACTATTAAGGAGAAATCCAGAACAGAATGTACTGGGACCTTGAGACTCAGGCCCTAAAGCTAGGGTCAGAAGAATATGTTGTTTAGAATCACAGCAATGTTTCCCCAGAATCTCTTTCCTCTTATGACAGTATGTAATTATGCTGTACTGACTGTGTGATTAATTTAACAAAGCACTCCAGTCTCACTGTAAACATTTGTTTTGACATATGTTGGGTACTAAACTTTTTAACCTCGCTTCCTTTTTCATCTACCAAAGCACCTGACTTGCAGGTGCAATTAGGTACTAAGGTATATAAATGATAACCTGTACCTTTACATTCAGAGTGCACAAATCAAAGCGAGTTTTTAAAATTTCCCATGAAGGAAAAGGCACACAATTAATGTTGTCATTTAGTCCTTTTATATACACCTTGACACAAAAACAGAATGTAGAATCTTGAATTGTAGTAAGTTGGTAATATTCAATTCTTTTATTAGGAAGAAATCAAACAACTGAAAAGAGAACTGGATAACTTTGACCCTTCCTTTTTTGAAGAAATTGAGGATCTGAAATACAACTACAATGAAGAAGTGAAAAAAAATATTATCTTGGAGGAGAAATTAAAGAAGCTTTCTGAACAGTTTGGTGTTAAAGTGGATATTCCAGCCAATGTGTCTATTGATTAAATCCATGTTAAGTATTTTAAGAACTAACACCTAAATTGAGTCAGTAGGCTGTTATATGTAATACCACTTATATGCAAGCCTGATTCTAATTTCTCACCATTGTGAATTAGGACCAGCTTCATTGAAGTTACAATAGTTTGACACCAGAGAGAGAGAAGCAGCAGACTTTTCAAAAAAGTTACTAAAATCTTGTCATTAGTGCTTCAGATCCAATAGATCTAGCAATCAATGTGAAAACTTGTCTTACCACCTCCCCACTTGTTTTGCATATTTTATGCTTTAGTTCAGAAATGACAGCAGGGGAGATCAAAGGATTTGAGCAATCCTGGGGTGAGGAAGCCCTTGACTTCAAAGCCAGACCTGCTGCATAACAGAAAGAATTGTAGTACTTCAGCAAGGCAATGAACTTTTTTTGTACTTAGATGTAAAGCTAATTTAATTTATTTGAAAACTGTCAATATTTGTATAGATCTAGTGTTGGTGGATGTTTGGTACATGCAGAGCACAGATGTAAATAGAACCAAATTGTGAGAATACACAATTTGTATTGTCTATTTTTCTAAGTTAAGTATTTGAAACATTACTTTACATGCTGCTCTTGATAAAGTTATTTTCTAAACGGTTATGGACTATTTTTTCAAAATAATTAAAACGAGTTTACATTTTACTATTTATGCTAATTTATTAACAAAAAAAACAGTGTGTCCCAAGAGACTGGATAATGTAAACAATTTCACTACTTGGTTTTCAAGCCCTAGTACACTACTGCAGCATGGCGGGGGGGGTATACAAATAGTGTGGAATGTCTAAATAAAAAAAATTGTCACAATTTTAAACATTTTTTTAAAACGTAGGGCCTGATTATGGTCTCAGTTACTGATTTAAATCTGTGTTACTTCACTGATATCATAGAAAGCATTGGGCCCTAAGTCTGGAGCCTAAACCTGAGAATGTTTGAGTTGCAGTCTGACTTCAGAATAAAACTGCAGGCTGTAAAAATTCAGAAACTCTAAAAGTTAGCTGACTGTTCTGTTTGTTTTTAAAACCATCGCTATCTGCTTCGCTATACAAGCCCCTGGAAGCAGCTACCATTAAAAACACTGTCCTCCTCTTAGCCCTAACAGCTTCAACATTTCAGGGTCTTTCAAAACCAAAACAGCAAATGTGCTGAAATCTACGAGAGGGAGATCCATTTTGGATTTGCCTTTACTGCTCTTTTGCTTCATATTATTGATAATATTTATCCCAATCATGTGCATTGTAGCTACAGAGCTACCTATGCCACAATTATTTGCAAAAATATCCACTTGTATTGTAGGCAAAGCAGAAGGAGGTACAATCGTACATATGTGACAAGATTCTTTTTTCTCTTTAAACATCAAACTTTATATCTTTGAGTCTACTGAACCTTTGCCCATCCAGCTTTGAAAAATGGTTAAACAAACATTTTGGTTCAAAGTCACAGTCATATTTGGTCCCATTAACAGCAATGACAACTGGTTGAGAATTCAGATACGTCTCTGGAATTGGCCAGCACATACCAAGATGATGTCGATGGAGCTAAGAAGAGAGAAACAGGAGATCAGTGTAAACATCCTCATACATTTGACCACTTATGACAAATATCCATCACTGGTATCTCAACAGCTAGCTGCTTTGGTCACTGATGTCACATCACTTACAAAGCTCATAGTTATTGTACACGGTGTGTGAAACTTATGTCAAATTGCTTCTGGAAGTTTGCCATATACCACTTCAAAAACTACTAACTTTCCTACAGCTGAAGTTAAACAACGTGTTTTAGATAGCAGCAGGAATTCAGACCAAGTGAAGAAAAGTAGGGGGAGGGGGATCTCAAAAAAAAAAAAAAAATAGGTAGCTACAATTCCAACTGCTGTGATGAAAACTAGGACAGTGTTGTATTGTTTTAGCAGTCATTTTAATGTGATTTAGCAGGTGAATGTGAAAAGAAGCAGACTACATCGCTACGTAGTCCTCCACAAACCACAGTTTGAAGACCATTCTTACAGAAACAATGCCAGCTCATTTTGATTATTATAAAGTGATCCCTTGTTTTATAAGGAACTGTTCTTCTTTGAGTACTTGCATATGTCCATTCCAATACAGGTGTGCATGGCTTCAAGCCACTGACCCACAGAAAAAAATCAATTATGGGCCACACACAAATAAAAAGCAAATTAATTTAGGGTTGTTGGGGTTGTTTTTTGAGAGAGATTTTTTTTTTTTAAAAAAGCAAGCTTTAATTATTAGGTGCTACCGCCACAGGACAAGATAATACCGTGGTCATCCTTTATTTTGTCTGTTTTCAATTAACTGTTCAAACTACTGGCATAATTTATTTAGGGTGGAGGCAGGAGTTTTATACACTATTACTGAATATTTGCTATTATGCTAAGACATTTGTGTGCTCTTATTGGCATCCACCTTAGAGACATTGAAGGGGGGTGGAACCTTTACTGAAAAGTACAATGGAAAGCAATATATAGGATAATGGCAGGTGGATTTACCTTCATCAGCATAAATGACTAGAGCAGTTTGGAGGTTAATCTGTCTTTATAACAGTTAATAAATACCGTAAGTATTGTAAGGAGTCCAATACAGTTTGACAAACTACATCACACAGCAGTTACAAAAAGGTACAGCTGCTGGGCAAGAGAGCTATGTGTTCTGGCTAGAACGAGAAGTGGTATGTGGAGTGCTGGAGCCCTCCTGCCCCTGGAAAGAAACTAGGTAAGCTGTACTGGGAACAAAGATAGATGACTAGTGTCTAACTCACAGTTTATGTTGAAAATTATCACAAACTGGGCTTGTGAGGAGCTGATCAAAGCTGTCAAGTGCTAATTTGAAACATGGTCTCACAAAGTAGCTAAACTGATTCTCACCCAATTAGAAGCAGCAGTGCATATTGTGTTTTAATCCATTGTGCCTTTTACACTAGTAGTTTTGTCCTTGAAGTGTTTCTTTTGCACAAGTGTGGGGTTTTTTTGTTTTATGTTTTGAGGAGTGCAGATTCACTCATGACATTCTAAATGTTTACCTTGATTAAATGTCCATCATTACAGTGCCATACAATTCCTTCAATTTTACCCTCTGTGCAGCTTTCAAACCAAGATAATATATCACTGTGCTTCAGCATAGGTGGATTCTTTATTTCAAATGCTCCATGTGGTACAAGAAGATGGAGAGGGTGCTTCTTACTTCCTAATCCTTTATATAAAAAAAAAAAATTAACCTGTTAAATCATGTAGTCACTCAAGTCAAAATTTCCCTTATTTTTATTACTTATTACAGCCATATTAAGAATGCTGTCACAGAAGATTTCTGTCAGATACACAGGGCTGGTCTATAAAACACGTTGGGTGAAATCCAGACGCAGCTGAAATAAATGGAAATTTTTCCACTGATTTCTACAGAGACAGGATTTCATCCCTGCTTTTCAGCAACAGAAGTAGATTTTCTGTCCTGGGTGAAGTGGGATATTAATTTTTATTTTCATATTAGGGAGACATAACAAGTCTTCACAATCTTCTGATTCCACTGTAACTTCTTGCCCCATGCAATATTATGACATTACAAATGTAAGCCAACAGAAGTATAGAAGTATATATAGGCCATATCTCAGTTTAAAAAGTACAGCTTCTAGGAAATTAAATAATCACCTCTCCAGTTTGCATGGCAAGCTGCATCTAAAAAAACAGAGGTTTTTTGTTTAAGAAAACTCGTGTGTAGATAGATATATTTGATTTTTGCCATGACTCCAAATAGGTCCCATGACAGCACTACTACCTTATTAGAATCCAAAGGAACACCACCTTGACATGCTTACCACAGAAAAAAACTCTCTCAATTTCGCATCTAGTTCTTAAACTGTGATTTACCATTAATATACTATTGTGGTGAGATAGACAAACAATAAGCTTTATATATTTAAGATCTACAGTTACCAAATGAATACTAAATTTAATTAGAACATACGAAGTGTCTCTTGCAAGCTACGAGATTTCTGCTTCAATATGCTCCAAAGAGCCACAAGTTAAGACTACTTGACACAATACTCCTGGGAGAATTCTGCACCACTGCACACATGCAGAATTCATGTCCCCCACAGATTCCCCCCTCCTACCCGCCCTGACAGAATATGCACATCTCCTGCAGAATGTTTCAATTACACCTTTCATCCACCAGGGAATGCTATGGTACCAGAAGAGAGGGCAGCCAGCTCACAAGCTGGAGCAGGGAAGGGTCAGAGGCTGCCTTTCTCACAGCATCCTGCCTGCAGGGCCACAGAATATGGTGGGGGATGGATAGAGTGGGGCACACAGGGCTGCTGGGGGGGGATGTCACAGGAACTAGGGGGGTGATAGCATTGAGCCAGGGGCTCAATAGGAGCAGGGGGGGCTACAGGGCCACATGGGGACATGTGCAGATATGCCTGGCTGAATGGGAGAGGTGCAGGGAACACTGGGATGGGCATATTTGCCTGACTGAATGGGAGAGATTAGGGTCAGCCAGGGTCTGCATGTGTCAAGGTTCCTCCCCCACTCTAAACTCTAGGGTACAGATGTGGGGACCTGCATGAAAAACCTCCTAAGCTTATCTTTACCAGCTTAGGTCAAAACTTCCCCAAGGTACAAAATATTCCACCCGTTGTCCTTGGACTGGCCGCTACCACCACCAAACTAATACTGGTTACTGGGGAAGAGCTGTTTGGACGCGCCCTTCCCCCCAGAATACTTCCCAAAACCTTGCACCCCACTTCCTAGACAAGGTTTGGTAAAAAGCCTCACCAATTTGCCTAGGTGACTACAGACCCAGACCCTTGGATCTTAAGAACAATGAACAATCCTCCCAACACTTGCACCCCCCCTTTCCTGGGAAATGTTGGATAAAAAGCCTCACCAATTTGCATAGGTGACCACAGACCCAAACCCTTGGATCTGAGAACAATGAAAAAGCATTCAGTTTCTTACAAGAAGACTTTTAATAAAAATAGAAGTAAAGAAATCCCCCCTGTAAAATCAGGATGGTAGATATCTTACAGGGTAATTAGATTCAAAAACATAGAGAACCCCTCTAGGCAAAACCTTAAGTTACAAAAAAGATACACAGACAGAAATAGTTATTCTATTCAGCACAATTCTTTTCTCAGACATTTAAAGAAATCATAATCTAACACATACCTAGCTAGATTACTTACTAAAAGTTCTAAGACTCCATTCCTGGTCTATCCCCGACAAAGACAGACTATAGACAGACACACAGACCCTTTGTTTCTCTCCCTCCTCCCAGCTTTTGAAAGTATCTTGTCTCCTCATTGGTCATTTTGGTCAGGTGCCAGCGAGGTTACCTTTAGCTTCTTAACCCTTTACAGGTGAGAGGAGCTTTCCCCTGGCCAGGAGGGATTTCAAAGGGGTTTACCCTTCCCTTTATATTTATGACAGGGCCACATGGGGACATGTGCAGATATGCCTGGCTGAGTGGGAGAGGTGCAGGGAACACTGGGATGGGCATATTTGCCTGACTGAATGGGAGAGATTAGGGTCAGCCGGGGTCTGCATGGGGGAGGCTCCCCAACATTCCTCCCCTCAGAAAAACAACCCTGTTCCATATTTCTCCCACCCACACCCAACGACTCTCCAGGTTCACTTGAATCATAGACTTTAAGGTCAGAAGGGACTATTATGATAGTCTATTCTGACCTCCTGTACAATGCAGGCCACAGAATCTCACCCACCCACTCTTCTAACAACCCCCTAACCTATGTCTGAGCTGCTGAAGTCCTCAAATGGTGGTTTAAAGACTTCAAGGTGCAGAGAATCCTCCAGCAAGTGACCTGTGCCCCACGCTGCAGAGGAAGGCGAAAACCCCCCAGGGCCTCTGCCAATCTGCCCTGGAGGAGAATTCCTTCCCAACCCCAAATATGGCGATCAGTTAAACCCCGAGCATGTGGGCAAGACTCACCAGCCAGACACCCAGGAAAGACTCCTCCTCTCTCCCTCAGCTGCTCCATTACCCCTAAGTCCCACAAGCCTTTCCACTGCTTCTGAGGAGTATGAGAAATGTGTTTCTGTATTGTAGTTTAAATGAATTATTATTCAAAGTTCTGTATTAATATGCTTAGCCAGGAATCTGTCAAAAAAACATTTGCTGAATCTTTTTTGTTGTCTGTATGGTTACAGACATAATTACTGGCAGGTATTTTGAAATAAATTACCAAAATAATTGAGACTAGTGGGATTATATTGTTATTTTGACAAATAAAATATGCAGAATTTTGCAGAACTTCAAAATATTGTGCGCAGAATGTTTAATTCTTTGGTGCTGAATTCCCCCAGGAATATAACAAACTTCATGTGTCGTTACTGAAATGATAATAGGGATGGTGTAGAAGAACTATAGCATACTCTTCCTGCCATGCGAAGACAAAAGCTGTTATTCTGGGAATAAACTGTTACAAGTAAGCACATGTAACACTCCAAAGCCTAATTAACCTGCTCATTTTTAAACTGCGTTATAAAAGATTCAAGAATGATTTGAAGGATCAAAAGGAAGTAAGTTCCACTGTGCATGGGCCTTGTCTTTTTGCCTGTCAGTAAACTATCACACAGTGATGTTTTAAAATATTGATTTTATTAAAAGAATGTCATAACCCTGTTGTAGCTGAGATCAAAAATATTTCCAAGATATTTTATAATATGAAGTCCTCCTTGGCATACATAAGTAATATTAGGAGCTCATAAAAATGCTACTGAAGAATAAAGTTTTGCTTTTGGAACATAAAAAATTGCACCAAATAGCAGGTGTTTAAAAAAAAAAAGTCTTCAAAGAAGAGCACCAGCTTCTCCCCCCAAAGCCCTTCAGCACATAATTATAAATCGGAGGCGATCTATTTTGTTCTATGTATATGCGCAGTGTATTTTTTAAAACAAAGCATTTCCAATGAAGTGCAATTTAATATTTGTTTCCCAAGTGGTGTTGCACCACTCTTTGGTTCTGAGAAAAGAGGTCCGTTTAAATGGAAAACAAATGCATATGCCCCAGTCATTCATCCAACTTCACTGCAGCAGCAGTTTGCCTCAACCCAAAGGGAAATTTTTTTTGTGGATGCCTCTTATTAAAAGTTAGCAGCACATCACTGACTGGCTTTGGAAAGTGGAGCAAACATTGTCCCTGCTAGTTCAAGGTTATGTCTTCACTAAAAGAAAAAAAAAAATGTGTTTTTGCATTATGATAGCTATCTTGATGTAAAATCATAGTGAACACATAGCCCGGGTAGTTTTTACCTGAATATAACTAATTAAGGTCAACCCAGGTGGAAGGCACAGAGACTTAGCTACGCAGAGGTAACAAACTACAGTACTGTCTCAACTTAGCTAACCTGTAAAAATGCAGCTATTGATTGCAGTGAAGACATAGCTGTAGTCTTGCATGGAGGAGAAGAAAAGTATCTTAGCCCTGATCTACACTAGGCGGGGGGATCGATCTAAGTTACGCAACTTCAGCTACATGAACATCATAGCTGAAGTCGACATACTTAAATCAACTGACTGTGGTGTCTTCACCGCAGTGAGTCGACTGCTGGCACTCCCCTGTTGACTCTGCCTGTGCCTCTCGCAGTGCTAGAGTACAAGAGAGCACTCAGGGGTCGATTTATCGCATCTAGACTAGACACGATAAATCGATCCCCACTGGATCGATCGCAGCCCTCCGATCCGGTGGGTAGTGAAGACATACCCTTAGTGGCAACCCTTTGGAATTACATGCAGCAGGTTGGAAGGGGAGAATGAGATAGTTAAAAAGACTGTATGCATTATGTGGAAACTGCCAATCACTGAAGTATCTAAAAATATCTCTAAACTCCACCCTTTGGGCACTACTGTAGCTATCCCCTCATTTTCTTTTTTAAAGAGTTATACCGGGGACCCCTCAGGGGATCACGAGGTTATTACATAGAGGGGTCATGAGCTGTCAGCCTCCACCCCAAACACTGCTTCACCTCCAGCATTTATAATAGGATTAAATATTTTTTAAAAGTGTTTCTAATTTATAAAGGCGGGGGGGTCGCACTCAGAAGCTTGCTGTGTAAAAGGGGTCACCAGTACAAAAGTTTGAGAACCACTGGGTTATAATATGTTAATAAGCCATTTTGGCAACGTACACGTTGCTTTTAATTCATGGAGCTTAGTGAAGTAATTCCAATTTCTTATTTTGCAAGTAAAAAATGCCATACCTTTCACACTCAGAACACATTAAAATATTTAAGGTATTAATGAGTGTTAAACAACAACACATGCTATGCTTACCATATGGATTTGCATTAATATTAGTTCCAATAAGCTCCAGGGTTTGTTCCAAAAGGTCTGATAATGGCACGGAACTGATTTCCAAACGTCCAGGATCATCAGCATGGCACTTCAATATAAGGGCTATTTCTGCCTCATAATTAACAACAGATGAGTGCCAGCGATATTGTTTGCTATTTTTCTCCACTGGCACCCAACCTATGAGAAAACATTCCATTTTACTTCTTGTCAAGGCACATTAAAAGCTGTACATGCATTAGAAAGTAGCTATAAACTATAGCATTCTACTAATATGAAGAGCTACATACCTAATTATATTTTTACAAGGAAAATAAACTTATCCCAAGGACAAAGTTACATTTTACCTCAAAGAAATGTGTCAAAGGAATTTAACAGGAACAACTGTGTCTTTTGGCTCAAAGCTTTGCAAATCAGTGTGGCCAAATGCCACAGGAAAAAAATGTTTCTATGACAGCAGAACAAAGCACGACTGAACAGTGAGTAAATGACATGTTAAAAAGGAACTTGCTGAGTATGGTGCTATGCAGTGTAGTTGTAGCCATATCAGTCCCAGGATATTGGAAAGGCAAGGTCAGTGAGGTAATATCTTTTATTGGACCAACTGCTGTTGGTGAGAGAGACAAGCTTTTGAGCCACTCAGAGCTTTTTTCAGGTCTGGGAAAGGTACTCCCAGTGTCACAGCAAAATTCAAGGTGGAACAGATTGTTTAGCATAAGCAGTTTGCACAAATTGTAAGGGATCATTCAAGGCAGAGTGGCCCGTTAACACCTCTGCGGTCACAGGACAAAGAGAGGGGGTTAGTGTTCTAATAAGCCATAAATCCAGCATCTCTGTTCAGTCCACATTTTTAGTGTCTAGCAGAGTAATGAATTTAAGCTCCCAGGCTTGTCTTTTGAAAGTGTTGTGCAGGTTTCCTTTGAGGATGAGGGATGGATAAGATCAGATATAGAGTGATCACTTCGTGAAAAGGGTTAATCCGCAGGTGTGAGATCGGTTTCACCCACACAATCGTTATTCAAGCAGTTAGTGCTCTGGATGAGGTACACCATATCTTGGGATAGGCATGTGTAGGATCAATGAATCTTGAAAGGTGTGGTGTGAGTGGTGTTGATCATTGTAGCAGTGGAGATGCGTCTTCAGGTTTTGCATCTGTTGTTCTGGCAGGGTCTGGTGCCACTGAGTCCTGTTCTGTGGGTATTTCACTCTGGGCCTAATGAAGCAGAGAAAAATCCCCTTTTCTTTAAGACAGACTGTATGGTATATACCTGGAATGTGTCCATTTTCATCGGGCAAAGGGTTTCCACTCGATTGCTGGATTTCCTTTGCTGGAATCCAGCATTCTGGGACAGGTCTGAAGTCTTCTTCAATATTCCAAATAAATTCTAAAAATAAAAATGTTAAATATTTATTTTGTGACAAAATTTTAGCTAATTCTATTATCTGACCTTCTTTCAAAGTAAACATTCAAATAATCTGACATAGGAATAGTACCTGCATGAGGTCTAATCTTTTGTTGTTGTTTTTTGTTCAATTTTTGTTTTTTTAACTAATTTGGTCTACTAAGATATTTAGGCAAAGAATTTCCATTCCATTCCCACAATCCTGGACTTCTGGGGCTGCTCTCCTCTCTGCAGCTCACGGAGGGAGAGCAGCCTTTTAGCGCTGAACAGTCTGGCCAGAACACCTCTGTTCCTGCTTGCTGCCAGATTCTCTGCCACTGCAGCAGCAGACAGTAGCAGGTTCTTTTGCTCCTGCCCTTTCTACCTCTATTTTAACTTCTTTGCTCAGAATTCCTCCCCTTCCCTGAGTCAGTTAACCCTTTGGGAGTAAAACTCTCCCTGAACCACCACTGCATTGTCTCCCTGCTTGTTCCTCCAATTAGTGCTCTATATCTGAGGCAGCCTCCTGAGAAACAGGCAGTGACTTGTGCCCCGCTTGCACTCAGCCTTCCATCTCTAACTCTGTTAGGTCCTGGTGCTACAAGCTGGATAGGGAGGTGGGGTCCCTACCGACCAAGGCAACCATGACTCCAGCAAGGAAAAAACAGGCAAGGAACCTCAGTGCAGAACAGCGAGAGGGTCCAAAAGCAAGGTGGACCCTGACCACTCAACTCATGGGTTAAGTCCCAGGGGCCAGCCACGGATGTCTAACTGCAGTGTAGACATATCCGCTGACAAGGAGTTCCTTCTCCGAGGAACAATAGGACTGAGTGGGAAGGATTGTGAGACAGATCTTTCGAGAGGGTCTTCAGGTCTTAAGGAAGGCAAGCCACAAAAGACCTCACCAAAGCCACAGCAGAGTTTCTGCACTCCCAAAGCGCATTCAAAAGGCTTTAAAAAAAAGAAAATCTAAAAAAAGCAAAAAAGGGAAAGAAAAAGCAATAAAAAAAAAACCAGAAGTTATGAGTCCTCTGATTCCTCTTCCTCCCCCACTGAGGAAGATGAGCTTTCTGACTCTGAAACCTAAGCATGCTCCTGTGAGTAAGCTTCAGAGTAAATTTCTCCCCGCAAAATCCTCATATATGGCTGCAATACCCTTTCGCTCCTCCCTTCGAGGAAGTGATTACGGATGAACAGAACAAGCCTGATAAAGGAAAGCATATTCACAACATCGACCTCAGACTCTACAACATTCAAGAACCCAAGGGCTCTATTACTGATACACCAGAAGTTGATGCCAGTGTAGCGTCCCTCACCAAGGATATGATTATTTCCTCAGAAGGGGAGTTCAAGCCTAAGGAACCCACGGATAGAAAAATGAAGGCCACCCTTAAAATGGACTTTGAAGCTTCCTCCACCATTCTTCAAGTGCCCCTGGTGGCCATCTGCTTTGCAAGAGCATCTTTTTCCTGGTTGTAAGATCTCAAGGCCTTTAAGGACAGAGATAACCTTGACTTTTACTCCACTTAAAAGAACTCTTCCTAGAAACAGTGTTTGTAACTGATGCTTCAGTGGATGCAATGAGGTCCTCAAGCCCAAGCTGTGACTTCCAGCTTAGTAGCCAGGTGCCACCTATGGCTCCAACTGTAAGCATGTCTTATGCTGAAGCCAAGTTTACAGTCTCCCTCCTTTTTTGAGAAAAGCTGGATACAGTGGTTGCCGACAATGTGGCTAAATCCAAATATTCTCTCCCTTCCCCACTAAGTGCCCACAGAAAAGAACAGAGACTGGCATTCAGAAAGAGGTGCAACTTTCTCTCCTCTTCCTCACAGAGAGTCAACAAATTCCCCAAAGGAAACAGAGGAATTGGGGACCGGAGAGTATAGGAGCAGGATTTTATATTTTTACTATGAGAATTAATGTATGTCTTGATTTCATCCTGCTAGCCCTCCCCATTTGAATAGCAGAAAGGAATGACCCTCTGGGACTATGAGATTCTGTTTTCCCATATGCATTACAATTAGGACCTGTTATAAAGTTTAGTTAATAAGAGACAGGATTTTGTATTGTGTCTATGTTAATTAGATTAAAGGAATGTTGAAGGCCTGAGCACAATGTAAACTGTTTTTGACCACAAGATTTAGTCTTAGTAACGATAAACATCAACTGGTAAGACTGTGTGCATGGTGTGTGAGACTGAAAAGCATATGCTAACTGTTGTATTTGCGTTTATTGTAAACACAACAGTTAGCATATGCTTTTCAATCTCACACACACACACACCATGCACACAGTCTTACCAGTTGATGTTTACAGTTACCAGTCCAGAGTCTGGATCAATCTAGTGATCCAGCCAGATTGGTCGCAGAGGGAAGCAGGGCTCTGTCGGTCACTATCCGATGCTCCTGGAGTGTGGCAAGATGAACCCAAAGTCTCATGGCCAAGCACCCTGTTCTTATAGTCTTTTTTCTCTGTTGAAGTCTATGGATTTTGCTGTGTCAGTTTCTGACCGGTTACTCCTTGATTGGTGTTAACATTTCAAAACACCTTTGAGAGGGTCATCCTGTCGTGGTTTTGATTTAATCAATTGTCTTTAGGGGTGCCAGCCTTCCCCTCAGGGTCGTCAATCTGCCCTTCCTTCATTATAGATCGTTCTTTTCTGCTATTCAAATGGGGAGGGCTAGCAGGATGAAATCAAGACATACATTAATTCTTATAGTGCAAATATAAAATCCTGCTCCTACGGGGGGGGGGGGGGGGGGAGAAACAGTTCAGAGTGACCTCAGCCTCCCTGAAATCCACTTTATGACAAAGATCTCATATGTCTTTACCCAGAGCTGAAGCCAGGGGAGAGGATTTCTCATTTTGTAAAGAAATGGTTTTCATCAACCACAGACAAGTAGATGAGGGAAATAATAAGCTAGGGATACTCCCACAAGCTGTGGACTCCACTCCATCCATCCTTCATCCATTCAACCCAGCTCTAATGACCAGAAAGTCTGATCCAGAATGAAATATCTTATCTTCTGGACATGGGCGTGAGAGTGTGTTCCCTCAGAATAAAGTTTCTCCAGATTTTACTGTCTTCTTCACTGTACAGAAGTGCACAGGGGGTATTTAAGCTGTTCTTGACATCAAAAGTGGATGAAGAAAATGAAGTTTCAGAAGGAGACCCTGCCCACCAATGTCATCGCTGTCCTGGGGGACTTCTTTACTTCAGTAGATCTAGCAGATACGTATTTTCATATCCCCATCAGACAGTGTCACTGCAGACGTCGGAGGGTTGCCTATGGCAGGAAAGATTATCAGTACCAAACTCTCCTATTCAGCTGGTCATCAAGCCCCAGGGTTTTTACAAAGATGATGTTGATGATAATAGCCACAGCCAGTGAGGTCACAGTGAACTCACCTGTACCCTTTCCTGGACAACATCCTGATCAGAGTTCCAGCACAGTCAGCAGCACACAAGGGCTATGTTTCAGACCCTCTTCAGATCTCTTCCAGGTGCATGGCTTCATCATAAACACCAAGAAAAGCGCTCTGGTTCCACCCAGGAATTTATTTTCTTACTCCAGTGCTGCAGACATAGCTCTATGCCTTGAATTGCTAGGACTCCTTGTGCGGTGTATGAGGAACACTCCATAGGCGCAATCATGCATCAGAAGTCTTCAGCCTTTGTACTAAATGTGTGGGACCACTCCCCAGAACACATGAAATATCAAGTACAAATTCCAACATATGTATTCAACTCCTTACAGCGGTGGTCAGCCCATGGCAATAACCCCAATGATATGCTCATCTGCCTTACAGATCCTTTAGTCCTTACTACTGACTCCAGCCTAGAAGCCTGGGGAGCTCACTTGAAGACCCAAATAGCACAGGACCTCTAGACTGAAGTATTCAAGCAGCTTCAGCTAACAGCCTGGTTATTGAGAATGAGACATTCTAGTACTTCTGTCTGTCCTCCACACTCATTGACTGCTTTCATCTAGCAGAGTCTCAATACTAAAGCGTACTCCTCTGTCTGGTCAGGATTCAACAATTCATGCCAGGAACACAATGCAAATCTCAGAAATCCAGGAATTCCAATCATTCTAGACTTTCTCTGCTCTTAGTTGCATGTTATTCACAGGATCCTCACACTCTCTGCAGTCAATCCACGGGTGGCCAGAGTCCTTCAAGCAGTCTTCCCAAAATGAGACTTTCTGCTATTTCTGTGCGCCCTGACAAGCCTCTGATTTCAGCGTTAGCCTTTTATTTATCCATAAGACTTATTTCTTAATAGCAGTTACATCTGCCAGGGGAGTGCCTGTGCTGGCACCCTTATCTATACGGGAGCCTTACTGCATGTTCCATGAGGACAAGGCAATACTCAGGACACCAGAATCCTTTCTTTGAAGGTAAGCTGTTCCTCCCACACTTCCCAAGTGTTACTTGCACAATATAGAGCACCCCGCCTATATCCTTCCAAGGGCTCAAGATGTGACCCTGTCAATTTAGGCACCCCAACTTTCCCTACCAAAGGATCAGGGTGTAAGGCACCTACCCTTTCCCATGGGGCTCAGGGAGAAACCTGGCCAATTTAAGTACCTGCCCTTTCCCATGGGGATCAAGGCTCTACGGATCTGCAAGATCTTTTCCCAGTGAAAGAGCCTTACACAGCTGTGCTCTAAACATCTATTTCAGGGGTTGGCAACCTTTCAGAAGTGGTGTGCCAAGTCTTCATTTATTCACTGTAATTTAAGGTTTCGTGTGCCAGTAATACATTTTTAACGTTTTTAGAAGGTCTCTCTCTATAAGTCTATATTATATAACTAAACTATTGTTATATGTAAATAAGGTTTTTAAAATGTTTAAGAACCTTCATTTTAAAATTAAATTAAAATGCAGATCTTATCAGTTTAGTATGATCATTGCCCTTGCTTTTCCTTGCTGAGTTTTCCAATGTCTGCAAATAGATTATCTTCTTTGGGGAGAGAAAGGTTCCATTCATCCAGGACGGCGGCCGGTGTCCCGGACCGGTGGCTGGTATCCTGGACCAGCGGCGGGCTGAGCGGGGCCAACGGATGGAACCCCAGGCCAGCAGCGGGCCAGCAGATGGAACCCCAGGCCGGCAGCAGAATGCCACTGAAAATCAGCTCGCGTGCCATAGGTTGCTGACCCCTGATCTATTTATTAGCAACACACACAGAATACATATACCAAGCAAACTTCTTATGCTCATCATTCCCAATATAGACAAAGTTCACCCGATCGCCAGTCAGGATCCACTCATCTGGGGGTTTCTGGTGATGCCTATGCACGTCACTGTTGTGCAGAGAGGTCAGAGTTCCAGCAGCTTGATGTTGAACTGCAGTCCAGAAATGGTTCCCAAAGAGCACTGTTTTTCATTTATATTATATAGGTACAGCTAGCTACCTCCTTCAAATGCACTAAACCTATCACATTATACCACATCCCTAAATAACAAAAAATTTTACCAATTACATACTGGCACCTATGTGTCCTCCTTTCTGCCCAAGATTTTTTTACATTTTATCTTTCATGCACAAATTGTAACTTAATTGTGACCTTCTCCGTTTATGAAGATGGTCAGCATAAAAATGCTGGTTAGAGCTTATCTTATTTGTTGAATCTCTTTCTGTATCCTCCCTAATTTTCCAGCGCCTGGGTGTCTCTACTTTACAATGGTGGTGGCTACAACACTCGTTAGGAACATTCCTGAGGTGTGGGTGCTTTATCAGCAGCAGAACATTCTTTTTTTCAATTTTAGTGGTGAACTCCCTGAGTTTCACCTAAAGCTGGTTTAATATTGGTGGAGGAGGGGTGGAGGAGAGTGATACTGATGAGGTCTCAGGCCTACACAAGAGGATGGGCATCCTTCACTCTGTCCAAAACAACAGCAGCCAACTAAAAAAGGCAAGACATCTTACATGTCAAAAGAGCATTGAAAATCTCTCTCAAACATACAGAATCCACAAAAATATCAGGCTCCTTATTCATGTCTTTCTACCCAAAATGTCAAGTACTCAGAGCTCTCCAAATCCTCCAACACTAGATGGATTAGACTATGTATTGTGGAAGCCTACAAATCATCAGAGGCTCCTGTCCCAGAAGAGATCAAGGCGCACTTCATGAGATCATTAGCAACCTCCTGGGTGGAACAAGCAACTGCATCCACTGCTGAAATCTGCAAAGCAGCCACTTGGTCTACAGCCAACCCCTTCATTTAGCATTGCAGAAAATAGAAGGTCCATGTTGTAGAGGCCTCCTTTGGCAGGAAGAAGATGCAACCGGTGGCCCAGAAATAAATACAGACTCACAAAAAGTGGGGTACTTCTTTCCTACCAAACTTTTGTTTCATAACCTCCCTTCATATGTTCACTGCTTTCTACTTTCCAGATGTCCAGCACTGTGAGAGATGCTAGGCTGCAGAATGGAAAACTTCTGACTGATAATTTCTTTTTTGCTAGCAGCATCTCCCAAAATTCTAGTCACCCTGGATAGTTCATGAGTCAAAGGTCAGATATTAAGTGGAATCTTTACCATATGACCATATTCCTTGGTCTAATGTACATAGCTATTCCATTATTCCCTGAATGTTTTTTAATAATGATGTTATGCAAATTTTTCATCTTGGGAATAACTCATCTGGCAGCAAGCCGGAGCAGAAGGGCTGTGGCCAGACGGCAAAACTAAAACTCTGATCTGCCTCTGAGAGCTGCAAAGAGAGGACAGCAGCCCCATCTTTCAATAAGGGAAGGAGGAGAACCCAGGGAGGACAGCAGTCCCATCTTCAAAAAAAGGGAAGAAAGAGAATCCAGGGAACTACAGACCGGTCAGCCTCACCTCAGTCCCTAGAAAAATCACGGAGCAGGTCCTCAAAGAAACCATTTTGAAGCACTTGGAGGAGAGGAAGGTAATCAGGAACAGTCAACATGGATTCACCAAGGGCAAGTCATGCCTGATCAACCTGATTGCCTTCTATGATGAGGTAACTGGCTCTGTGGATATGGGGAAAGCAGTGGACATGATATATCTTGACTTTAGCAAAGCTTTTGATACAGTCTCCCACAGTATTCTTGCCAGCAAATTAAAAAAGTATGGATTGGATGGATGGATGGACTATAAGGTGGACAGAAAGATGGCCATCTTGTCGGGCTCAACGGGTAGAGATCAACGGCTCTGTGTCTAGTTGGCAGCCAGTATCAAGCAGAGTGCTCCAGGGGTCGATCCTGGGACCAGTTTTGTTCAACATTTTATTAATGATCTGGATGATGAGATGGATTGTACCCTCAGCAAGTTCACAGATGACACTAAGCTAGGGAGAGAGGTAGATATGCTGGATGATAGGGATAGGGTCCAGAGCGACCTAGACAAATTGGAGGATTGGGCCAAAAGAAATCTGATGAGGGTCAACAAGGACAAGTGCAGAGTCCTGCACTTAGGACGGAAGAATCCCACGTACCGCTGCAGGCTAGCGACCGACTGGCTAAGCAGCAGTTCTGCAGAAAAAGACCTGGGGATTACAGTGGATGAGAAGCTGGATATGAATCAGCAGTGTGCTCTTGTTGTCAAGAAGACCACTAGCATATTGGGTTGCATTAGTAGGAGCATTGCTAGCAGATCAAGGGAAGTGATTATTCCCCTCTATTCAGCACTGGTGAGGCCACACCTGGAGTATTGCGTCCAGCTTTGGGCTCCCCATACAGAAAGGATGTGCACAAATTGGAGAGAGTCTATCGGAGAGCAACAAAAATTATTAGGGGACTGGGGCACGTGACTTACGAGGAGAGGCTGAGGGAACTGGGTTCGTTTAGTCTGCAGAAGAGTGAGGGGGGATTTGAAAGCAGCCTTCAACTACCTGCAGGGGGGTTCCAAAGAGGATGGAGATTGGCTGTTCTGTTCTCAGTGCTGGCAGATGACAGAACAAGGAGCAATGGTCTCAAGTTGCAGTGGGGGGGGGGGGGGGTCTAGGTTGGATATTAGGAAACACTATTTCACTAGGAGGGTGGTGAAGCACTGGAATGGGTTACCTAGGAGGTGGTGAAATCTCCATCCTTAGAGGTTTTTAAGGCCTGGCTTGACAAAGGTGGATGGGCTTGATTTAGTTGGTGCTGGTCCTGCTTGAAGCAGGGAGCTGGACAAGATGACCTCCTGAGGTCTCTTCCAATCCTAATCTTCTATGATTCTAGACATCCAGAATTGTGGGAGATGCAGCTAGCAGAAAGGAAATTTTTGATAAGAAATTTTCTGTTCTAGCCATGAATTTCTATTCTAGCAAAAGAAATACCATGGAGCAATGAAGGAGACATACACTCGGAAAAAGTTTTAGTATTTAATACTAGCCCAGAGTGAGGAACAAGTGACCAATTAGCCAAAATTATAACGATGGTACACGGAGATAAGTAAAGTCATAATAGCATTTGAAATGAAATATAGAAGTTTTGAGCGGATCACTAATATTTCAACATAATACTAGTTTAGTTTAACCAAAGGTCTTTCTCTTTTAAAGAAATGCTTCAATTACCAAGAGGAAAAAAAAAAAAAAAGAGAGAGAAAAAAACCCTCACTGACCTTTTGAGTCTTCCATTGAATACAGGAATCTTTTAAACCTTTTCTCAGACAGTTTGTTGGGTTTTCTATCCAACCTGGCCCAAAGATACGGCTGCCCTACAGGTTTCAGAATTAGGAAAACAACAGCTTGTTTAGATAATAGCATGCAGGACAGGATTTCTCCCATTGAAATGGGCAGTTTAACATGAGAAGTAAAATATCCAGCAGTAAATATTCTATTTCCTCCTGCCTTCAAAAAAAAAAAAAAAAGAGTCATATAAAAAGAGGACATATTTAAATTGAGGTTAATTTGCTCACTTGTCAGAAAACCTAAGAGCACTATGAACAGTACCTTGCTTAATATGATGCACAAACTGCTTGAAATATATATTTAAAAACCACAAAACAGATATATGCATATTCAAAATATACTTTCAGTAGAAAGCCAGAACAGGAGGAATTTTCAAGGGTTCATCAGGTATTCATTGAACCACACTTTTTCCTCACACCTCTGCAAATAAAATACCGTTTATCGGACTTTCTGAGAAAAAAAAAAATTCTAATGACAAAATGCCAACCTGACTAGCCAGGTAGAATAGTTTTCTTTGGCTACCAGGTTAATTTAAACTGGATCATTTTCACCTGGACTTTAGTTTCACAAACTATACGAAAATCCAGAACAATTTTACAGATAGGTGTATCTTCTATAAAATTACAGTAAACTTACATTATCAGTTAATGCATATTTTATAGTAAAGCCATTATTTTTTTAATGAATCTGAATTTCCCAGATACAGGAATGCAATAAAATGAAAATTATGTACAACTTATGGGTACAAATCAACATGAGACGTCTGCATACAAATCTTCCGTATTACCTTTATAGGTTGTTACGTAACAGCAGGTTCCATCCACCTTCTCAGTTGGAATTGCATTGTATATATCTGCATCTAACGCCTTTCGATTTATGGTTTCAGTTGCCAAAACTTTAAATGACTGAAAAGACAACAATTATTTAAACCTCACTCCATAACTTCCTATATGGACTCTAATATATTATAATTGACATCCACAAACCCAGAATCATTTTTTTTATTCCTAGTTTCTAATATTGCCTAAGAATGCAACTATTTCACAATATATTACAAATCTGAAAATGCATCAAGGCAAAGGAATAAAACTTTCACACCTGTTGTCTTATGAAGAATAATTTAATGAGGCTGCTTCCCTCCTTTCCATTCGGGGTTTATCTTTAGGAACAACCTGCTCCCACACTTTGAAGTAGTGTGTGTAATGCAGAAGAGTTCCAGCCTAGTGCTACAGAATTTCAATAGATGCCTTTATGACATTACTATGGCAACAAAAGTTCCATGCATCATTTGAGGGACTAACTGTTCCTAAGCTTCAGTTTAGAGATGGAAGCCCTACTAGTACTAAATGATGGTGATAATAATAAACATACCAGAGTGATGGAAGCTGGTTAAAGCAAACACATTTTGAACAACATAATAAAGATTGTAGTCTTCATCTAAACCTTTCTTCCTTAAAGAATAAAGAGGTGAGTGTTCCAAGGAGTCTGAACAGACACCCAGTGGACATCGTGAAGTTGATCTTGTTTTCTGAGAGATGGTGTTGGTAAGACTTCTCAAAATAGGTTTAGATGAAGAAAAATCATTTCTGGTAAAGATTACTTTTAAAATATTCTCCTGTAGAATAATATCCTTTCCCCTACTCTTCTTTAGACTGTCAGCTCTTTGGCATAGGAGCTGTCTCTTTCACTGTGGGGTAAAGCACCTAGCACGATGGTGCCCCAATGTTGGTTGAAGCCTCTAAGTACTACTGTTATTGAAATACATAAGAAGAAAGAGCCTGATTATCTCCCTGTTTTGCACCTTCTACAGCAATCTACACCTGTGCATTATGGGTGTGAAATGCTACCTGCTAAGATTAGTACACCCACAAAACACTGGTGTAGATGAATACAGAAGGTGCAAGATAGAAAAAAGTGTGAACTTGATTCTGTCCTTTCTGTTTCAGTACACATATACTTAATCTTTTGTATTTCCACATAATACTTGACTAATTTTTTATAGTTATGCATGTAACAAGTTCTTACTTTACCCTAACCTTCTGTCTGCTTCTTATGACAGTAAGAAACACTAATTTAAGGAAGAAAGCACACTAACATAACCACAGTCAAAACAACATTAGCCCCAAGAACTTCAAACAAACAAAATGTGAAACACCAAATACCCATATCATCACCATCTTTTGGGTCTGCAGGAGATAACTCCTTGAAACAGAGGAAGGACTGAATCCTGCAAGAGCAGGGATTTCACAATACTTGCTTGCTGCGTTATAAACTCCTAAATCCTTTTAACAGGAGACTAAGAGAACCCATCACAAGTGTTGTGACCAATTATTTCCATCAGAGTTAAGGAAGAGTGATGCCAGCAGGCCACCCCTGAAGTCACTGGGGTATATCAACCAACCAAAGCCTCAAGCAAAGACCTCCCCAGAAAGACGCCGAAAAGTGGGCTGAACAGGGATAAAGAAGAGCAAATTACCCCAATTACTTCTGAAAAAGGAATCATCATTCCGATAAGGTTTTAGCCATCAGTACTATTCCACCTGGCTTACCCGCAACCTGGTATGTGGGCAGTTCCCTACTGCTGTTTTATACAATGAAAACATGCATGGAGCCACCAAGAATCTCAAAGATGCACCAGGCACTGTTAGAGCTGGATGTGGCTGCAAGTCTCAAATACCCTTGTCCCCAACCAGACCGCTGCATCCCCTCCTCCCCAGCACCCTGAGCCCCTCTCCAGCCACTCCCACCATCACCCGGATACCCACCATGCCCCCTCCTCTTCCCCAGCACCCTGAGCCCCCCCAGCCAATCCCAACATCACCCGGATACCCACCATGCCCCCTCCTCTTCCCCAGCACCCTGAGCCCCCCAGCCAATCCCAACATCACCCGGGTACCCACCATGCCCCCTCCTCTTCCCCAGCACCCTGAGCCCCCCAGCCAATCCCAACATCACCCGGGTACCCACCATGCCCCCTCCTCTTCCCCAGCACCCTGAGCCCCCCCAGCCAATCCCAACATCACCCGGGTACCCACCATGCCCCCTCCTCTTCCCCAGCACCCTGAGCCCCCAGCCAATCCCAACATCACCCGGGTACCCACCATGCCCCCTCCTCTTCCCCAGCACCCTGAGCCCCCCAGCCAATCCCAACATCACCCGGGTACCCACCATGCCCCCTCCTCTTCCCCAGCACCCTGAGCCCCCCAGCCAATCCCAACATCACCCGGGTACCCACCATGCCCCCTCCTCTTCCCCAGCACCCTGAGCCCCCCAGCCAATCCCAACATCACCTGGGTACCCACCATGCCCCCTCCTCTTCCCCAGCACCCTGAGCCCCCCCAGCCAATCCCAACATCACCCGGGTACCCACCATGCCCCCTCCTCTTCCCCAGCACCCTGAGCCCCCCCAGCCAATCCCAACATCACCCGGGTACCCACCATGCCCCCTCCTCTTCCCCAGCACCCTGAGCCCCCCAGCCAATCCCAACATCACCCGGGTACCCACCATGCCCCCTCCTCTTCCCCAGCACCCTGAGCCCCCCAGCCAATCCCAACATCACCCGGGTACCCACCATGCCCCCTCCTCTTCCCCAGCACCCTGAGCCCCCCCAGCCAATCCCAACATCACCCGGGTACCCACCACGCCCGAGCAGCTTCCTTTCCTCCCCCACGGCCAGTGGCTCCAGCACGACCCCTGAGCTTGCCCCCCATGGGCGGCAGGTCCCCTCTGCCCCCGCGGCCCCTGCCCCTCTGCGCCCGGCCCAGGACGCCGTGCGCTCCCTCCGGCATCGCTGAGCCGGGCCCAGGCGCTTCCCGGTACCTGGCGCTCCCGCTTAGCCGAGGGCTCCTCTTTCACCTGCGTCACAAACAGGCAGGGCACCTTCCGCTGCACCGAGCCCAGGCGGCTCATGGCCCCGGCTCCCCTCACGCGCAACGGGACCGAGAGCGGAGCCGGAGCCACCTCCCGCCAGCAGGGCCGGGACCGCAGGGCGCGCGCGCGCGCTGGGAAATGGAGTCCGAGGGGCGGCAGCCGGTAAAGGGCCTCGCGGCCTGCAGCGGCGCCCTGCGTGTGTGGGAGTGTCCCGCTCCCCGGGGCCCGGCGGATGTTTTCTGTGCGAGAGTTACAGCCTCTCCGCTGCACAGGGACGGGTCATTGCCTCGGGTGGCCCTCTGGGCGTTACAGCCCCACACCCCCTGGGAATGATGGGGGGGGGGGGTAGCTGTGTGGGTGTTACAGCCCCACAATCACCTGCCCTAGGGGTGGTTGGAGGGTAGCTATGTGGATGTGACAGCCCCACAGTCCTCTGTTGTGCGGGGCGGGCGCTAGCCTTCCGCTTTTGTGTTGCAGTCGGAGACCTTCGCAGTCTGCCTCGGCCTTGGTTCAGCTCAGAAGCAACCTCAATGTTGTAAGCTGCCTCTGTTGCAGTAGCTCAGCTGCATTTTCTACATCTGTGTTGTCCGTGGCTTTCATTATCCTCTGCATGCAGTAATGTAAACACCTCTTTACTTGCTGACTTTCCAGGCATGGAAGGGTGGATGAAACTCAGTGAAACCCTGGTTATGGGAAAAGATAGAAATGAGACATTGGGCAAATGGACAGGACTGGACTGACAACAGTGGGGGCTGGCTTCTCAGAAAGAACAGAAACTAAATATCCGTCACTGGAAAATGTTGCTGGTTCCAACTTAATGTATTGTGAGGGTCCTATCCTATTTCATGTAAGAATTTCTCAAGAACTAGCATGTGCTGTGTGGTGCTTCTTTGTGGAGTGCCAATTTCCTAAACTGTTCTCATCAAGGCCTATCCAAGTACCAGGACATTTTATTATTTATTTTATGTATTTATTTTTATTGTTAACAATACCATTTTTAATATGGAGGACTGCGTGGAGTCAAGACTTCTGTGTTCTATTCCTAGCTCTCCCACAGAGTTGCTGTATGACCTTATGGAAGTAACTGGTCTGTACCTCAGTTTCCACATCTATAAAAAGTGGAATAGTACTCAATGTTTCTAGAGTGATTTGAAATCACAGAGAGAAAGCAGAATCATCTCAGGTCACAAACTAATTTGATTTATTAAAACTAATTTGGTTCTGGAGTTGGCCTCTGCGCATATTTCTTATTATGAGATGAACCCACTGGCACTGTTGAGCTTCAGAAATCTGCTGGAAAGCAGCACCCACTGAGATTCCTCAAACACCTTTTCACAGTTCTGAATATTTTGATCTGAGGTTATAAAAGGGCTATGCAGAGCTAATTACTTCAGTTCTTTTCTTATCACAGCCAGCCAATAAAAAGTTTCTCATACATATAAATAAAAAGAAAACAAGGGAAGAAGAATTGGGACTGCTAAGCAGTAAAGATGGTGTGGAGATCAATCTAGGAATGGTCCAACACCTAAATAAATACTTAACCTCAGTTTTTAATAAGGGTACCAAGAAGCTTAGCGATAGTGGCAGAGTAGTTAATGGAAATTACTATATCAGAGGGGGAGGTCAAACAGAAACTGATTAATGGGACTAAATCAGCGGGCCTGGATAATTTCCATCAAGAATATTAAAGGAACTGGCACATGAAATTGCAAGCCCAATAGCAAGGATTTTTTAATGAATTTGTAAACTTGGATGTTGTACCCTCTGACTTTAGGATTGCTAATATAGGACCTATTTTTAGGAAAGGGGGGGAAAGTGATCTGGGAAACTACAGGCCTGTTAGTTTGACCTCAATTGCATGAAAGGTCTTATTACAAATTTTGAAAGAGAAAGTAGTTAAGGACATAGAGATAAACGGGAATAGGAATAAAATACAACATGATTTTTACAAAAGGTAGAGTGTGTCAGACGAACTGGATCTTTTTCTTTGAGGAGATAACTGATTTTTTAGACAAAAGGAATACAGTAGATCTAATCTGCCTGGATTTCAGTAAAGCACTTAATACAGTTCCACATGGGAAATTATTAGTTAAATTGGAGAAGGTGGGGATTAATATGAGATTTGAAAGGTAGATAAGGAATTGGTTAAAGGGGCGAGGGTGACTATAACAGGTCATACTGAAAGGTGAACTGTCAGAGTGGAGGGAGGTTATTAGTGAAGTTCCTCAGGGATCTGTCTTGGGCCCAGTCTTACTTAACATTTTTGTTAATGACTTTGGCATGAAAAGTGGGAGTATGCTAATAAAATCTGTGGATGACACAAAGTTGGGAGGTATTGCCAATACAGAGGAGGACTGGAATATCAAAAACAAATAACAAAAAGATCTGGACAACCTTGAAAACTGTAGTAATAGAAATGGGATGAAATTTAATAGCACAAAGAGCAAGGTCATGCTCTTAAGGACTAAAAAGATTTTTTGCTATAAACTGGGGGTTTATCTGTTGGAAGCAACAGAGGAGGCGAAAGACCTGGGTGTATTAGTTGATCACAAGATGACTGAGCTGCCAATGTGATGTGGCCATGAAAAAGTGTAATGCAGTCCCTAGGATTCATCAGGTGAGGTATTTCCAGGAGAGATAGGGAAGTGTTTGTACAATTATACAAGACACTGGTGAGACTTCATCTGGAATAACATGTGCAATTCTGGTCTTCCAGGTTTAAGAAAGAAGAATTCAGAGTGAAACAGGTGCAAAGAAGGGCTATTAGGATGATCCGAGGATACCTAATGAGAGGAGACTCAAAGAACTTAGCTTGTTTAGCTTAACCAAATGAAGGCTGAGGGGAGATATTATTGCTTTCTGTAAATATCAGGGAGGGAGAGGAGTTATTTAAATTAAGCACCAGTGTTGACTCAAGAACAAATGGATATAAACTGACCACCTACAAGTTTACGCTTGAAATTAGACGAAGGTTTCAAGCCATCAGAGGAGTGAAATTCTGCAACAGCCTTCCAAAGGGAGCAGTGGGGGCAAAAAACCTAACTGGCTTCAAGACTGAACTTGATATGTTTATGGAGGGGATGGCATGATGACTGCCAATAATGGCATGTAGCCAATTTGCGACTGCTAGTAGCAAATATCCCCAGTAGCTGGTAATGGGACACTAGATGGGTAGGGCACTGAGATACTACAGAAAATTCTTTCCTAGGCATCAGGTCGGGTTTGCAGGGTCCCAGAGCCTGGGCTCCACCCCGAGCGCAAGCATCTACACTGTAATTCAACAGCCCCTTAGTCTGAGTCTCGCAAGCTCAAGTCTGCTGGCACAGGTTTTTAATTGCAGTGTAGACATACCCTAGGAGACTGACATTGGGAGTGTTGAAAATAGGTTTAATGCTAAAATTACTGTTCCGGCAACAGAGAGACAAGATGGATGAGGTAATATTTTTTATTGGACTGACTTCTCTTGGTGAGAGAGACAAGTTTTTAGCCATCCAGAGCTCTTCTTCAGGTCTGGGAAAGGAAAGCTCAGGCTCTGTCTGCACTACAGCGGCACAGCTGCACCAGTGAAGCTGCACCACAGCCACTGTCGTGCTTCTGGTGAAGACATTCTAAACCGACAGGCGAGAACTCTCCCATGGGCTTAATAACGCCTGCCTCCACAAGAGGTGGTAGCTATGGTGGTGGGAGAAGCCCCCCAGCTGACATAGCACTGTCCACACTAGTGCTTAGGTTGGTATAATTCATGTCATTCAGGGATGTGGATTATTCACACCCCTGAGCAATGTACATTACACTGAAGTAATTTGTAGTGGAGAGACAGCCTCAGTGTTGCAGCAAAATGCAAGGTGGGACAGATTTTTTAGCATAAGTAGTTAGCACAGATTGTAAGGGACCAGTCAAGGTAGAGTGGTCTGTTAGCACCCCTGCAGTCATTGGACAAACAACAATCTGTAACCCACTAACTCCCTCTTTTTGTTCTATGTTCTGTAACACTGCAGAGGTGTTAATGGGCTACTCTGCCTTCAATGGTCCCTTACAATAACTACTTATGCTAAATAATCTGTTCCATCTTGCATTTTGCTGTGACCTGAGAGTTCCTTCCCCAGACCTGAAGAAGAGTTCTGTGTGGCTCAAAAGCTTGTCTTTCTTAGGGTGACCAGATGTCCCGATTTTTTAGGGACAGTCCCAATTTTTGGGTCATTTTCTTATATAGGCTCCTATTACCCCCCACCCCCTGTTGCGATTTTTCATGCTTGCTGTCTGGTCACCCTAGTCTCTCTCACCAACAGAAGTTGGTCCCATAAAAGAAATTACCTTACCCACCTTGTCTCTTTAATATCCTGGGATCGATACGGCTACAAACTATATATGTTCCTGCATCAAACAGTTAAGTGAACGTTCTGTATTCTCTAACTCATGAGAATTATGTTTCAATCAGTTTTGAATCATAGAAATGCTAGGATAACAGACTACTGGGAACAACTTCATTTTTTTCTATTTTACTCAACAGCAATGAAAATAAGTGAGCAGTCCCAGTCTAAACGGTCATGTGATGTCATTTGTGATGATGTCATAAGAACTAAAGTAACAATGAGAGAAATTCTGGAAGTTTGAATTTGTGCACTGACTAGCAACCACTTTCAATGTTTCATCACTTCGGCAAACCTGGAGAAGGTACCGTCTGATTTGTAATTAGTTTAAATATAATTTTGAGATATACTATAATTGGAGGTCTGTTTTTAAAAGGAAATAGAGCTTAGATCCTGAAAACCACTGTCTTCAGAAAAAGGAGTTTTGTTTCCATACACATTGGTAGTTCTTACCTGTACGTTTATACCCTTCTTGTATAAAGACAGTGGAGTAGAAGTACAAGAGGTGACAATGGCAGAAGTTGGGAATGACTGCTATTTCTATTTTTATTCCACCTGCATAAAGGTAAATATTGTAGAATTTACAGTGGTTTGCATCTTTGATTTTCCTGCTCTAAGGAGGAGTTTATAGTTTGAACTTATGTCTCTTCTTTATATATGGATGTATATGTCACTCTCTGTGTGTCTCCATACATGTATATTTGACACACACATAGGTCCTGATTTTGAGAGGTGATGAGGACCTGACGTTTCCGTTCACTTCAGATTGATTTGTGGGTGGTCATTAGTTCTGAAAATCAAGCTCACACTCTAAAGGGGTTTAATTAATTAAAAATGTGCACTGTGCAATGTTGTTTAAACAACATTTTTATAACTTGTGATAAACAGCATTTATAAATTTGTTAGACAACAGGAACTTTGCCTGGTATTGATAGTTTGACTGCCCGACTTTCCTTCATACTGTTTTTTTGAAATCACATCATTCCTGATGTTATCACCCTTTGAAGAAGTGCTTGTGAGAATGGGCCCAGTAGGCAGAGTCAATGGGGTGATGCAGAAGTCTATGTTAGTACATCCAATTGCAGGATCAGGACCTCAGTGATTAGGTATTACTTTCAGTACAAATCCCTAGCATATGTTACCAGTCTGGCCAGTTGCAGTGATTTTATTTAATAAAGTAGTGCATTTTACAGACAATAGTCCTTGGCCCTATTATAATTAATGTCTTTTATGATGCTCTGGAAAGAGGAGTAAATGGTATTAAAATTCACAGATGTTACTAAATTAGGATTCAGAGTAACAGCCGTGTTAGTCTGTATTCGCAAAAAGAAAAGGAGTACTTGTGGCACCTTAGAGACTAACCAATTTATTTGAGCATAAGCTTTCGTGAGCTACAGCTCACTTCATCGGATGCACCCGATGAAGTGAGCTGTAGCTCACGAAAGCTTATGCTCAAATAAATGGGTTAGTCTCTAAGGTGCCACAAGTACTCCTTTTCTTTTTACTAAATTAGGAGGTGTTGCAAACTCCAAAAATGGTAGAGAAATAACAGAAGGAAAATAAATTTAACCTGGACAAATGCTAGCTAACACAAGAGAGCATTTAAGTAGTACGCATCATACCACTCCATGCTCCCTGGTGGACTTCAAGAGTGATGAAACTACATCTGTAAAACTGCATGTAGTGGTGGCACTGCAGAACCAGAAAGATATTGACCAGCTGGATGGAATCAAAGGAAGAGAACAAAATGATTAAGTAGCTGGAATGTTTGATTTATGAGAAAAGATTAAGGGTCAATCTCTCAATCTGCTAAATTTACTTTGTGCTGCATAATACCAGCTGCCCCGCTGTAACAGCTGCCCCACATAACACCCTGCTGTAAGGGGGAGGAAAGAGTTGTGTCAGTTGGTGACTGGGGCTGGCATTGGGGATGTGGTTGAGCTGCGCTTCTCTAAGCCTGATCTCTTGCTTTCTTAAACCCCATTATAGGCTTTACACCAGCTGCAGATATTAGAAAATGCCCCCTAACATCTGCTGGGGCTGAGCATCAGCCAGCTTCCTGTGGCTGCCCCTGCCCACTACCTCTGAGCATAGCTCTTATGTAGTGGAGAATAGGGTACTGAAAGAACAAAATCTATATAGTTTGCTTAGTGATTACTATGGGAGAGTTATGTTAACATTTGCTAGTATCTGAGAGGACAGATAGAGAACAACAAGGAGGGTGAGTAATTGTTTAGGCTAATCCAGTGGGATATAAATAGAAGTAAAGGGATAGAGCTGGGCAAGAGAAATTTAGTCCAAATATCAGGAAAATAATAATACCCAGTAGACTGAGTCTCCCAAGTTCGTAAGTAATGGGAGCCCCATATCTTCAGGCATTTAAACTAGACTGGACAAAGCAATTATGGCATAATTCATGTGACATTAACAGGACCTGATTTCCCCCCATTTACACTGGCATAAATCAGTAGCAGTTCCATTGGGGCAAATGGCCTCTTCTGCCCTCAACCGCACAGGTGTAACTCCCATTGGCTTGGGATTTTCACCTGTGCAGCAGAATTGGGCATAATGGAGCTAAACTAGCATCAGCAAATCAGGTCCGACATTTTTTCCATTGCTTTCAGGTATGTTGTCACAACAATAATACTGTACTATACAGATAAGTGTATTGTCCACTTCCTCATTAATAAAGAAGATGTAAGCCAACTACTGACATCTAACATCATACAACTTTGACTTGCCTTTTTTCTGTGTTAGGGTTCCAAGTGCCGATTCCGTCACTGTGAAAAAGCCCTTGGCAGTGAGATTGTGTGCTCATTATGGAGAGAGGGAAGATGTTCACATCAGCTTTGCCAATTTAGACATATGGAAATACAGGTAGATAAGTTTCTTTAAGTACACTCATTCTTAAAGCAAAACTGACCCTCACTTCTGTTAAACTTCACATCTGACACCCAAGTTCACATTCAAATATGAAGACATTGTGGCACCCAGATACAAGCTTCCCCCCTCCGCCCCCACCCCAATCCATGGCTAGCATGCACTGCAAGCTTGAAAACTTGTATTGATTCAGAGTCAGTCACCGGGTGTTAATTCCTTTTCTGATTTTCCTTTAATAATAATAATAATAATAATAAATATCATTTTTATAATAAAAGAATAAAAATGTAATACTTTGCACTTACACAGCAGATTTCATCCAAGGATCTCAAAGCACATTACAAACATGAGTGTATTTAGCTTCACAACATGCCTGTGAGGTGGATATTATTATCCCTGTTTCACAGATAAGGAAACCAAGCGCTTGTCTAGATGAACAGTTAGTGTGCAGTAAGTGCGGAAATAATGCTACCCCACATTAGTGTGATGCACGCTAACTGTCCATGTGGACCTGCTACCACAAACTAAAAGTTCTCTAATTCACTTTATTCTGTTCCCATTTCAAAGCAGAGTAGATCAAAGCACATTATGGAACTTTTAGGGTATGTCTACACTACGGAATAAGGTCGAATTTATAGAAGTCGGTTTTTTAGAAATCGGTTTTATATATTCGAGTGTGTGTGTCCCCACAGAAAATGTTCTAAGTGCATTAAGTGCATTAACTCAGTGGAGCGCTTCCACAGTACCGAGGCTAGAGTCGACTTCCGGAGCGTTGCACTGTGGGTAGCTATCCCACAGTTCCCGCAGTCTCCACTGCCCATTGGAATTCTGGGTTGAGATCTCAATGCCTGATGGGGCTAAAACATTGTCGCGGGTGGTTCTGGGTACATATCGTCAGGCCCCCGTTCCCTCCCTCCCTCCGTGAAAGCAAGGGCAGACAATCATTTCGCGCCTTTTTTCCTGAGTTACCTGTGCAGACGCCATACCACTGCAAGCATGGAGCCCGCTCAGGTAGCCGTCACCCTATGTCTCCTGGGTGCTGGCAGACGCGGTACGGCATTGCTACACAGTAGCAGCAACCCCTTGCCTTGTGGCAGCAGACGGTACAGTACGACTGGTAGCCGTCATCGTCATGTCCGAGGTGCTCCTGGCCACGTCGGCTGGGAGCGCCTGGGCAGACATGGGTGCAGGGACTAAATTTGGAGTGACTTGACCAGGTCATTCTCTTTAGTCCTGCAGTCAGTCCTATTGAACCGTCTTATGGTGAGCGGGCAGGCGATACGGACTGCTAGCAGTCATACTGTACCATCTTCTGCCAGGCAGGCAAGAGATGAGGATTGCTAGCAGTCGTATTGTACCATCTTCTGCCAGGCAGGCAAGAGATGAGGATGGTTAGCAGTCGTACTGTACCATCTTCTGCCGAGCAGCCATGAGATGTGGATGGCATGCAGTCCTTCTGCACCGTCTGCTGCCAGCCAAAGATGTAAAAGATAGATGGAGTGGGTCAGAACAAGAAATAGACCAGATTTGTTTTGTACTCAATTGCCTCCTCCCCTGTCTAGGGGACTCATTCCTCTAGATCACACTGCAGTCACTCACAGAGAAGGTGCAGCGAGGTAAATCTAGCCATGTATCAATCAGAGGCCAGGCTAACCTCCTTGTTCCAATAAGAACGATAACTTAGGTGCACCATTTCTTATTGGAACCCTCCGTGAAGTCCTGCCTGAAATACTCCTTGATGTACAGGCACCCCCTTTGTTGATTTTAGCTCCCTGAAGCCAACCCTGTAAGCTGTGTCGTCAGTCGCCCCTCCCTCCGTCAGAGCAACGGCAGACAATCGTTCCGCGCCTTTTTTCTGTGCGGACGCCATACCAAGGCAAGCATGGAGGCCGCTCAGCTCACTTTGGCAATTAGGAGCACATTAAACACCACACGCATTATCCAGCAGTATATGCAGCACCAGAACCTGGCAAAGCGATTCCGGGCGAGGAGGCGACGTCAGCACGGTCATGTGAGTGATCAGGACATGGACACAGATTTCTCTGAAAGCATGGGCCCTGCCAATGCATGCATCATGGTGCTAATGGGGCAGGTTCATGCTGTGGAACGCCGATTCTGGGCTCGGGAAACAACCACAGACTGGTGGGACCGCATAGTGTTGCAGGTCTGGGACGATTCCCAGTGGCTGCGAAACTTTCGCATGCGTAAGGGCACTTTCATGGAACTTTGTGACTTTCTTTCCCCTGCCCTGAGGCGCATGAATACCAAGATGAGAGCAGCCCTCACAGTTGAGAAGCGAGTGGCGATAGCCCTGTGGAAGCTTGCAACGCCAGACAGCTACCGGTCAGTTGGGAATCAATTTGGAGTGGGCAAATCTACTGTGGGGGCTGCTGTGATGCAAGTAGCCCACGCAATCAAAGATCTGCTGATATCAAGGGTAGTGACCCTGGGAAATGTGCAGGTCATAGTGGATGGCTTTGCTGCAATGGGATTCCCTAACTGTGGTGGGGCTGTAGATGGAACCCATATCCCTATCTTGGCACCGGAGCACCAAGCCGCCGAGTACATAAACCGCAAGGGGTACTTTTCGATAGTGCTGCAAGCTCTGGTGGATCACAAGGGACGTTTCACCAACATCAACGTGGGATGGCCGGGAAAGGTGCATGATGCTCGCATCTTCAGGAACTCTGGTCTGTTTCAAAAGCTGCAGGAAGGGACTTTATTCCCAGACTAGAAAATAACTGTTGGGGATGTTGAAATGCCTATATGTATCCTTGGGGACCCAGCCTACCCCTTAATGCCATGGCTCATGAAGCCGTACACAGGCAGCCTGGACAGTAGTCAGGAGCTGTTCAACTACAGGCTGAGCAAGTGCAGAATGGTGGTAGAATGTGCATTTGGACGTTTAAAGGCGCGCTGGCGCAGTTTACTGACTCGCTTAGACCTCAGCGAAACCAATATTCCCACTGTTATTACTGCTTACTGTGAGAGTAAGGGGGAGACATTTATGGCGGGGTGGGAGGTTGAGGCAAATCGCCTGGCTGCTGGTTACGCGCAGCCAGACACCAGGGCGGTTAGAAGAGCACAGGAGGGCGCGGTACGCATCAGAGAAGCTTTGAAAACCAGTTTCATGACTGGCCAGGCTACGGTGTGAAAGTTCTGTTTGTTTCTCCTTGATGAAACCCCCCGCCCCTTGGTTCACTCTACTTCCCTGTAAGCTAACCACCCGCCCCTCCTCCCTTCAATCACCGCTTGCAGAGGCAATAAAGTCATTGTTGCTTCACATTCATGCATTCTTTATTCATTCATCACACAAATAGGGGGATGACTACCAAGGTAGCCCAGGAGGGGTGGTGGAGGAGGGAAGGAAAATGCCACACAGCACTTTAAGCACAGCACTTTAAAAGTTTACAACTTTAAAATTTATTGAATGACAGCCTTCTTTTTTTGGGGCAATCCTCTGTGGTGGAGTGGCTGGTTGGCCGGAGGCCCCCCCACCGCATTCTTGGGCGTCTGGGTGTGGAGGCTATGGAACTTGGGGAGGAGGGCGGTTGGTTACAGAGGGGCAGCAGTGGCAGTCTGTGCTCCAGCTGCCTTTGCTGCAGCTCAACCATACACTGGAGCATACTGGTTTGGTCCTGCAGCAGCCTCAGCATTGAATCCTGCCTCCTCTCATCACGCTGCCGCCACATTTGAGCTTCAGCCCTGTCTTCAGCCCGCCACTTACTCTCTTCAGCCCGCCACTTACTCTCTTCAGCCCGCCACCTCTCCTCCCGGTCATTTTGTGCTTTCCTGCACTCTGACATTATTTGCCTCCACGCATTCGTCTGTGCTCTGTCAGTGTGGGAGGACAGCATGAGCTCGGAGAACATTTCATCGCGAGTGCGTTTTTTTTTCTTTCTAAGCTTCACTAGCCTCTGGGAAGGAGAAGATCCTGTGATCATTGAAACACATGCAGCTGGTGGAGAAAAAAAAAGGGACAGCGGTATTTAAAAAGACACATTTTATAAAACAGTGGCTACACTCTTTCAGGGTAAACCTTGCTGTTAACATTACATACATAGCACATGTGCTTTCGTTACAAGGTCGCATTTTGCCTCCTCCCACCGCGTGACTACCCCCTCAACCTTCCCCCCTCCCTGTGGCTAACAGCGGGGAACATTTCTGTTTAGCCACAGGCAAACAGCCCAGCAGGAATGGGCTCCTCTGAGTGTCCCCTGAAGAAAAGCACTCTATTTCAACCAGGTGACCATGAATTATATCTCACTCTCCTGAGGATAACACAGAGAGATAGATGTTGTTTGAATGCCAGCAAACATACACTGCAATGCTTTGTTCTACAATGATTCCCGAGTACGTGTTACTGGCCTGGAGTGGTAAAGTGTCCATGAAGGACGCAATAAGGCTGCCCTCCCCAGAAACCTTTTGCAAAGGCTTTAGGACTACATCTAGGAGAACCGCAAATGCCAGGGCAAAGTAATCCTTTCACATGCTTGCTTTTAAACCATGTATAGTATTTTAAAAGGTACATTAGCTTTTTCATACCTGAAGAAGGGTTTCTTCAGGTATGTTGGCAACAAGAAGAAAGCCAAGGAAAGTGTGGGCCCCTTACTGAATGAGGGAGGCAACCTAGTGACAGAGGATGTGGAAAAAGCTAATGTACTCAATGCTTTTTTTGCCTCTGTTTTCACTAACAAGGTCAGCTCCCAGACTGCTGCACTGGGCATCGCAAAATGGGGAAGAGATGGCCAGCCCTCTGTGGAGATAGAGGTGGTTAGGGACTATTTAGAAAAGCTGGACGTGCACAAGTCCATGGGGCCAGACGAGTTGCATCCGAGAGTGCTGAAGGAATTGGCAGCTGTGATTGCAGAGCCATTGGCCATTATCTTTGAAAACTCATGGCGAACGGGGGAAGTCCCGGATGACTGGAAAAAGGCTAATGTAGTGCCAATCTTTAAAAAAGGGAAGAAGGAGGATCCTGGGAACTACAGGCCAGTCAGCCTCACCTCAGTCCCTGGAAAAATCATGGAGCAGGTCCTCAAAGAATCAATCCTGAAGCACTTGCATGAGAGGAAAGTGATCAGGAACAGCCAGCATGGATTCACCAAGGGAAGGTCATGCCTGACTAATCTAATCGCCTTCTATGATGAGATTACTGGTTCTGTGGATGAAGGGAAAGCAGTGGATGTATTGTTTCTTGACTTTAGCAAAGCTTTTGACACGGTCTCCCACAGTATTCTTGTCAGCAAGTTAAGGAAGTATGGGCTGGAAGAATGCACTATAAGGTGGGTAGAAAGCTGGCTAGATTGTCGGGCTCAACGGGTAGTTATCAATGGTTCCATGTCTAGTTGGCAGCCGGTATCAAGTGGAGTGCCCCAAGGGTCGGTCCTGGGGCCGGTTTTGTTCAATATCTTCATAAATGATCTGGAGGATGGTGTGGATTGCACTCTCAGCAAATTTGCGGATGATACTAAACTGGGAGGAGTGGTAGATACGCTGGAGGGGAGGGATAGGATACAGAAGGACCTAGACAAATTGGAGGATTGGGCCAAAAGAAATCTGATGAGGTTCAATAAGGATAAGTGCAGGGTCCTGCACTTAGGACGGAAGAACCCAATGCACAGCTACAGACTAGGGACCGAATGGCTAGGCAGCAGTTCTGCGGAAAAGGACCTAGGGGTGACAGTGGACGAGAAGCTGGATATGAGTCAGCAGCATGCCCTTGTTGCCAAGAAGGCCAATGGCATTTTGGGATGTATAAGTAGGGGCATAGCGAGCAGATCGAGGGACGTGATCGTTCCCCTCTATTCGACATTGGTGAGGCGTCATCTGGAGTACTGTCCAGTTTTGGGCCCCACACTTCAAGAAGGATGTGGATAAATTGGAGAGAGTCCAGCGAAGGGCAACAAAAATGATTAGGGGTCTGGAACACATGACTTATGAGGAGAGGCTGAGGGAGCTGGGATTGTTTAGCCTGCAGAAGAGAAGAATGAGGGGGGATTTGATAGCTGCTTTCAACTACCTGAAAGGGGGTTCCAAAGAGGATGGCTCTAGACTGTTCTCAATGGTAGCAGATGACAGAACGAGGAGTAATGGTCTCAAGTTGCAGTGGGGGAGGTTTAGATTGGATATTAGGAAAAACTTTTTCACTAAGAGGGTGGTGAAACACTGGAATGCGTTACCTAGGGAGGTGGTAGAATCTCCTTCCTTAGAGGTTTTTAAGGTCAGGCTTGACAAAGCCCTGGCTGGGATGATTTAACAGGGATTTGGTCCTGCTTCGAGCAGGGGGTTGGACTAGATGACCTTCTGGGGTCCCTTCCAACCCTTATATTCTATGATTCTATGATATGAAAAGGTACACTCACCAGAGGTCCCTTCTCCGTCTGCTGGGTCCAGGAGGCAGCCTTGGGTGGGTTCGGGGGGTACTGGCTCCAGGTCTAGGGTGAGAAACAGTTCCTGGCTGTCGGGAAAACCGGTTTCTCCACTTTCTTGCTGTGAGCTATCTACAACCTCCTCCTCATCATCATCTTCTTCGTCCCCAAAACCTGCTTCCGTATTGCCTCCATCTCCATTGAAGGAGTCAAACAACACGGCTGGGGTAGTGGTGGCTGAACCCCCTAAAATGGCATGCAGCTCATCATAGAAGCGGCATGTTTGGGGGTCTGACCCAGAGCGGCTGTTCGCCTCTCTGGTTTTCTGGTAGGCTTGCCTCAGCTCCTTCAGTTTCACGTGGCACTGCTTCGGGTCCCTGTTATGGCCTCTGTCCTTCATGCCCTGGGAGATTTTCACAAAGGTTTTGGCATTTCGAAAACTGGAACGGAGTTCTGATAGCACGGATTCCTCTCCCCAAACAGCGATCAGATCCCGTACCTCCCATTCGGTCCATGCTGGAGCTCTTTTGCGATTCTGGGACTCCATCATGGTCACCTGTGCTGATGAGCTCTGCATGGTCACCTGCAGCTTGCCACGCTGGCCAAACAGGAAATGAGATTCAAAAGTTCGCGGTTCTTTTCCTGTCTACCTGGCCAGTGCATCTGAGTTGAGAGTGCTGTCCAGAGCGGTCATAATGGAGCACTCTGGGATAGCTCCCGGAGGCCAATACCATCGAATTGTGTCCACAGTACCCCAAATTCGAGCCAGCAACGTCGATTTAAGCGCTAATCCACTTGTCAGGGGTGGAGTAAGGAAATCGATTTTAAGAGCCCTTTAAGTCGAAATAAAGGGCTTCATTGTGTGGACGGGTGCAGGTTTACATCGATTTAACGCTGCTAAATTCGACCTAAAGTCCTAGTGTAGACCAGGGCTTAATGTGTGGCAGCAGGGTCCACATGTACAGTTAGTGTGCGGCACACTAATGTGAGGTAGATTTACACCCCAGCTTGCTGCGCATTAACTGTTCAAACAGATAAGCCCTGAGACACAAAAATTAAGTGAATTTGGGGTATTAGAAAATTAATGTTTTTTTCTAAGCATCTCAGAAAGTCTGTAGCAGTGCCAGGAGTAGAATCCATTACCTTGATTCTGATCTGACACCATTATAACTCCATTGATCTCAGTGAAGAAATTCCTAATTTACACTGTTGTAAAAGATCAGAATCAGGCCCCATGTATCCTAGTCCTATGCCTTCACAACAATACCATATTTCTTCTTTTTTCACTGATATATTATACTAATCAGTGTTCTGTCCATTATTTTTTGTTGTTTGTTATAATCATTATATCTGAAAACTGTCCCTTTTTTATTTTTCCTATAGCAAAAATACAACAGAATCTCATGTTTCTGGGAAACACAGCCTTTAGGCTGTGTGAGGATCAGTTGTGTCTTCCATCATAGCAAACCTCGTAATATAAATGGACTTTTTTTGCCACCTAGTAGCAGTGAGTAAAAATATTTTCTCAATAATTTGAACATTGAAATAGATAAAAATGTATTGTCCACTTCTAGTGTTGATATAATACCTTTGTAGGTGAAGAAAGACAGCATTGCAGATTGGGTGGAATATGATCTCAAGTCAAGGTTAGTAAAGGACTTATGGTTATGTTTGACTAGGGTTCCCATAGGAATTTCTTTGGCCATTGTGTGAGAAATTTCTGTAGGTAACAGTTACATCAAAGGTGATGTACTGAGTAGCAATTCAAATTTTAATCCATTTGTCTCACAAGTGAAAAATTATACACAGTAATATTTTACATGCTGTGTGTATCCTTGATGTGCTGAATGACAGTCACATGAGGCAGTGATTTGTGTATAAGCTGTCAAATCTAGTTTGAAGAGTTTGTGTTTTAGGAAATCCCTGTACTTTTTACTACCTCTGTAAAGCTTTGGGCCTTCCTGACTCTCACTCATCCACTTCCAACTACATAATGGCCTCTACACTCACAGTGAGGTCTCTTCAGGGTTTCACTCAAACATAGGAGCTGAGTGTTAAAGCAGTACAGTACTTTCTTCACAGCATATAGTATTCATTTGAGGTCATTTATGCAGTCACAATTTTGGAAGATTGTGTAATTACTGCATGGCCATGATTCACTGGTTAACCATACATGACTAGTGGATTGCAACTGTGTGGGCAGCAGTTATACCTTCTCTCGCTATCCTTTTCAATTTCCCCCCATTACCTCGCATACATACAAATCAAATGTGCCTTCTAAAACAACATCTGAAATAATCCATTCCATCTGTGGGAATTATCTACCCATCTTAATATAGAAAGAAATAATCAATTTTTTTCTCCTTCTCTCCTGTCAACTGTTGGCCGTTCTGCTCAGATTCCTGATACAAATGATCTAATTTATACATCTGAAGAGGGTGAGGGTATGTAAGAAATTCCACTTATAAGTTCAAAGCCAGTAACCAGCCGAATGTCAATAGAAAAAATAAGAACTCATCCCCCTGCACCTGTTTTACAGGCTCTCTTGGCATTTGGGAGACCACTGTGTTTTCAAAGTGGGGTTCTGGCTGAGTTGAAAACTTTTTATTTTAAGATTCCATTCAGTAATGGAGCAAGTGATTAGATGTTGATTAAATAGTTAGCTTTGCCAAATGGGAATATTTTTGAGACAACTGCCTCATAGTTACATTGAACCAGAGAGTTAGAATCTATGTAAACCTTTTCCTGGTGTAAAACACAGTATTCACAATGGCCACAACATGGTGTATGCTACTCCAGAAATTAAAATACAATGAACAAATGAAATAGGAGAGAACTGATTTCTGCCCTTGCAAATACAGGCTAGCTAAGTAAAGATAAATTTTAGATTCCATCAATTGCCTTCAATTATTAAACAGTCTGAGGAGGGGAAGAGAGGTAGTGCATAGAAACTGTGGTGATGAAAATAGAAAATCTCAAAAATGAAGGACAGATTAGATTTAGCAGATAGGAATAGCAATAAAATGTTCACCAAAACCAACACCTCCAAACGTTTACTATTTCATATTTTGGTTTACTCAGAATGCTTACTATTTTTTATTATTTTTACTATTCATAAAATAATGAAAAAGTTTAGAAACCCAGGCAATATTTTAAAAGAAAAAGGTTCTTTGCTGGGTGTGATGTCACCAGCAGTCTATGATGGGACATCACACCAAGTCAGGGTCCACAATACACGCAAATTTTAAATTAGATATGTATGAAATGGCCCTCATTTGGAGACAGTTAAAAAAATAATTTCTAATGCTGCATCACATGTGCAGGTCACTTTCAAGTGTTTTTCCCCCCTTAATTGACTTCAGTTAAGCCTTTCAGGCTGGGCACATGGGGATGGGGAGAGAATATGTGAAGCAAATACTTCTTAATTATGATTTCTCTTTTACTCTCTGATTTCCAAAAATCCAGACTATTTCTGGAAAAATGGCTAGTTCTTTTTCAACCCTTCCTAAAGCAAAACTCCTATCGACTTTAATGAAGTTTTGCCTGAGTTAGGTCTTCAGGTTTGGGATCACCATGTGTACACATCCAGACTCTGGAGCCAAAGCTACTGCATATGATATTCTTAAAGAATACAAAGTTGTATTTTGTGGAGTAGATTGTATCATGTAAAGGTAGACCTCAGTTTCCCTCTTATGGATCTGTAAACCAAGAAAAGTGACTGTAGCCTTCAGGCAAAATATTAAAGACCAACTCAACTTCATAGAATGGGATGGTGTTAGTGAATATGTCACAGACCCTACTGATTGAGGTCAACATTTGGATGAATATGGACGCTAAAGGTATCGGGCTCATGCTGAAGTCAGTGAAATAATAACTACAGTGGGTGTGTTATGTAGTCCTTAAACAATACATATGTGATGAATCTTCAATTCATATTTGACTTATGTATGACTCTAGACTTCTATAAAGTACTTTAATATGTATATTAAACACATTAATGTATACTAATTTGCAAAAAAAAATTGAATTACAACTTAAACAATACTTTCTCAATAATTCAGATCACTACTGCTCATTATAGTGGTGTCACATTAACACGGACTATCACATGGCATATTTCCAAGCATAGTTATTGGACAGGCATTGGCAAAAGGCTTCATTTAAGTTCCAGAATAATAGGAACAAAGAAAATGTAGCTTAAGGAGGGAGTTCTTTTCTATCCGTGAGAAAAATCTAACCAAAGCTGAATGCAGACTTTGCCAAAGCTATTTCATGGGAGTGTGTCCAATGCATACTGTACATGATGACACGTGTCCATGCCAACCACATTTTGGTGCACTGAGCAACCCATGAAAGACTTAACAGAGGAAGCTCTGTTTTTAGAATTACAATTGAAAAAGCATTCCAAATTATGAATGAGAGTGCGGCTTGGAAAAGCTATTAGCAAGTATAATTTCTAAACTCACAGGTGATCCACGGCTATATGTACATGGTGGTATTAAATAGGGAGCTTTATTCAGTGGTGGAGGAGAGCTTCCTCGTACCAACAGTAGTTCCGGATGTCTGTGGGAGAGCAGGTCATTACATATTACAAACAAGTCCAGGGCTTGGCATCCACACTGCATAGTGACCCTAGCTTTAGAATTTTTTGACCTGGGCTGCAAATCTGGGGCTCCAATGTCCACACTGCAATACTCAGTCCCAAGTCAAACCACTATTTCTCAGACATCCTAGCACCCTCCCCAGCTGTAGCCACTCCAGCCTCTGGTTAGTGTTGCAGTGTGGGAAAACTTGATTGTCCACCCCACACGTTACAGGAAGTTGTCACAGTCTGCCAAGTTAGCAATAGATCCTGCCAAGCCTGTTTCAGCAAACAGGCAAAGCACCCATGAGACACTGGTGGATGTTCTGTTGGTGATTGCTGACCTACTAAAGGTGCCTGATGGAAGAGGAGGATGATACAGACATGGAAGAATCAAACTGGCTGATGCTGCTTGCACCTCTTGCTGTAGCTGGTGATTCCCCCCATGTAAACCAGAGCTTCTGGAGCAGGGGCCCAAGCACAGACTGGTGGGATCACATCGTCATGCAGACCTGGGATGACCAGTAGTGGGTCCAGAACTTTTGCATGAAGAAAGCTACATTTCTGGAACTTTGTGAGCAGGTCGCACCTACGCTCCAGAGTAAAGACACTCATGAGGTCAGCCATACTGGTCCAGAAGTAGGCTGCTATAATTGTCTGGAACCTGATTACCCCAGACTGCTACAAGTCTGTTGCTAACCAGTTCAGCATTGAAAAGTCAATCATGCGTAAAGTGGTCACAGAGGTTTCAGACGCAATCAGGCATATGATTTACCCAAAGGTAGTGAACGTAAACAAATATCCCTTAAGTAATTGCTGGTTTTGAGAGAATGGAGTTTCCAAACATGCCAGGGCCATAAATGGGACTCATATGGCCACAGTTTGACCTCTTCAAGAAGTACATGAGTGCATAAACTGCAAAGGGTACTACTCCATTGTTATGCAGGCCCTTGTGGACCTCAGAGGCTGATTTATGGACACCAGTGTGGACTGCACTGGAAAGTTCATGATGCCAGGGTTTTCCGCTGATCAGGAGTCTACATTCATGGACAAGCTGGGACACTATTCCCACCAAATGACATTGTCATAAATGGAGTTACTATCCCCACTGTTATTTTACCGTACCCAGTGTACCCCCTTTTTCTTTCACTTATGAAACCATATGCTGATAAAAGTCTCTAGTAAAAGAAGGTTTAGTTATACTCTGAGTATGTGAGGAATGGTGGTTGAATGTGCATTTAACAGACTGAAATCCCGCTGGTGCTATTTACAGACATGTTAGGATTCCAGTGTCATCAGTGCTGTCTGTATTATTGTGGCTTGCTGTGTTCTTCACAATCTTTGTGCAAAGATACATTAGCAGATACATGCTGCTGCCTGGAGCTTGCAATAAATTTTGCATTGGGTAATAAACAGGAAATCCATCCCATAAACTGGAAATCATTCCCATCTCTATATTAATAACAACAAACATGGATCCAGAAACTTACCAGGCTCAGGGGCTATTTCTGCCCCTTGTGTTTCTGATGCCAGTTCTGTGGTAGACAGCTCTTCCAGAGAGACATCAAAAAGTTCTTTGGAGTAGGGACCCAGGATGTGCTACAGCTGCTCTAGGGAACTGGTCTGGGTACAAGAGTCACTTGGGCAGCCTCGGCCAGCACTTGCTGGCTCCCTTTTGGTCCTATACTGTATTCAGGGATGAGAAGGTTGCCCTCCTGACTGACCATAAAGCACTGGTGGCTCAATGCTCGGCGCAGTACCCAGCACCTGGTCAAACTCCTTGTAAGAGTGGCAGGATGACAATGAGTTCCCAGAGATCCAGTTCTCATCCCTAGCTTTCCAGGAGTTGGTCTTGAACTGCTTAATCTGCTCTCTGCACTTGTTACTGGTCCAGTGAATCCCCAGCACCAGCTTCTGCACTATTAGCTGGTATGCATGCTCATTCCTGGAATTCTTGGGAAAGTTGAACTGTTTGCTCACCTTGCACCAGATATTAAGCAAAATGTGGCGGTGCTCCCATGACCAGCTAGCAGCACGCTTGGCAAAAGACTTCTTGATGGCGGTGACCATTACAAATGCAGAAGATGGGTCACTCTGCTTGCAGCTCAGTGGTCAGAATAAAATGGAAGGGTTAAATGCTGAGCAGTTGCATTTGAACCAGGAGAGATGCTTCTGTTTCGTGGGAGTCAATTGGCCAGTCTTGGGATAGGAAAGACAAAGGACACTGTCCCATGGGGTTGTGAGATGGGGTTGGTGGACTCTCAGGACTCGAATCTGGGGACCCCAGGCCTGAGCTGCATCTACAGTGCAAAACAATGGAGTTTGGGCCCACGCCTCTGTTAGACTCAGGCTTGAACCCTCAATTCCTGTGGGATCCTGGGGTTTGGGCTCAAGTTAGACAGAATTTTGTGTAGGTGAAGGGGGATTTGGGCCTGAACCAGAGCCCAAGCAGTGTAGACATGCCCCTAAAAAGGGGCAGGAGTAGACAAGGTTATTTATACCTTCCCATACACACACCAGTCAGAAGAGATGGCCAGCCACTGGAAGAACTGCATACTATTTACTACTCAAGGCTGGTGCAATGATGTGTTATCCTTGCATGCTGAAAATCTCTGGGAGGCACTGTGTGTCCCTGAGTTACCATGTCTCCCCATGTTCCTTCTGCCTTGGAGACACATTTCTGCCAACCTCCTTCTCAGTACAGCGCCTAAAAGACACAATTTGGCAATTTGTGACTTTGTCAAATACAATTATGATTTCAAATGTATAACAAACTGATTAGAACCTGATTTTGGTGTTCTAATGCCTTATTAACAGACCGAACTTCATGTACTTTCCTATAGATGCCACACTCCAAAAGGAAGTTCAAGAAGGAACTCTGCATCCTGCCCACACTCAAGAACCCGTAAAAGGTCAAGAAAGCATTTTGAGACCCATTCATCCTCCACTGATCATAAACATCAGCCTGGAGGAGGAAGAGGAAGAGGAAGAAGAGGAGAACTGTAAATATGACCTTTTTCTGAACTCTGAAACTAAAGTGGATTTTCTCAAATAATTTGCAAAATGGTTGCCAACAGATTTTTGGCTGTTTTCAACAATCATGCCATTTTTGAGGAAAGAGGTCAAATATTTGGGAATATTTTATAATTATCTTTATTTTATTGTATAAAACACATAGTAAATGTAGACTCTCATTAATAAACTTTCAAAAGATCTAATATCTATTTTTTCTTACTGATATAATTCAAATTCTCTTTTTTCCTTAATTAGAAATGAATGCAAGTGCCACAATTCACATGGCATTGAAATACAACAATTCAGATACAGATCCAAACTTTCTCAGAGTTCAGGGATGTTCAGATTTATTTGGCTCCATCTGTAATTTAAATGATCATTTTACTCATTGAAAAGGTTCTCCCAAGGCTCTTAGATTTATCACTGTATAGGTTTGACCAGGATGCTAATTTCATTTTGTGCTTTAGCTTTAACAAGAAACACGTTAGCTGTTGCTAGGTGGCATTTAGTTGAGAGTTTAAAGCATCTGCGGCAATTCAGAGATGAAGTAATTTTTATGCCAAACAAGAAGACTTAGAGTTCTGTCCAGCCTAAAATCATTTCCATGCTTGCTGTTCTACAGAGGTTGTACAAACCTCATGGACTACACCTGCCCATGAAATTACCCCTATTCTTAGGGCTCACATTTGTTCTGTAATAAATAACTGGTGGCTATACATAGTTTGCCAACCTCAAGAGATCAAAAACGTGAGTCAGACCCTCAAAATCATGCAATTAGCCCAAAAATCATGAGGTTTTTTTTTTTTAAATTAAATTGGTTTTTAGTCTGTCTTATGACTATTTAACTCCCTCTATTTCTCTGTCCATGTGCATGTGAGATAATTTCCGGTTGAAAAGTCAGCCTTTAATGAACACAGAAATGTGTGCCTCTCCCTGGGCTGCTGAGCTGGAGACTTCACTTATCTTCTCCTTATCCCATCCCTCCACTCACATCGGTGGTGGAGTTTTACACCCATTTGGCATGCGTATGAATGCCTCCACAAGGTGTAAGGGAGAGGAAGGACTGTGTTAATGTGAAGGGGTACCTTTTAGAGCATGCCAGCAGGGTCTATATGGGGCAGTCAGAGCGCATCAAGTTAGTTTTACAAATAACATCCCTCTGGCCTGTTTTGCCATGCTGTGTATACAAGCCCTCTATGGTCTGTATACTGCTTGTACTCGAGAAAGGTGGTATCATAGGCCCTGTATTGATAGTTTTGCATGAGAAGCAGGAAAAGAATATCTAGTGATCAAGGAACTGCGGAGAAATATGAAGCTCATAATTCTTTATCATTCTAGTAAATACAATCCATGCTATCGCTCAAAATATCTAACCCAAAAATCTAGTTTGTGACTGCGCCCTTGGGCAGTCCAGCTTCTAAAGATGTGTGCAGCTTCCTCTTGAACTAATTCATTTGACTTGCTTCTGTTTTTGCCTTTGCCATCTTTTTGTGCCAAATTGATTTTAACGGTCTATAACAGAGACATTTAAGGAGAGAAAATGGGGTGTGTGGGCTGTATTTTCCCCATTTAAAGTTGAACTGGATTAATTCTTTGAGTGGTAATGGCAATATTTGCTTGAAGAGATAGGAACTGCCAATATGGACAGGGATTTTACTCTACATTCATTTCTGTAAAAGAAATTCTGTGTAAATTGCATACCCTTTCTCACTTTACTCCCTGACTTGCTGCTTTTGAATTAGTTGCTGTCTCAGGGCTTAGCTACACTTGCGAGTTACAGCGCAATAAAGGAGCCCCGGGCGCACTAGCTCACTACCCGTCCTCACTGGCAAGGCAGTAGAGCGCTCTGACTCTGCGGCTACAGTGCTGTTGGTATTCCAGCTCGGCGAGTGGAATAACGTTTGCTGCACCCCAGCTGGAGCACCGCAGCGCCAGTTTGAACAAGGTGTTGCTTTACTGCGCTCTAATCAGCCTCCGGAAACATCCCATAATCCCCTTAAGTCAAGTGGCCACTCTTGTCATTGTTTGGAATCAGCTGTAGGAATGCAGAAATGCCCGTTGAAATCTCCGTTTCTGACAGCCAGCTGCTTATCTCCTCTGAGACAAAGCAACCATTACTGTGGAATGCTGTTTGTGAGGGAGGTGGGGGGGGAGGGGAGGTCTGCTGCTGTCTGAACTTACAAGACAGCATGCTGAAATGCTTTCAACCCCCCAAAAACCCACTCTCTCTCCCCCCACATACACACAACACACTCCCTGTCACACTCCACCCCATCCCCCAGCCCCCCGTTTGAAAAGCACGTTGCAGCCACTTGCATGCTGGGATAGCTGCCCATAATGCACCACTCCCAAAGCCGCTGCAAGTGCCACAAATGTGGCCACGCCAATGCACTTGAAGCTGTCAGTGTGGACAGACTGCAGCGCTTTCCCTACTGCGCTCTACGAAGGCTGGTTTAACTCAAAGCGCTCTACATCTGCAAGTGTAGCCATGCCTTTAGTGTGTACTTACCTTTTTGAAGAGGCTGCTTGCATTTGCTTGCGTACAACTATTCAACTTAGGGCCAGGGTCATAGCCACAGGGCTTGTCTACGTAAGAAAGTTCCACCACTTTATTTTAAATCAGTTTCTCACCCCTACGTAGATAGTCTTATTTTGGTTGAGCTACTGAACTAAGTCACTCTTAAACTGAAATAAGAGTGTCCAAACATGGGTTTGCACTGAATTGACTAAATCGGTTAAAAAACAAATTGTTAATTATTATCTGTGCAGCTTCCTTATGTAGACAAAGTGTTAGCCAAGTGTCTTATGAATGAGCAAAATATGCTCAGTGCATCCCCAGATAGCTTATCAGAGAATAGGTCATTCAGCTCAAGTATTTATTTGCTCACTCAGGATCACTTCCTTTTATGTGTGATTGTGTGGTTGTTTTGAGAGGACTGAAGAAAGGCTTTTGAATTATTTTTAATTTAAACCATCTAAAATAAACATCAATAATGGTCAACCTTTTGACTTTCATTGTAACTAAGACAATATTGGTCATGAAAATATCTGTCAGTAAGCAATAGTTTTTCTGCCCAGAAAGCAGAGGGCTTGGATAAACTAGCAACAGGAAAGGGGGGTGGGGGGAAGTTCCTTCATTTTATAATGAAATTGTTTATATTTATGAATAGTGCATTAACAAATCCTGAAGAGTCTGTACTCAGGTATAGTTCTCTCTTTTAAAAATATTTCCTATAGATACCTCTTATTTATTGACAAAAACTCCGGCAGACATTGAGGAAGAAAAAGCAATAAAGGAGATGTGTTATAAATCTGGTAAATATCTAATTATTGATAATTTAAAAAATATTAATATAATCAGTGAGTAAAGACATTTTTTTCTTTCTTTTGGGGGGCATGAGTAGGAGAATATTACAGAATTCAGACTCCTCAGGAGAACCAGTCAGCAAAAATCATGTCTTCAGCACTGAATAATGAGCTATTGAAACCCATGGAAACTGGCAGAGACTTACAAGAAGGTAAGTACTGGAGTGGCAATGCTTTTCACTTTAAGAATAATGTTTATATATATGTAATTACATAGAAAGACACTATCAGGTAGTTTAGATCCAAATATTAGGTTTTGCAAATTTAGAAAAAAAGAATTATACAAAATAAAATCAATAGAAATAGTTGTGACTTTTTTAATTAAATGGAAACAGCATAGACATGGTGATGAGGATGTGACACCTGCATTGACTACAGCATGATGGAATAAGGCCAGGTCAATTGAGTAGAGCCAAGGTTAACATGTGGTACTTTCCTGAATTCCATGGCATGCATCTCTGCTACAATTTGTTTTCTAGTATCTTTTGAAATAAGGTTACAGTCTCTTTTTTTATTGGGTCTGCTACAACACATCTGAGCTCCAAGGGACATGAATTAATGAACATTTATCCCACTCAAGATTTTAGAGCTTCTCTTTTTTCCCCGTTAGCCAGGTGGTATGCCTGCAAAAATCAATGTCAGCTTTTATTATTATAATAGGTGATAGTATTGCTGCTTCTTAACAGAGTAATTTATGCTCTGAACATTCCTAGACGTTAGTGTAATTAGTGCGTTGGTCATTAAAGTGTTTGAGAAAGAAGTGAGATGTTAGTATATAAGTGAGAGTAGCACATTTATCATTGCCATAAAGTTGTTTACAACATAATGGAAAACTTCATGGATAACCATCTGGATCTGCAATTACATGTAAAGAAAATTGAAGCAGGAAGATAGTGAACAATAATGAAGAGAGTATATTATTTTGCAAAAAGAACAGGAGTACTTGTGGCACCTCTAAGGTGCCACAAAATGCATCCGATGAAGTGAGCTGTAGCTCACGAAAGCTTATGCTCAAATAAATTTGTTAGTCTCTAAAGGTGCCACAAGTACTCCTTTTCTTTTTGCGGATACAGACTAACACAGCTGCTACTCTGAAACCTATATTATTTTGGTTCAGATAGAGATAATCTGAGATAATATTGGCTAGTAAAAGTATGATTTTTTGGACCTCTGGTTTTTACCAATTTAACCTTTTTAATAGGAGTGAAGAGAGAGAAAATAGTTTCTCTGCACAATATCCTCTGAATTCTGTCTTGGGAGTAGAGGTATTTCCATTAAAGTACTTTTGAGGTGGTATTTCTAATGGGTATTCAAGGGCTTAGATATCACAGTGATAGGCCCTTAGAAATACCATAGATTATATTCATAAACCTTTAATCATGTGAACTGAGTAGCTATAATGTTAACCTCTTTGCAGCCCTCCTATAGCCTGCGTGTGGTGGCACTTCACAGGAATCGTGTAATGTGTATTTCATGTACATTAGTTACATTACAGGGCACCCAGATGTCTAATAAAAGTGGAAAGGGGAACATTTAAGGAGAGGTTAGCAGAAATGTACTCTAAACCAATGATTAAGTCATGGAGAATGGTGTGGGAGGAGAGTGACTATCTTCAAAAAGGAAGGTTTATAATGGCACAAAGCAGTCAGTTATGAATATCACATCTCACTGTACTTCTTGGGATGCAGTCAGGTTCTGTTCACTTTTATGATATTCATTAGCAAAAGCATCACTAACTTGGACCCTTAATCTAACCTCACTGGGTATGTCTACACTGCATCTGGGAGTGAGCCTCCCAGCCTGAGTCCACAGACTTGGGTTAGTGGGGGCTTGTGCTAGCATTCTAAAAATAGCTGTGTAGACAGCGCTTCAGAGCCCAAGCTCCAGCATTAGTTACAATGTCTACACAGCTATTTTTAAAGCTCTAACGTGAGCCCATCTACCACATGTCTGTGGACCAGGACTGGGATTGCTCCCAGAGGCAGTGTAGAAATGCCCACTGAGGCCCCAGAAGCCTTAGGCAGATCTTTCCTGTTAAGACCAGGTATGATCTGTGCAAGACAAAAGTCAGGGAATTTATTAAAACATACTGCCCACATTCCCCACCATGGGATCCCACCTCCCTGGGTCTGGCTGTGGAGTGTCTGTGGAATATGAACTCTGTGGATTCGCCAGGAGACTGGAGCAGTTGCATTCTGTGAGGATGCTTCCTTTCGTCGGTCTGAATTTTGACCAGATCTGCTGACGAATAAAAATGTGCTCATGATATGTCATTGTTTACAGAAAGAAATAATACAAGTAGAATTAAATTAATTATGCTGAAGTGAAGTGGCTAACCATTGGCAGTACAATTAAATATGTTTGATATATGTGCAATAAACATGGTTTGCTCACCAAAACAATTCAAAAGTTTTAGTACATTGTATTTTTTGAAAACCTCTGTCAGAGATAGGGGTTTACCCTCAACTTTATACTGTGAGATTTAATTATATTAAGCCTTTAAGCATTCATGCAAGTTTTGCTCATAATTCAGAAATGCTCGCAGATGTGTCTATCCATAAAATCAGTGTGCAAAAAATGTCCATGTTGCAAAGTGCTATCCATTACTTCCTTTACTCTCCCAAGCTCATTTATCTACCACAAATGCACTGACTCCACATAACTAAGCCAAAAAATCCCTCTGCTTCCTTTCTAGGAGATGGTGTTACAGTTCCAACAAAGTTTAATATTATAGAAAGACAAGGAGAGGTAACAGCATCATTAGATGGTAACACCAGGACTGATCCTGGTGCCTTTGAAAATGGAGGTAATTACTTTAAAATATCGAGGAGTCCTTGTGGCACCTTAGAGACTAACAAATTTATTTGGGCGTGAGCTTTTGTGGGCTAGAACCCACTGGGAGGGTTGAGTCATTACAAAACCTAAACTTAATTTCCCCCATACTAATTTCCCCCTACTGTTACACCTTCTTGTCAACTGTTTGAAATGGGCCACTCTCATTACCACTACAAAAGTTATTTTTCCTCCCTTGGTATCCTGCTGTTAATTGAATTGTCTCGTTAGACTGACCTCACACTTGGTAAGGCAACTCCCATCTTTTCATGTATTCATACCTGCTCCTGTATTTTCCACTCCATGCATCTTATGAAGTGGGTTCTAGCCCATGAAAGCTTATGCCCAAATAAATTTGTTAGTCTCTAAGGTGCCACAAGGACTCCTCATAGTTTTTGCTGATACAGACTAACACGGCTACCACTCTGAAACTTTAAAATATGTGTTCTCATTATCTAATATCCTTTGGTAGATAAAATAATTTCCAAATATACCTTTCATGGAATTTATTTCTGTATTTTCTGTAAAGTCTTTTTCTTTCAATGCTGTTAATAATAATAAAAAATATTACTGTTGTATTTGGATTCCACCCATCTCAGTAACATAGCGAAAAAATATTTTCAGTTTGGTGACTCCACTCAATGGGATTTTAATTTAATCTTGAAAAAAAAAATTGTTTCTTAGATTTGTTTTCTTACTCTGGCTGCAAAGAAGCTCACACAGCTTCAACATAAACAAGCATGACAGTCAGATATAACGCGTATACTAAACTTTCAGAAATTGCTATGTTTGAGAGAATATCTTTGGTAAAGCTGAACTGACTTGTTTTTGGCAGTCACATGGGAAATTACTAAGGCCCCAATCCTGCAAGCTGTTCCATGTGGGCAAATCCTTGTGCCCATTGTCTGCTTAGAGATCTCAGTACAGGATCCGGATTTCAGTCATTAAGGATGAACTTGGACACCACACGCATTTATATTTACCTATCATTGGTTATCTCCTTTTCTTTTGAAACCCCATCCTCTCCAGTTTAATAATTTCCCATGTGGTACTATGTCAAATGCTTTACTGAAGTCCACATAGATTAGTTTTACTGCATTTTTCTTGCAAAAAAAAAATCATTGATCATATCAAAGGTAAGTAATAGCAGAGATAATAGGGTTTTTGGTAGCATTTTATAAATTGTATCACTTTTTTGAGCCCTGTATGTATTATAAGCAATGTATGTGTTTGTTTTTATGTTTAATATCTTATTGCTTGTTGTCCTGGTGCTTTGTATTTGGTTAATCAAGAGTTAATTCAGAGAGAGAATTAATTATGGAAACGTACATTCATATTGAGAGGTATGAATTAAAAGAATATTAAATATATTTTTCATTTATCTGACTTTTATATACACATTTTACATAACTGCTTTCTATTTGTTTTTCATGTTTATGTTCTTACTATTCTAACCAAAAACTAACACAAATTAAATGATAAAAAAGAGTAAAGTGAAAAGGTTGGATTCTGCATTTTAAACACAGTACAATCAAGTTCATCTTAAAATGAGAACATACCATGTCTCTATTTATAATTTGATGATGCATCATAATTTTTTGCAGGAGGTGATTGTTATATACCACAAAGGAGTATATTTGTTGGAGGGAAGCAAAGTGAAACATTAACTGGAGAAAAAGAATTAATTACGTCCAGACGTTCAGATGTGAAAGGTATGAATCATTATTTTTGCGTTTTGTAATTTTGGAAAACATTTTTTGCTTTCTTTGTAATTTCACTGGACACTTGAGGCAGGACCTAAATGACATCTGTTATATTCCACACACTTTGAGTGAATTGGTGAAGTCCCATCAACAGTGTGGTTTCTTTCATCATACTAAATGATGAAAGCACTTTTATTGGGTTAGGGCAATCTTGCTCCCAATGACTTCAATATAAACAGTATCAGCTTGCTAATTATCTTTATCTTCCTAAAGCCCAAAGATCTAATCCTGGGAGCAGGTGATCACTCTCAATTCCAGTGAAAGTCGATGAGAATTGAGGGCGCATAGCATCTCAGAGAATCAGGACCCTAATGAATACCAATGTAAGGCCCTGATTCAGCTAAGCACTTGAGCACATGATTAAATCTACCTAAGAACTACTCTCGTATTTCAGATTAGGCACATGGTAAAGTACTTTGCTAAATTGGGACCATAATTTGCACTACAGGATTCCAGAATATGTTTGGAAGAACACAAAATTTCCTTATCTGAATATACTTTTTTTTACATATATGATTATTGTGGGCAAATCATTTCTTGCATATTATTCTTCTGTTGTTGAAGTAAAAGATAAGACGACAAATTCTGGCTATAAATCACAAGTAGGTTAAAAAGTAATGAAACTGTCTACATACATTGAAGTGCAAGTAAAGAATTTCTCCTATATTTTGGCCTGAACTGATAGGAGCAAAAGGTAGTGCTTATGCTGTTCAGCTGGATGTGAAAGCAGACAAAGCCCTGGATTCCTGTAGTGGAGCAGGGGACATAGGGTCATAGAGTTTGATAGCTGCCATGCAATGCAGGATGTGAGATTCTGCCCTTCCCTTACTCAATCTCCTTACTCTTGGTGTAAGCACAGAGGGAAGAGTTTTCTTTCATATGTTAAGCATCATAATTACCAGTGTCTCATCTAGACCAGCTGACTGACAAGGCCAAGGACATATGAGGGTCAGTTATATGTTGCACAATAGCTCATTCCATAGTTGCTATGCTGTGTTTTGGGTCAACATGCATAAAATTCTGCTGTGGGTGTAACACACTCACTTTTGTAAAGGACCTCCTGTTCAAACAAGCTTACATAAAATCCGTGGGTTATAGTCAGGGAACATATGTGTGGATTACAGCAAATATCTGCCCTCCTTAAAATATATGTTGTATTGTCTCAGATTTTTTGGCTTGCATATATGGACACCTTTTGAGCCAGAATTTGGGCCAGAAATATCTGTTACGTACTCTAGTAACACCTAGTTTCCTAAAATAAGCTTGAGGTTTGATGAGAACTTTTTTTTCTAATTGAATCAACATAACTTTTTGGCACCATTATGATTTTACTCTTAGGGATGATATTTATTGATATTCTTACTATAATTACTGTTTTCAGAATCAGTTTTTTAGCACATAAAAGAAAGGTCTGTATCCAACGGAGAGTGTATTTAAAATGTGAGGAAGTTATTCTTGTTTTAATTCAACACTCTACTACTTTAATGAGATAAATAAATAATAATGAGATACTAAATAATGTGTTTTTTCAAAAAATAAATTTGTTTTATTTTTCTCCCTTAGCAATGAGCCACACTGAGCCAGTAAAGAAGCGTCACTTTAAAGGAGTGAAGAAAAAGAAATGGATTTCTGAAGAACCAAAAAACTCATTCAGCATGTTTGCAGGCAAAGGTATTTTGCGAAATCGTTTGGTTAATTTGTTTTAAGTTAATAACTCCCTGTCCGTAGAAGCTCACCCCCTCGCTAGGCATCAGAGCCCAAGCTCCGGCCCAAGCTGGAACTTCAAAGCACTGTTTTTAGAAAACCACAGCTGTTTTTAGAATGCTAGTGGACCCCCCTTGGGGTTGGGAGGCTCGCTCCAAAACATGGTGTAGACATACTCTGTGTGCCCTTCTCTCTGACATAATATGTCAAACATTGAATAGCATCTATTAAATTTAGCATAATATTGTTTTTCCCCTTTGCAGCAATGCATGCTTCGAATCCAAAAGGTAAAGCAAATTGCCAACAAAATGATCAAAGCAAAGATGCTGAAAATACTTCTTATGTTCCATCTCAAAGAGCCATTGGGAGAAGCATTTCCTTGAATTCTCCAGAACCTGGAAGATCAACAAACATGACCTACAGTAATGTCAGTGTTACCAAAGAATCCAAGCCGAATCCATCTACAGGTGAGCTCCTGATTACACAGGATTCCTTGCCTAGAAGAAGATCGTCCATATAATTGGTCAAGTACCTCAGTTATACCAGTGCAACTCCACCAGATTAGTATAACCAGTGTGATAAAGCTCTGTCCTTGCCTCCATGGGTCATGCATTTCCTGGCTGATTTCACTAGCCTCAGAGGCTCACTGTGACCCTCCATGTAACCCTTCTCTCTCTAGAGACAAGAGTCACAGTCTACTGAGCCATTTTCATCGTAAGCCAGCGAGGGAGGTGAGGAGAAGTTATCCTTTCTTGCACAGTCTCTGTTGTCTCCCAGTCTCAGTGATTAATCAGGGAGCAAAGGGGGGAGGAGCCCGGGCCCACCCGCTACTCAGGGCTCTAACCCAGAGACCCTAATAGTATCAGCTATGGTAGCTGACCTTTTAGAAACATAATGTGTACAATTCCCTGGGCTACTTCCCCCACAGCAGCCCTCACTTCCTCAAGCTCCACTTCACCCTTACCTCAGGGTCTCCTTCCTTGTGCCTGATATGGTGTGTACTACTCAGCCTCTCCAGCAGCACAACTTCCTCCCACAGCTCCTGACATGCACACCCACCTGACTAACTGGGAGGCTTTTAACTAGTTTCAACCAGCCCCTGATTGGCTTCAGGTGTCCCAATCAACCTAGCCTTCTCCCTGCCTTCTGGAAAGTTCTTAATTGGCCCCAGGTGTCTTAATTGACCTGGAGCAGCTGCCATTTCACTTATCCTGGTACCAGGGATTTGTTTAGCCTGGAGCTAATATATCTATCTCCCACTGCTTTTCCATAGCCATCTGGCCTTGCCCCGTCACACCAGCTAGACAAATTAAGACTGGAAATACAGCATTAATTTTTAACAGTGAAAGTAAATAACTGCTGGAACAACTTACCAAGCATCATGGTGGCTTCTCCATCACCTAGAAACAGTGAGAGTAGTTAACCATTGGAACAGTTTACCCAGGGTCATGGTGGATTCTTCATCATGGACAATTTTCAGATTGGATTTTTTTCTAAACGATCTGCTCTAGGGATTGTTTTGAGGAAGTTCTATAGCCTGTGTTACACAGGAGGTCATACTAGATGATCACAATGTTCCCTTCTGCCTTGGAGTCTGTGAAAAACCAAGAGCAGAATTTGACCCAATATAATCGTAATAAGCAGGTCTCATTGCAATATTTACAGGTAAAAATGAAAATTTTTATGCACTTCTGTGGAAGTTGCCAATTAAAGTCAGGTTTCAGAGTAACAGCCGTGTTAGTCTGTATTCGCAAAAAGAAAAGGAGTACTTGTGGCACCTTAGAGACTAACCAATTTATTTGAGCATGAGCTTTCGTGAGCTACAGCTCACTTCATCGGATGCATACTATGGAAACTGCAGAAGACATTATATACACAGAGACCATGAAACATGAAACATGGTCTCTGTGTATATAATGTCTTCTGCAGTTTCCACAGTATGCACCCGATGAAGTGAGCTGTAGCTCACGAAAGCTCATGCTCAAATAAATTGGTTAGTCTCTAAGGTGCCACAAGTACTCCTTTTCAATTAAAGTCAGACAACATTCTCTTGAGCAGTAGTTCTCCCATCTTTAGAGGGTGCAGCACAAATCCACCTCCATGTCCAGTCCAGCTGGCGCACACCAAAAGTTCCCGAGTGCGTATTAATGTAGTAGTGTTTGAAATGGTATTAATATAACATGCTATTGGGAATTTTTAGTGCATGCCAACAGGGGCCACCGAAGCCAGTTACTGCACAACGTGCTGGTGCACTTTAGAATTTACATGCCAGCGGGTGTGAACCAAGGCACTGTGTAGACAAGCCCTCAGTCTCTGTTTAAAGTTTAAATTATTTTATATTTTGGAGATTGCTTTTGTTGTGTCAATTGATACTATAGCTAATATTTTTGTAACATGAGTAGCAGAATAAGAAGCAGTTTACTGTAATTGTAAGTGAAAATGTAAATCAAGAATTATATTTCTTTAAAGACAAATGGACTGCAGCATCCTATAATTCACCAGCGTGGAGAAAAAGAAGCCCACATACAAAAGCATACTCTAAATCTGAAAAAATCCATTCAGGTACCTATTTGACAGCATTACTTTCAGTGCAATGTAATACAGTAAAGATGACACATCTGTTTTAATTCTCTCTCCAGCTAGAATCTGGAAGAAGCTTTTACCTAGGCACCTACCTTAAGACAACTGTTTTCTAAGGGGAGCTGAAAAATCCGAGAGAGTTGTCTGCCCTTTTGTTTTGAGACCCAATGTCTTTTACCCAATATCTCATGGTTTCCCACTTTTGGCAAGATACATGACTTCCTCTAAAGTCAGGAGCTACTATGCTGTTGTTACTGTATGGAGTAGCTGTTGGCTTGCAGTGCTGGACAAAGTACTATGGTTATGCAATCCACATTACTACAGTGTGGGTCTTTATCCCCCTTTAGTGGTTTCTCCAAAGAAGACCTTAATGAGAATTTCAGAGTAACAGCCGTGTTAGTCTGTATTCGCAAAAAGAAAAGGAGTACTTGTGGCACCTCAGAGACTAACCAATTTATTTGAGCATGAGCTTTCGTGAGCTACAGCTCACTTCATCGGATGCATACCGTGGAAACTGCAGAAGACATTATATACACACAGAGACCATGAAACAATACCTCCTCCCACCCCACTGTCCTGCTGGTAATAGCTTATCTAAAGTGATCATCAAGTTGGGCCATTTCCAGCACAAATCCAGGTTTTCTCACCCTCCGCCCCCCCACACACAAACTCACTCTCCTGCTGGTAATAGCCCATCCAAAGTGACCACTCTCTTCACAATGTGTATGATAATCAAGGTGGGCCATTTCCTGAACAAATCCAGGTTCTCTCACTCCCTCACCCCCATACACACACAAACTCACTCTCCTGCTGGTAATAGCTCATCCAAAGTGACTACTCTCCCTACAATGTGCATGGTAATCAAGGTGGGCCATTTCCAGCACAAATCCAGGCTTTCTCACCCCCCCGCCCCCGGAAACACACACACACACACACAAACTCACTCTCCCGCTGGCAATAGCTCATCCAAACTGACCACTCTCCAAGTTTAAATCCAAGTTTAACCAGAACGTCTGGGGGGGGGTAGGAAAAAACAAGGGGAAATAGGCTACCTTGCATAATGACTTAGCCACTCCCAGTCTCTATTTAAGCCTAAATTAATAGTATCCAATTTGCAAATGAATTCCAATTCAGCAGTTTCTCGCTGGAGTCTGGATTTGAAGTTTTTTTGTTGTAAGATAGCGACCTTGTGTGTGTGTGATTGCGTGACCAGAGAGATTGAAGTGTTCTCTGACTGGTTTATGAATGTTATAATTCTTGACATCTGATTTGTGTCCATTTATTCTTTTACGTAGAGACTGTCCAGTTTGACCAATGTAAATGGCAGAGGGGCATTGCTGGCACATGATGGCATATATCACATTGGTGGATGTGCAGGTGAACGAGCCTCTGATAGTGTGGCTGATGTTATTAGGCCCTGTGATGGTGTCGCCTGAATAGATGTGTGGGCACAGTTGGCAACGGGATTTGTTGCAAGGATAGGTTCCTGGGTTAGTGGTTCTGTTGTGTGGTATGTGGTTGTTGGTGAGTATTTGCTTCAGGTTGCGGGGCTGTCTGTAGGCAAGGACTGGCCTGTCTCCCAAGATTTGTGAGAGTGTTGGGTCATCCTTCAGGATAGGTTGTAGATCCTTAATAATGCGTTGGAGGGGTTTTAGTTGGGGGCTGAAGGTGACCGCTAGTGGCGTTCTGTTATTTTCTTTGTTAGGCCTGTCCTGTAGTAGGTGATTTCTGGGAACTCTTCTGGCTCTATCAATCTGTTTCTTCACTTCCGCAGGTGGGTATTGTAGTTGTAAGAAAGCTTGATAGAGATCTTGTAGGTGTTTGTCTCTGTCTGAGGGGTTGGAGCAAATGCGGTTGTATCGCAGAGCTTGGCTGTAGACGATGGATCGTGTGGTGTGGTCAGGGTGAAAGCTGGAGGCATGTAGGTAGGAATAGCGGTCAGTAGGTTTCCGGTATAGGGTGGTGTTTATGTGACCATTGTTTATTAGCACTGTAGTGTCCAGGAAGTGGATCTCTTGTGTGGACTGGACCAGGCTGAGGTTGATGGTGGGATGGAAATTGTTGAAATCATGGTGGAATTCTTCAAGGGCTTCTTTTCCATGGGTCCAGATGATGAAGATGTCATCAATATAGCACAAGTAGAGTAGGGGCTTTAGGGGACGAGAGCTGAGGAAGCGTTTTTCTAAATCAGCCATAAAAATGTTGGCATACTGTGGGGCCATGTGGGTACCCATAGCAGTGCCGCTGATCTGAAGGTATACATTGTCCCCAAATGTAAAATAGTTATGGGTAAACTTCAATCCATCGGTGATCTTCCTGATAACACCATCCTGGCCACTATGGATGTAGAAGCCCTCTACACCAACATTCCACACAAAGATGGACTACAAGCCGTCAAGAACACTATCCCCGATAATGTCACGGCTAACCTGGTGGCTGAACTTTGTGACTTTGTCCTTACCCATAACTATTTTACATTTGGGGACAATGTATACCTTCAGATCAGCAGCACTGCTATGGGTACCCGCATGGCCCCACAGTATGCCAACATTTTTATGGCTGATTTAGATTTTGTGCTGGAAATGGCCCAACTTGATGATCACTTTAGATAAGATATTACCAGCAGGAGAGTGAGTTTGTGTGTGTATGGGGGTGGGGGGGTGAGCGGGGTGAGAAAACCTGGATTTGTGCTGGAAATGGCCCACCTTGATTACCATGCACATTGTAGGGAGAGTGGTCACTTTGGATAAGCTATTACCAGCAGGAGAGTGAGTTTGTGTGTGTGGTTTTTGGAGGGGGGTGAGGGAGTGAGAGAACCTGGATTTGTGCAGGAAATGGCCCACCTTGATTATCATACACATTGTGAAGAGAGTGGTCACTTTGGATGGGCTATTACCAGCAGGAGAGTGAGTTTGTGTGTGTGTGGGGGGGGGCGGAGGGTGAGAAAACCTGGATTTGTGCTGGAAATGGCCCAACTTGATGATCACTTTAGATAAGCTATTACCAGCAGGACAGTGGGGTGGGAGGAGGTATTGTTTCATGGTCTCTGTGTGTATATAACGTCTTCTGCAGTTTCCACGGTATGCATCCGATGAAGTGAGCTGTAGCTCACGAAAGCTTATGCTCAAATAAATTGGTTAGTCTCTAAGGTGCCAGAAGTACTCCTTTTCTTTTTTCTTAATGAGAATGCAACAGCTGCAAGCTAGGGGACTAAGTCCTGTAGCTCAAGCAGTAGAGCTGATGCATTGAATGCAGGATGTCTCAGTCCCCTCTGACAATCCATGGCAGGTTGTCATCACAATTGGCATCCTTCCTCACCCTCCCTTTGCTTTCTAAGACTTCTGTTCACCAAGATATTTAAGCACGTGCCTAACTGCTTAAGATCGTAAGTTGTGTGGCTATTTAGGCTTAAAGTTAGGCATATGCTCAAGTACCTTGCTGAACTGAAACCTAAGTCCATACATCTTCACTACAGTCTCTATATCGGACCCGGAGCCCTTCCCAATCCAAAAGTGGCAATACAGCACTGGAGCTTGTGGAATCTCTGTGATTCTCCCATGGTCCCCAGCCATGGAAATTGCTAGGTGATGCAGGACAGGTTCTTCTTCGTCTGTGGCATACAGTATTATGTGGTCCTCAAGATTGCTAGTTTCAGAAGATATCTTTTAAATAGTCTGCGAACACCCACAGACATGGTGAACTGAATTGCACTTAAATGCTGGAAATGATGTCCCTGAGTGAATCAGTGTTTCCAGTGAAGGATCAGGCTTCAGTGGTGGTCTGATTGTAATTACTAAATAATCTCTGCCCTTCAGGTTTTCCCATTTACAAAGCTGCCCACGCTTTCCCAAATGTTATTGCATAAATTCTATGTGTGATATGCATTTTTAATGCGCTCGCACACACGCGCATTCAGACAGTGCTTAAAGATCTATTTGCAAAGATGTTGGAGAAAAAAAATCTGTGTGGCATTTTGAAAATGCGTCAGTTATATTGAGTGAATATTTTCTCTTTATTGTAATAAACTGTTATAAGTGCTAAATGCTCCAACGCTTAATACGTCTTTAAAAGGACATGGAGATTTATAACAATAAATTATACAAAAATATGCTGTGTATTTTGGCTACAGATCCAAGAAGAAATGGAAGCAAGTGAAAAAGAGAAAGGAAGAGACTTTGAGAAAATAAAGAAGTGAAGTACAATCCATCATACAATTTACAATAAAAAATGATAAAAATGCAAATTCAAGAAATGAGATTATCACATGCTTCACACTGGAGATCCAAAGATGATAAAATGCAATTTCTAAAAATAAGATGCAGGAAGTGTACACTGTATGGTTTCAAAACTGATAAAAACGCAAATTAAAAAAAACCTACATACTGCTTGTGTATTTATGAGGTCTGCAGTCTATTCAGTATAGTGCTGAAGTTTAACCTAGTTTGAAAGTTGGACTATTCAAGTCATTTTTAACTGTGATCCTGGCTGTAAAGTACAGATTGATTCTAAACCAGATCTTTGATCTCTACAGGGAAAAGATCCTTGAATGCAGCCTCCTTCCATTTTGTTTGCCCAAATGCTGTAGTACATACTTAATAATGAGAATGGATGTGGCTAGCTGGATTTAGTGAAGCAGAGCAGCAGTTCAGAGACAGTCTTGATCTGTAAGATAGACAGTCTTGATAAACAGGCAAAGACAGTTTTGATCTGTATGATAGGGTCTGTGAACAACTTCAAACTAGGGGACTTAGGGTGGGATCCACAAAGGTTCTTAAGCACCTAAACCCCTGGTTTAGGCCTCTAAATTTTGGGTTTAGGTCCCTAATTCCCAGTTTTGGCTCCACTGTGATCCACATATCTCTGAAAAACAACGAGGAGTCCCTGTGGCCACGAGGACTCCTCATTGTTTTTGCTGATACAGACTAACACGACTAGCACTCTGAAACATATCTCTGAAATGCTCTTACTCTCTTATTTACATCAGTGAGCTTTGGATCAGGCCCTCAATGCCCTTTGCATTCCAAAATCTGTTTTATTTTTACTACGGCCTGATATGCACCTAAAAGTTAGTTCAATTTAGCTACATTATTCAGGGTTGTGAAAAACTTTCATTCCCAGTGCAACATAGTTAAGTCATCCTAACTCCTATTTAGACGCAGCTGGCTCGATGGACAGATTCTTCCATTGATCTAGCTACTGCCTCTGGGAAAGGAGATTTTACTACAGCGGTGGAAAAACGCCTCCTGTCTCTGCAGTAAGTGTCCGCACTACAGCGGCTAGAGCAACGGTGCTGCTGTAGCACTTGTAGTGTAGACATAGCCTAACTGAGAACTAGGGTTTTTAAAATGTTATCAACTATAAAACTCTATCTGTAATTACTTGGGGCTGGTCTACTCTAGAACTGCTACGGCGGCGCAGCTGTACCGATGTAGCTGCACCACTGCGGCGCTGCTAGTGCGGACAGTCTGTACTGATGGGAGAGAGCTCTCCCATCGGCATCACTACGCCACCTCCCCGAGCGGCAGGAGTTATGTGGGCAGGAGAACTTCTCCCACCGACGTAGCACTGGCCACGCTGGCGCTTAGGTCAGTGTAATGTACGTCGCTCAGGGGGGTGACTTTTCCACACCTCTGAGTGACTTAAATTATACCGAAGTAAGTGCTAGTGTGTACAAGCCCCTTGGTAAATGTTAACCTAAAGGAAGACGTTACAAACATGATCCCCATGTTCATTACCATGTTAAGTCTCAGTTAGTGACAAAAACACCGTCTTTAAAGAATAAATATAGAGCTTGATATTTAGGTACTGAACACTTCTGGTGAGGTGCTAAGTGCCTTTAACTACCACTAAAGTCAGTCGGAATTGAGAGTATTCAGCACTTTGCAGGATCAGATCCCTAGCTAAGGTCTTTGTCACAGCTGGAAAATAGTCTCAGGATTCATTAAAAAACCAACAAACAAATAAAAATGGAACAATGTCTGGTATTGTTATTTCCAAATCACCAGGGCCTCTCCTACTGTATTACTTAACCCTCTTATAGCTGATTGGCTTTGTCTTTAGTATCCCATTAAGCACTTCAGTGAGAATTGAGGAGAATCAGCACTTCACACAAACAGGCCCATACTTTGCATTGTTTTCCAGATCATATTTCTCAAAGCAGAATTATATTATTAATAAAACAGGTTAGGCATTTTATGCACCTGAAATAGTTAGTAGACTAAAAAATGCCATCACCTGTGTTTTATAAAAACGTGTAAAAACTCCCTCCTGAGACCCTACATTTCAGAGCAATAACTCCAGGGGCATAAACAGGGGTATAAACTCCAGGGGTATAAAAGCATTGTAACATGAAATAAGCTGTATATATAAGTAATACATCAAAATCTCTCTTTATTGGACACCCAAAGGACCAACACAAATTTGTTGCCTTATACAGCTGGTCTTTAAAGTTTGAACAAAATTATACTGGAAACTTCGGTGATACGTTAGTATAGGGATTTAAGGCAGTGAGCTTCCAGTGGAGATGATCATTAGTACAAATTTTACAGCATATAAATATTTGATTTAAAAAAATAAAAATTAAGAAAAATACAAATGGATTTGCCTGTGAAAAAGTCTAATCAGAACTGTAGTCACTAGAGGTCAGTATAGTCATAGGAATGGAATCAAATCACTAACAACATGATTTTACTAACTTTCTTCAACATATAGGGTCTGATGCCAATTTGTAGTAAAATCTCTTTTGTGCTGCTTTGGCATGAGTTTAAAGTGAGTGGAAAAGACCCATTACAAATCCACTTATAGAGAGGGCCTCACTCCTTGATATAGAGCTGTCGTAATGCCTCTGCATCAGCCCCGGACCCATCGCCTCCTGGAGAGGGCTATGGGAAAGAAAGTGCAAGTTGGAGCAGCTCCAAGGCTGCTTTAATGTATACAGGGGGACAGGCCAACCCCTGCATGGTCCCAGAATATGGGGAGCACAAGAATAAGGAAACTGAGATTCAGACCCATATGAGTTTGACATTGCGATTTTTTGCAGATGAAAATATACGTGGAAACTTACTGCTCTGAAGCACAAACTTTGAAACACTATGGTGTAACTATAATGCATTTTAGAGCAGAGTGATAGAGGGCACTTAAATATAGACAAGATACGTTTATAATATTTGCAAATAAAAAAGAAAAGACATCTGGAACAATGGGCACTCTGGGGCCTAATTCTAGCCTTGATGCTCTTGCCTAACTTGTATTAACAGAGGTGAGAGTCACAATAGAGAACTGCCACTAAGGATAGCTTTCAATGGAGAAAATCCATTTATTTCATTATAGTGGTAGTGTGTGTTCTAGAGGTTACTATATCTGCATGTGTTGCCTCCAAATGAAGTAAAATGTGAGGTCAAAACCTGCTTGGGTTTATTAAAGCTGTTTGGAGAGCAAGATATTTTGTTCCAGGTTACTGAAAGTTTCTTGAGACTTGATAATGAGGTACATAATATTAATCATTTTTGTACTGAATGCACAAAATGCTAAGTACATGCACAGGTCTGTTCTGGCATACACTGGGCAATATACAGATGGATTCTCTAAGATCAGTCTAGAAAGCTGGAGGGAACCTACTCAGAACAATACATCCTTTCTTTTGCTAACTGTAAAAACAGGCTTCTGTTCTTGTGTTATAGTTACCAAAACCAATCAGTAGCCTGTGATCTGTTTATTGAAGCTCAGGCAACTCACTGGGCATGGCACAGAGCAGCTCAGCTCAGGTGGAAGTGCTGTCAGGAAAAAGGTCTGATAGGGGGAATGTAATGATATCACCATTTTCCAGAACTGGGTCAAGATGCAGGGGTCAGTTGTAAAGGTATTTAGGCACCTAAAGGTGTAGATAAGCACCTAGTGGGATTTTTCAAAAGTTCCTAAACAGGTTAGATGCCTATCTCTCATTGAAAGTCTTGGCTGTGATCATGGCTTAAGTGCACTTTTACTCTGAAAAGGGACTTTGTAAATGGGGGACATTTTTTCACTCAAACAGATCTCCTTCCTAAAATTTACACTTGGTAGCAAAAGCAACACAGACAAGAGGTAGTGAGCCTGATTCTATTGGTGCTTGCACATTAGTAAATAAGGATGGTTAACTACATTCCAAATGGAAGGCCAAACTCTGCCACCCCACTGAGGGCAAAGAGGGTGTAGAGTTGTAACGAAGGGCAGAATCTGAAGACAGTAGTGTTTCCTAGGAGTAAGGGCTTATCCTACAAGATGCTGTGCGCTCCCATTGACCTCAGTAGAACTATTCAGATGCCTAAAGTTAAGCATGTGATTATGTGTTTTGCTGGCTTAGGTCAGAGTGCTTAGCAACTGGCCAGATTGCTCTCTGAGTGCAGCATTTGGCCTGCAGTCCAGCATTTGGCCTGCATTATTCTTGATATTTGAGAAGGAAAAAACCCCGCTTGACTTTCAGATCTCAAGATGAGTTACAACAGAGCAAATCTGCTAAATAAATCATGAGAAACAATTAAAATGGAACTCCCTTATGTAGCCTTTATGGAACCAATTTTTTGTGTAGAAATGCATTTTAACAAGGTAGATATAGCAAATCACCTCATATTTACTTCTTCTGTTAGTTAACATCCTTTTATTTTGATGGCCAAAGTGAGAGTCAGTGTGATAGAGGGTGGATAGTTTGTTGTGTAGTTATGTATTCTTGAGGAGCACCACATCACCAGTGTTTAGAAGTGGAATCTTCTGGATTGCTTCTGCATATTCTTTTATTTTTACATCTGCTGGTGTGATGCATACCCTTATGGACTCATCAGAGGTGGTTGTTTTTACCTTGGGCAGTCTGGTTCTGTGTTGCAGGCCAAACAGAATGGTAGACAACAGCACTAATCAAACGGTGAGGGGTAACTGGAGGAGCTAATAAGAAATGGATACAACTTCTTACATCAGTGCCAGCTATCATGGAGATACACTGAATGTTCTTGAGTGTCCTAATGAAGTGTTCAGTTTTATCCTTGGTTTGTGGCCAATGTGGCAAGATTTTCTAATGATGGAAACCAAGATACACAGCAAATTGTGTTAAACTGGGTACTTTGGAATGGTGGGCCATTGTGTGTTTTGATGACTGCTGACACTTCATATACTGAATAGACTTGTCTAGCCTGGACATCACTGTTTTTCTGAACGTGGTGTTGAGTAGTTCATAGTTACTTATCAAGGGTAAGCAACTTGACAAAATCAGTAGGATTTTTATATGGAATTCAGTTTCGTGGTTTAATCTTGGGAATTAGACTTTTTCTCTCAGGAACACTTTGGATTGCAATGTACTTTGTTGGCCTTCAGGAGTTAAGTCAATTGTGTGATACCACAGAAATGAGACAAAAGCAGCATTGTGTCACAGAGGTGTACATTATGGTCTGAGGCTTAGAGCTTTGAGTGTAAGTTCATCTTTTTTGTGATGTTTCAAGATCACATTTCTCTTGTACTTCTGGCATCTGATGCCATCAACATGCAGATAAACATTTGCATTACTGGTCTGGCATCATTTCAATGATAATTTATAACCAGGTGTCCAACAGAATGGCAGTTCTTATGTGTCAGATGATATCATTCACTGCTTTAGGAACAATGTTGTTTGCAGTATTGTTGTGGCCCTGTTGATCCCAGGATATTAGAGGAACAAGGCAGATGAGATAATAGCTTTTATAGGATCATCTTCTGGTAGTGA